CATAGAACTACCATACCATAGACAGTACCATAGACAATACCATAGACCTACCGCACCATAGACCTACCGTACAATAGACAGTATTATAGACCTACCATACCATAGACGGTACCATTGACCTACATTACCAAAGACAGAACCATAGACGGTACTATAGACCTACCATACCATAGACAGCACTATAGAACTACCATACCATAGACGGTACCATTGATCTACATTACCAAAGACAGAACCGTAGACGGTACTATAGACCTACCATACCATAGACAGCACTATAGACCTACCATACCATGGATAGTACCATAGACAGTACTATAGACTGACCATACCATAGACAGTACTATAGACCGACCATACCATAGACAGTACTATAGACCTACCATACCATGGATAGTACCATAGACAGTACTATAGACCTACCATACCATGGATAGTACGATAGACAGTACTATAGACCTACCGTACCATAGACAGTACCATAAACAGTACCATAGACAGTATTATAGACCTACCATACCATAGACGGTACCATAGACCTACCATACCATAGACAGTACCATATACAGTACCATAGACCACTGGTCCTGCCTGTCGTTGCTCCAGGCGCTGTGTTTGTGAATGGGAAGGAGATGACCAATCAGCTGCCTCCTCTGATCCTGGGTGCGGCCGTGACCTTTGACATGGAGGTGGTGAGCGTGCAACCCGGTCTCCACGGCGACGGGGCGAGCGTTGCTAAGCTGCGGGTGGCCATCGGCTCCGGCTCCAGGGAGGTGGTGTTCGACTGGCAGGTGGAGAGCTCCCTGGACGCTCTGTTCTTCGGCTGCTCCTTCAACCACTCAGGCTGGAAGGTCCTGGTGTTTTAGACCAGAAAGACCAGAGAGAGACCAGGAGAGAGACCAGGAGAGAGACCAGGGAGAGAGACCAGGAGAGAGACCAGGAGAGAGACCAGGAGAGAGACCAGGAGAGAGACCAGGGAGAGAGACCAGGAGAGAGACCAGGAGAGAGACCAGGGAGAGAGACCAGGAGAGAGACCAGGAGAGAGACCAGGAGAGAGACCAGGAGAGAGACCAGGTGAGAGACCAGGAGAGAGACCAGGAGAGAGACCAGGAGAGAGACCAGGGAGAGAGACCAGGAGAGAGACCAGGGGAGAGACCAGGAGAGAGACCAGGAGAGAGACCAGGAGAGAGACCAGGAGAGAGACCAGGAGAGAGACCAGGAGAGAGACCAGGAGAGAGACCAGGAGAGAGACCAGGGAGAGAGACCAGGAGAGAGACCAGGGAGAGAGACCAGGAGAGAGACCAGGAGAGAGACCAGGAGAGAGACCAGGAGAGAGACCAGGTGAGAGACCAGGAGAGAGACCAGGAGAGAGACCAGGAGAGAGACCAGGGAGAGAGACCAGGAGAGAGACCAGGAGAGAGACCAGGAGAGAGACCAGGAGAGAGACCAGGGAGAGAGACCAGGAGAGAGACCAGGAGAGAGACCAGGAGACACCAGGAGTAGAGTACTTAGATTAAAAATCTAGGTCAAAATTCTGTTTTGCTTTTGTAACTTTTTTCATGTAAAAACAAAATAATTAAAGCTGGGGAACCTGACTTTCAAACCACAGAGAATAAAACCATGGATGGTCTTTCTAACCCAGACCAAAGTTAGGTGCCTCAGCTTTAATCCTGACACAAAAATATGACAAAATCCAGGAAAAAAAACTCGGAAAATTAGAATATGCCTCAAAATTCAACTCAACTTCAACTAGACTGAACCAGACTGAACCAGGACTGAACCAGGACTGAACCAGGACTGAACCAGACTGAACCAGGACTGAACCAGGACTGAACCAGGACTGAACCAGGACTGAACCAGACTGAACCAGACTGAACCAGACTGAACCAGGACTGAACCAGACTGAACCAGACTGAACCAGGACTGAACCAGACTGAACCAGGACTGAACCAGGACTGAACCAGACTTAACCAGGACTGAACCAGGACTGAACCAGACCAGACTGAACCAGGACTGAACCAGGACATAACCAGACTGAACCAGACTGAACCTGACTGAACCAGGACTGAACCAGACTGACCCAGACTGAACCAGAACTGAACCAGACTGAACCAGGACTGAACCAGACCAGACTGAACCAGGACAGAACCAGGACTGAACCAGGACTGAACCAGACTGACCCAGACTGAACCAGAACTGAACCAGACTGAACCAGGACTGAACCAGACCAGACTGAACCAGGACAGAACCAGGACTGAACCAGGACTGAACCAGGACTGAACCAGGACTGAATCAGGACTGAACCAGACTGACCCAGACTTTTCAACCGACTCGTTTCACAAAGTCTCGGAACATGTCTATAAAATTATCTGGTTTCACATTTTTATTTAAATCTACAAAAATGAATCAACTTTTGAACAATATTCTAACTTTTCCGAGTTTCTTCTTTTCTGTGAGAAATCCACAACTTTTCAAATCTGAAGAAACTTGAACACAACAAAAATGGACCGAGTTTATCTCCAGTTTAAGGCGGTACTAGAACTCCACCATCTCATACTTCCTTATTTAACTTCCATCTCATTTGGTGACGTCATTTTGTTATTGCTTTTATTTTTGTTTTTATATTTAGCCATTTTTTATCTGTATTCAACCGTAACCGTCTGTTATTGCATCACTGTGAATGTTTAATAAACCCTGTATTTTTTTTATTGATATTTGTTAAATCGCAATATTTTTTTCCCTTCACATTTCTACAGCCATCATTTATGCCATATTTTTACTTTGGCCGTATATTTGGAGTGGGCTGACCATAGCGTTAGCCATAATGTGGAAGTAGCTAATTTGAATGTATGCTAGCTGGAGCCAATTTCCTTATATGGGCATTTGTCTTAGCTTTGTGCCGACACTGTAGCAGATGTGTTGCCTAGCATGGTGGCTAAGGCAAGCTGGAGTTTCCCCACAATCTGTGTATAGATGGAGAATGCTAACCCGCTAGCTCAATGCAGCCCAATAGTGAAGTGCTCATGGGTGAAGTTTTGCTGATATTGACTTACATGGAAAGGTAAACTCCTCTAGCTCAAAACTGTTTGTGTCGCACTAAACATTTTTGACCAAGAATTGACCAATCAGAAACCTTCGATTCGGAAAGACCTTAGCAACCGTCTTAGCAAAATGGCTGCCCCCGACAACACCGTCAGAAACAAATGCCCTTATAAGGAAATTGGCTCCAGCTAGCTTATGTTCAAATTTCATCCACATTTAGGCTAACGCTATGATGACGTTAGCGCTTCCACTTCTTATACACGGTCTGTGAAGGCATCTGATTGGTCATAACTGGATTCACAAAGACTCGGAGAGCGTTAAACCTCAGATTTTGTTAGCCCAAAATGGCGTGTGTGACATAAACGTTTACTGAGCCAGAGTTTACTTTTTATGGGAGTCAAAGGAGCCAGAGCAAAACTTCCCTATTGCGCTACATTGAGCTAGCATGTTAGCATTGTCCGTCTGTATACAGTCTATGGTTAAATTACTAGTTAAAAACATTAGGTCCAGATTTACTTCATAAAGACGTAGTACAGGCGCTTCATGTTACACCGTTACTTTAGACGTGTTTTGAGCCGTTGGCGATGATTGAAGCTGTTACGATGTTTTAAAGTGCAAAGATAATCAGTGTTTGACTTTGGCGTTTGTCGGTTTACAAAGTGTTGTTTTAATAATAAAAATAAATGGGATTGTGTGAATCATGCTTTGTAGTCATTATTCTGTCTGTCTCCCTTTCTGGTCTCTGGTCTCTCTCTCTGGTCTCTCTCTAGTCTCTGGTCTGTCTCTGGTCTCTCTCTCTGGTCTGTCTCTGGTCTCTCTCTCTGGTCTCTCTCTGGTCTGTCTCTGGTCTCTCTCTCTGGTCTCTCTCTGGTCTCTCTCTCTGGTCTCTCTCTGGTCTCCCTCTGGTCTCTCTCTCTGGTCTCTCTCTGGTCTCTCTCTGGTCTCTCTCTGGTCTCACTGTGGTCTCTCTCTGGTCTCTCTCTAGTCTCCCTCTGGTCTCCCTCTGGTCTCCCTCTGGTCTCTCTCTGGTCTCTCTCTTTCTCTTCTCTCTCTGGTCATTCATTGGTCTCTGTCTCTGGTCTCTCTCTTTCTCTTCTCTCTCTGGTCATTCATTGGTCTCTGTCTCTGGTCTCTCTCTGGTCTCACTGTGGTCTCCCTCTGGTCTCTCTCTGGTCTCTCTCTGGTCTCTCTCTGGTCTCTCTCTGGTCTCTCTCTGGTCTCTCTCTGGTCTCTCTCTGGTCTCTCTCTGGCCTCTCCCTCTGGTCTCTTTCCGGTCTGTCTCTGGTCTCAGGAAATTTATATTTGTTTTCGAGCCACCTGCATGTTCCCATTTTTAAATTAGTCATCTGTGGCTCGAGTAAAAATAAACTAAAGGCTTCTATATAACACATAGCACAACTTAGAAGCATGGCTAACCACTCCATCCTGTATGAGCCTGAAAAGCTAAATCACAGAACCTCATTTGTCGCAGGTTTGAATGAAGAGACATGAAAACCTTCTGTGATAAGACTTTAATGGCCGACTGTTTACATTTACACATTGCTTCCATTTATTTTTACAGTAATTACCCAAAAAACATCCAGCATCAAAGTTGTTCATCGCCTGAAAAATGAAAATTACAGCTGTGCTTCTAACAGTCTTCTATCTGAGCTGGGCACAAACCGAGGAAGGAAACCCAAAAATGCTTCACTGGATTTTTTTTACAAAAGTGAATCATCGACAAAACTTCAATTTGATACAAACAATACTTATGAAACTGGAAAAGTCTCGGCGAAACCTGATCTGACGATATAAATAAGTAGGAATTTGGAAGTTGGTAGAAAAACACTTTGGTTTCTAGATCTATGAATGAAAAAAAACTACTTTATTTTTATTATTTATTTACACTTCTTGGTCGTGACGTGGAGCGGGTCTCACAGACCCAAGTTCAGCAGGTTTGACCCTCGGCTTCGGTCGGACAGAAATACACTGTTAAAATGTTTGAATATTGTTAATTAATATTGATTCTGGAAAAGAAATGTTTCAAATGGACAATAAAACTAAATAAATAAGGAACACATTTATAATCTTATTTTTTTAAATCCAAGATTCACCCGAGTTCCCGTGTAGACAAAACTAAAATTGACTTTGTTTTTTGTCAAATGCAGAAAAAACGAACCCAAACCAACCTCGAAACGGCGGAGGTTGGGTTCTCGACAGCATTGAACAAAAATGTGAAAGTTTTCCAGTTTGACGGCGTCGTTCTGGACGTGTCTGTGCAGAGAGAGTTCGCCCGGGACCTGGCAACGGATAAAGCGGAAGAAACTGGATGGACTGGTCCTGGGTCGGGCTGCACGATGAGCAAATCTCAAACACCACAATTATATAAATCCCTGAAAAAATAAAATAAACAAAACCTGCACAAAAACAGGAAAATGAGCTAAAAATGACTGAAATTAGACAAAAAACCTGGATTTGAATTTATTTGGACTCAATCTTTAGCTTTAACACAATATTCTCAAATGGAAGAAAATGCAAAACTTTTCTTTTTGAGCTATAGTAGTTCAGTAAATAAGTTTATTAATATAGCGCATTTTAAGGGGTCACAAGAAATACTAGACATTCTTTAATTTATTTGTTGTTATTGTCATGATTATTATTATTTTCTGTTATTATTGTTCAATTATTTTTTGTGTGAATATTTGGAAATACAGTTTAAAAAAAACATCTGCAGGGAGATTAAAAACAAAATGGTGACGTTGATCAGAAAAATCCCACTTAAATTTTTTTCCCATAATCCGTGCAGCCCGACTCCGAAGCGGCCCCAGTTCGAGGCTTTGGTCCTGGTCCCGGGTGCGAGGGGTCCCCCAGGGCTCAAACTCGGGACACATTTGATTTTACCGTTCAGACGATATTCTGATCCAATATTTTTTGGGAAACTTCCACAATCGAAAGGACTTGGAGCAAATTAACCCAAGATTTTACTGTGAAAGTATTAGCAATGTTTTTGTGTGATTTTCAGGCAAAAGTAAATAGATTTTCTGAGCCGTAGTCCCGGTCAAACCTGCAGCACCGGTGAATCCACGTGATCCCACTCCTCAGGTTTAAGGCAGACGATTTCTTAAAAGATTCAAATATTCAAGTTTTACGTGCTCCAGTCCGAGTCTCCTCCCGCCTTTTCATCTGGCGTCTTCGGCCTCCGTCCCGTTGGTGGCGTCCGAACAGTTTTTGAATTCCTCGGACTCGGCGTCGGGCTGAGACTCGGCCGCGGTCTCCCAGTCCTCCTCCTCCTCCTCCTCGTTCTCCTCGTCCTCCATCTTGCCGTGGTTCGGTGCTTTCGGCTTCCGCGGCGTCTCCAGCGCTCGCAGTTTGGCCATGGCGGCGTCGATGGTTGCCGTGGTGACCAGGTTGAAGTCGTGCATGCTGACCAGGTGCAGCAGGAAGTTTCGGCACAGGTCGTTCTGGACGATGTACGGACCGTGGAGGTCGGTGAAGAGGAGGCAGGCGCCGTTCATCTGGTTATCAGCGATGAACCTGCAGTGACCACAGAGGCATGAGAGGCGGTTTAATTATATAGCACAGTTCATTACCACGGAAACTCAAAGGGCGGAACAAGGTTTAAATAATCACAAACAATAGGAGTTAGTTCAGTTTAGCTGCAACTGAAGGATTCTGTTTTTAACCTGGATTTGAACATTGTCAGAGAAGAAGTGTCTCATATTTTTAGGAAGACTGTTCCGGATTTTAGCATGAATCTGAAACGCTGCCTCCTCATGTTTAGTTCCGACTGAGGAGCACAGGGACTGGCCTCCTGCTGGTCCCAGAGTCCCGGCAGGAGGCCAGTCCCTGTGCTCCTCAGAGTTGGTTCATATGGCACCAACATGTCTCAGATGGAGAGACTTGAGCCACAGGTACAGAGACCTGGGACCAGGACTAATGTGATGGTACTTCCTGGTTCTAGTCCTGACTAATGTGGTCGTACTTCCTGGTTCTAGTCAGGACTAATGTGATGGTACTTCCTGGTTCTAGTCAGGACTAATGTGGTCGTACTTCCTGGTTCTTGTCAGGACTAATGTGATGGTACTTCCTGTTTCTAGTCTGGACTAATGTGATGGTACTTCCTGCTTCTAGTCTGGACTAATGTGATGGTACTTCCTGGTTCTAGTCAGGACTAATGTGATGGTACTTCCTGCTTCTAGTCTGGACTAATGTGATGGTACTTCCTGGTTCTAGTCTGGACTAATGTGATGGTACTTCCTGGTTCTAGTCAGGACTAATGTGATGGTACTTCCTGGTTCTAGTCAGGACTAATGTGATGGTACTTCCTGCTTCTAGTCCTGACTAATGTGGTCGTACTTCCTGGTTCTAGTAAGGACTAATGTGATGGTACTTCCTGGTTCTAGTCAGGACTAATGTGGTCGTACTTCCTGGTTCTAGTCAGGACTAATGTGATGGTACTTCCTGGTTCTAGTCAGGACTAATGTGGTCGTACTTCCTGGTTCTAGTCAGGACTAATGTGATGGTACTTCCTGGTTCTAGTCCTGATTAATGTTGTCGTACTTCCTGGTTCTAGTCTGGACTAATGTGATGGTACTTCCTGGTTCTAGTCAGGACTAATGTGATGGTACTTCCTGGTTCTAGTCAGGACTAATGTGATGGTACTTCCTGGTTCTAGTCTGGACTAATTGGTGATGGTACTTCCTGGTTCTAGTCAGGACTAATGTGGTCGTACTTCCTGGTTCTAGTAAGGACTAATGTGATGGTACTTCCTGGTTCTAGTCAGGACTAATGTGGTCGTACTTCCTGGTTCTAGTCAGGACTAATGTGATGGTACTTCCTGGTTCTAGTCCTGATTAATGTTGTCATACTTCCTGGTTCTAGTCTGGACTAATGTGATGGTACTTCCTGGTTCTAGTCAGGACTAATGTGATGGTACTTCCTGGTTCTAGTCAGGACTAATGTGATGGTACTTCCTGGTTCTAGTCTGGACTAATGTGATGGTACTTCCTGGTTCTAGTCAGGACTAATGTGGTCGTACTTCCTGGTTCTAGTAAGGACTAATGTGATGGTACTTCCTGGTTCTAGTCAGGACTAATGTGGTCGTACTTCCTGGTTCTAGTAAGGACTAATGTGATGGTACTTCCTGGTTCTAGTCAGGACTAATGTGGTCGTACTTCCTGGTTCTAGTCAGGACTAATGTGATGGTACTTCCTGGTTCTAGTCCTGATTAATGTTGTCATACTTCCTGGTTCTAGTCTGGACTAATGTGATGGTACTTCCTGGTTCTAGTCAGGACTAATGTGATGGTACTTCCTGGTTCTAGTCAGGACTAATGTGATGGTACTTCCTGGTTCTAGTCTGGACTAATGTGATGGTACTTCCTGGTTCTAGTCAGGACTAATGTGGTCGTACTTCCTGGTTCTAGTAAGGACTAATGTGATGGTACTTCCTGGTTCTAGTCAGGACTAATGTGGTCGTACTTCCTGGTTCTAGTCAGGACTAATGTGATGGTACTTCCTGGTTCTAGTCAGGACTAATGTGGTCGTACTTCCTGGTTCTAGTCAGGACTAATGTGATGGTACTTCCTGGTTCTAGTCCTGATTAATGTTGTCATACTTCCTGGTTCTAGTCTGGACTAATGTGATGGTACTTCCTGGTTCTAGTCAGGACTAATGTGATGGTACTTCCTGGTTCTAGTCAGGACTAATGTGATGGTACTTCCTGGTTCTAGTCTGGACTAATGTGATGGTACTTCCTGGTTCTAGTCAGGACTAATGTGGTCGTACTTCCTGGTTCTAGTAAGGACTAATGTGATGGTACTTCCTGGTTCTAGTCAGGACTAATGTGGTCGTACTTCCTGGTTCTAGTCAGGACTAATGTGATGGTACTTCCTGGTTCTAGTCAGGACTAATGTGGTCGTACTTCCTGGTTCTAGTCAGGACTAATGTGATGGTACTTCCTGGTTCTAGTCCTGATTAATGTTGTCGTACTTCCTGGTTCTAGTCTGGACTAATGTGATGGTACTTCCTGGTTCTAGTCAGGACTAATGTGATGGTACTTCCTGGTTCTAGTCAGGACTAATGTGATGGTACTTCCTGGTTCTAGTCTGGACTAATGTGATGGTACTTCCTGGTTCTAGTCAGGACTAATGTGGTCGTACTTCCTGGTTCTAGTAAGGACTAATGTGATGGTACTTCCTGGTTCTAGTCAGGACTAATGTGGTCGTACTTCCTGGTTCTAGTCAGGACTAATGTGGTCGTACTTCCTGGTTCTAGTCTGGACTCGAGGCCGTTACAATAGTCTAACACTGACCCGTGTTTCATGGCGTGGAGGTTCCAGAGCTTCATGATCTCCTTTTCTCCTTCGTTTACGTCGGTGAAATCTTCAATTTGCTGCAAAAACACGACAGTGTTAGTCAACTTTAAGATTATCATAATGCACTCTGCAGTCCTGCACCACAGAACCGGGTCTACAGCCTCAGTCCCGGGTCTACAGCCTCAGTCCTGGGTCTACAGCCTCAGTCCCGGGTCTACAGCCTCAGTCCTGGATCTACAGCCTCAGTCCTGGGTCTACAGCCTCAGTCCTGGGTCTACAGCCTCAGTCCCGGGTCTACAGCCTCAGTCCCGGGTCTACAGCCTCAGTCCTGGGTCTACAGCCTCAGTCCTGGGTCTACAGCCTCAGTCCTGGGTCTACAGCCTCAGTCCTGGGTCTACAGCCTCAGTCCTGGGTCTACAGCCTCAGTCCTGGATCTACAGCCTCAGTCCGGGGTCTACAGCCTCAGTCCCGGGTCTACAGCCTCAGTCCCGGGTCTACAGCCTCAGTCCCGGGTCTACAGCCTCAGTCCCGGGTCTACAGCCTCAGTCCTGGGTCTACAGCCTCAGTCCTGGGTCTACAGCCTCAGTCCCGGGTCTACAGCCTCAGTCCTGGGTCTACAGCCTCAGTCCTGGGTCTACAGCCTCAGTCCTGGGTCTACAGCCTCAGTCCTGGGTCTACAGCCTCAGTCCTGGGTCTACAGCCTCAGTCCTGGGTCTACAGCCTCAGTCCTGGGTCTACAGCCTCAGTCCTGGATCTACAGCCTCAGTCCTGGGTCTACAGCCTCAGTCCTGGGTCTACAGCCTCAGTCCTGGGTCTACAGCCTCAGTCCTGGGTCTACAGCCTCAGTCCTGGGTCTACAGCCTCAGTCCCGGGTCTACAGCCTCAGTCCCGGGTCTACAGCCTCAGTCCCGGGTCTACAGCCTCAGTCCTGGGTCTACAGCCTCAGTCCCGGATCTACAGCCTCAGTCCCGGGTCTACAGCCTCAGTCCTGGGTCTACAGCCTCAGTCCTGGGTCTACAGCCTCAGTCCTGGGTCTACAGCCTCAGTCCTGGGTCTACAGCCTCAGTCCTGGGTCTACAGCCTCAGTCCTGGATCTACAGCCTCAGTCCTGGATCTACAGCCTCAGTCCTGGGTCTACAGCCTCAGTCCTGGGGCTACAGCCTCAGTCCCGGGTCTACAGCCTCAGTCCCGGGTCTACAGCCTCAGTCCCGGGTCTACAGCCTCAGTCCTGGGTCTACAGCCTCAGTCCTGGGTCTACAGCCTCAGTCCTGGGTCTACAGCCTCAGTCCTGGGTCTACAGCCTCAGTCCTGGGTCTACAGCCTCAGTCCTGGGTCTACAGCCTCAGTCCTGGGGCTACAGCCTCAGTCCCGGGTCTACAGCCTCAGTCCCGGGTCTACAGCCTCAGTCCCGGGTCTACAGCCTCAGTCCCGGGTCTACAGCCTCAGTCCCGGGTCTACAGCCTCAGTCCCGGGTCTACAGCCTCAGTCCCGGGTCTACAGCCTCAGTCCTGGGTCTACAGCCTCAGTCCCGGGTCTACAGCCTCAGTACTGGGTCTACAGCCTCAGTACTGGGTCTACAGCCTCAGTCCCGGGTCTACAGCCTCAGTCCCGGGTCTACAGCCTCAGTCCCGGGTCTACAGCCTCAGTCCTGGGTCTACAGCCTCAGTCCCGGGTCTACAGCCTCAGTACTGGGTCTACAGCCTCAGTCCTGGACCTAGACGCCGCTCCGGTAAAGCCAGTACCTTGATGGTCTTCTCCCGCAGCCAGTCCGGGTCCTTCTCGTCCTCACTGTCCCGCTCCAGCTCCTGGGCTCGCAGGGGCATGCAGCAGTCACTGTGGAAGTACAGTCTGTTGTGTCCGCTGATGTGAGTCCGGCCCTGGTCCCGCTCTCCGTCCTCAGACTCCAGGAACTCGGACAGACTGGGTTTCAACCGCCGCGGCCTGGACCACAAACGGACTTTAGGGATTGTTTTTTACAGGACACATAAAACCTGGGACTATTCTATATAAGCAGCATTAAACTAAGTATTGAAACTAAGTAGATCATGAAACTGTACTGCTGCCTCTGAGAAAGCTGATTGGCTGAAGGCCCTTTTTCTCAGTGGAACAAAATAATGAGGTTTAGTGAGTTTGATGAGAGTTCTATCTTCACCCTGTGAGATGGTTATTGGACCATAAAGCCTGTAACCATCCATGATTTGTATTTTAGGAGGATTTTCCCAAATTTTAGGAAAGAACTGCCCTTTTCACATCTTGAAATAAACGCTCTGGTCTTATTGGACGAGCACGTATCCCCAGAATGATTGACAGTTGGGAGGACGAATAGTCTTGATGATCCACCCGGAAGTAGAAAACCCTCCAGTATGCTACTCTTTCGTTTGATAGTGTTCAGTTAGCAGTGTTTGTCGTTGGTCTTCTACACCCTCCTGAGGACCACAGATGGAAACATAATTATTTTACTATTTACTGACATGTTGATGACTGTGGACTGTCCTTGTTCAAATAAACTCATAAATAAAAATAAAATAAAACACAGTAAACACGTGTTGAGCTGTAGGTCACTCTTTGACACTTGGGCTGAGAGCAGAGTGCGGTGGGTCTGGAAACGCTGCTCTATGCCAACTGTCCAGCCCTGGAGGATTCAGACGGTTTCAGACCCTAACTTAGAGTTTATTCCTTCTACAGACGACCGGGACACACAGTTTACATCTGTCTGTGTATATAGTTTTATATCTGTGTGTAAACCCCGGTTGTCTGTGAAGTCACTGCATATGTAATGCCCAAGTACCACTACATACACACATACATTACATGTATGTGTAGAGTAATGATGGTACCTAATGCTATGGTACAGTCTCTGGTTTGCACATTAGCTCAGTCTGGTTCACTTCTATGCTTTGTATGTGTGACTTGCTGTAAATATGTGATTACTATGTGTGTTTTTAAACTTTTCTTTCATAATTCTTAGCTATGGATCCTGTGCTTGCGAGTCCTTAATAAAGTCTAAATAAATAATGAATACTATCCTGCGGAAGGTCATTTCTCTGTAGATGTTCTGTAGATGTGTGTATTTTGTGTAGATGTTGTGTAGATGTGTGTATTTTGTGTAGATGTTCTGTAGATGTTGTGTGTATTTTGTGTAGATGTGTGCATTTTGTGTAGATGTCGTGTAGATCCTCATGTTCTCTTTATCTTACATAATAAACATAATAAACCATGTGAGGAGAGAGACCTGCAGACGACCAGGTGGGTGACCGCGGTGCGCTTGACCGGCCCGTTGCGGCTGAAGGCGAAGCCCGGCTGGTTGTGGACGTCCTGGGGGTTCCCGGCGTAGGAACCGTCGTAGCAGTCGTTGACGGAGACCTCGATGCGTGCTCCTTTGGGGTGCGGGACGTAGTTGAAGATGAAGCGGGAGTGCGACAGCTTCAGGTGCTTCAGGAGGCTGTAGAGCTTCCTGCAGTTGATGGTGCACCAGGGACAGTGCAGGTCGTCCCGCGCCTCCGTCTGCTGCCGCGTGTTCTGGTTGTACTGGAACTGGTAGAAGATCCGCAGCTTCTGACGCGGATCCGACGCCGTCACCTCCTTCTTCATCTGGACGTCTGTGTTCAGGTCTTTCACGGCTGAAAGGGAATCCGTCAGAATCGTCAGGGTTAGTTCTTTTCACCGTGTTTGGAGCCGAAGAATAATGACATCTTCTGTCCAAAAAGCTCTCTTTAAAACCCATGCATTATAATTATTATTAGAGACCTTTACTTTTTCTTATGGGGAACCAATTCAGTCACACTTTAGTTTAGCCCTCACCAGTGAAGATGTCCTTTATTCATCCATATTCATGTTTTAATTAGCTCTTGAATGGGATTTATTCATTTAGGGCATTTCTCTTCTAGTTTGAATCATTTGTGAGGTTAGCCCAAGGGTTAAATACCATGAGCTTTCTTAATTATAATGAGTACTGTCTCAATTTAGAAGAATTGTCAGTTGAAACAGTAAAAGAAAAGCACCAAAAAAGCTCGAGAAAAAATATTGAAATTAAGCATTCAAAATTTGAGGAGAATCAAGAATTATTGCCCTCACTGGCTCCTGAGAACTCAGCTCCTGCAGGAGGATCAGTGAGGGGCTGGTGCTCTGACTGCCACCCCCGACCCAGACATGGATTAAGGGGAAGAAAATGGATGGATGGACTTTGAGGAGCGGTTTGACTCCGGTCACAGCTGACGTCATCCTGACATCATCATGACATCATCCTGACATCATCATGACATCATGACATCATCATGACATCATCCTGACATCATCCTGACATCATCCTGACATCATCCTGACATCATCATGACATCATCCTGACATCATCCTGACATCATCATGACATCATCATGACATCATTCTGACATCATCCTGACATCATCCTGACATCATCATGACATCATCCTGACATCATCATGACATCATCATGACATCATCCTGACATCATCCTGACATCATCATGACATCATCATGACATCATCCTGACATCATCATGACATCATCCTGACATCATCCTGACATCATCCTGACATCATCATGACATCATCCTGACATCATCCTGACATCATCCTGACATCATCATGACATCATTATGACATCATCCTGACTGTGACTGTAAAAAGCATCACCTTCACCTTGTGTCGGTGATGATATGGTTCTGCTCTCGGGGTTTGCGTCCGTAGTCACTTCCTGGTTTACTTCCGGGTGGACTTCCTGGTTGCGTGTGGACAGAGGTTTGGTCACAGTTTGGGTGTCGATGCTGACGTTCGTCCAGCGCAGAGTGAACTGAAGCGTGGGGCCCTGGGAGAAGTTCTCGAACGGAGGCAAACGCTGGAGAAACACAAACGCTATAATTAAGACATTTACCCTCAGTTAAAAATAATCTTAGAGTTCATCCACAGTGATTCAAAAATCTAAATGACTTCTCAAACTTGACCTGTTTTTGGTCATTTAAACCCTTTTAGACCCTAATTTATAGTATTTTTCTTCTACTTTTAATCACTGTCGAAATCAACTTCTTCACAAAGAATAAGAACACAAGGAATGTCTATGTTTGGCTTTGCTCTGAGGCCGGTCTGACCGGTCTGGTGCGGTCCACATGCCCCTGGTACTGAGCCTTATGATGCTTTCAAAGTCATGTCTGATTCTCTGATTTGTGTTTGGAGAATTCAAAGGCAGAGATAAGTGCTGTTGTGATTTAGGGTTAAACTACAATCAAGTGATTTTTTCCAGATGCATTTTTTTAAATATTGTGGGAAAACGTCCCTAAACCCTAAAAGTATCAAGTTATCATGTGTTTTCAAATAGTAATGGAATTAACCAATTCCTATAGTCTCCAAAAAATTTATAAAAAATATTTTGGAGCAGACCGAGTGCATCGGAGTTATTGGATTTTCTAAAACCTAAAATGACTGAACAGAAAATGCCAATGTCACGTTTGCTTCTCTCCCTGTTCTGACAAAGAAAACAAAAATGCAGGATGTTTGGTTTGGTGGCGAGGGAGGGGGGGGGGGGGGAGTGGTTTCCAGTTGGTGCTACGGCTAAGCTAACAACATTGCTAACTGCATCATTAAATCTCTGGAAAGTTATACTGGCCCAAGGGTAGCAAAGTGTTCTGGTACTCCTGGTACTCCTGGTACTCCTGGTACTCCTGGTACTCCTGGTACTCCTGGTACTCATGGTACTCATGGTACTCATGGTACTCATGGTACTCATGGTACTCATGGTACTCCTGGTACTCCTGGTACTCCTGGTACTCATGGTACTCATGGTACTCATGGTACTCATGGTACTCATGGTACTCATGGTACTCATGGTATTATGCGCCACATTACGTTGCCACACAAACTCTGTACCTTCCCGTCCACAGTCGTCTCCCACGTCGCTCTCTTTTTGCAGACGGGACTTTCCTCCAACTCCTGCAGAGAAACCTCGTACTCTCCGTCCAGAAGCTGCAGCCGCCTTCAACACAAACATCTCACGGTTTAAAAACATGTGACATCAATAAGTAAGGCCTCTTTTAGATTTACAGGCAACACAGGACATTTACATTGTGCACATTTAAAACCTTTTCACAAGAGAGGCTTGTGTTTGAAGAGCGTAGTGTTTGGACAGAAGGGTCGGGGGGATGTGTTTGGAAGGAGCTCGATGTAAGAGTCACCTGTTTTTGTCAAACACCGTCATCTGAGCCACAAACGTCGTCTCTGCTTCGTCTTTGAGAGAACTGTTCCTCCGCTTCCTGTTCACCACTTCCTCTGAGAAATCTGAAACACAAATACTTTTACTGCACTTATTACTACTACTACTATCACTACAACTACTACTATCACTACAACTACTACTATTACTACAACAATTACTATTACTATGCATACTTGTCAGAAAGCCCTGTGAGTCTCTCTCTGGTCCCTCTCTCTGGTCCCTCTCTCTCTGGTCCCTCTCTCTCTGGTCTCTCTCTCTGGTCTCTCTCTCTGGTCTCTCTCTCTGGTCTCTCTCTCTCTCTCTGGTCTCTCTCTCTCTGGTCTCTCTCTCTCTGGTCTCTCTCTCTGTGGTCTCTCTCTCTGGTCTCTCTCTCTCTGGTCTCTCTCTCTGGTCTCTCTCTCTGGTCTCTCTCTCTGGTCTCTCTCTCTGGTCTCTCTCTCTGGTCTCTCTCTCTGGTCTCTCTCTCTGGTCTCTCTCTCTGGTCTCTCTCTCTGGTCTCTCTCTCTGGTCTCTCTCTCTGGTCTCTCTCTCTGGTCTCTCTCTCTGGTCTCTCTCTCTGGTCTCTCTCTCTGGTCTCTCTCTCTCTCTGGTCTCTCTCTCTGGTCTCTCTCTCTGGTCTCTCTCTCTGGTCTCTCTCTCTGGTCTCTCTCTCTGGTCTCTCTCTCTGGTCTCTCTCTCTGGTCTCTCTCTCTGGTCTCTCTCTCTGGTCTCTCTCTATGGTCTCTCTCTGGTCTCTCTCTGGTCTCTCTCTGGTCTCTCTCTGGTCTCTCTCTGGTCTCTCTCTGGTCTCTCTCTGGTCTCTCTCTCTGGTCTCTCTCTCTGGTCTCTCTCTCTGGTCTCTCTCTCTGGTCTCTCTCTCTGGTCTCTCTCTCTGGTCTCTCTCTCTGGTCTCTCTCTCTGGTCTCTCTCTCTGGTCTCTCTCTCTGGTCTCTCTCTCTGGTCTCTCTCTCTGGTCTCTCTCTCTGGTCTCTCTCTCTGGTCTCTCTCTCTGGTCTCTCTCTGGTCTCTCTCTGGTCTCTCTCTGGTCTCTCTCTGGTCTCTCTCTGGTCTCTCCCCCTCTCTCTGGTCTCTCCCCCTCTCTCTGGTCTCTCCCCCTCTCTCTGGTCTCTCCAACTCTCTCTGGGTCTCTCCCTCTCTCTCTGGTCTCTCTCCGGTCTCTCTTTGGTCTCTCCCTCTCTCTCTGGTCTCTCCCTCTCTCCCTCTCTCTCTGGTCTCTCCCTCTCTCTCTGGTCTCTCCGGTCTCTCCCTCTCTCTCCGGTCTCTCCCTCTCTCTCCGGTCTCTCCCTCTCTCTCCGGTCTCTCCCTCTCTCTCTGGTCTCTCCCCCTCTCTCTGGTCTCTCCCTCTCTCTCTGGTCTCTCCGGTCTCTCCCTCTCTCTCCGGTCTCTCCCTCTCTCTCCGGTCTCTCCCCCTCTCTCTGGTTTATGTCCCAGTTTTAAACATTAGCATTGAGAGCCCGTTGCTCACCTCTGCCGTGCAGGGCCTCCCCGTTGGTCAGACTGTGGCTCTGTCTGAACCCGGGGCAGCAGACTCTGAAGAGCAGGGAGTAGGACTTGACCGTGTGATGATTGGTGGGTTCGAACTCGCAGCTGGGGACGGTGAGAGACGCCGCGCTCTGTCGGCTCTGGACAGCGCCGTCCGGGTTCAGGGCCACGGACTTCTTACCCGCCGGAAACTGCTTCACGGGACAACTCACGTCCTGCAGACAGACCATGAGCGTGGTGTCAGACTGAAGCTAAATATTTACTGTTTAGAATGTATATGATCGAGACAAGTGTACACTATGGTCTCTCACTCTCTGGACTCTCTGGTCTCTCTCTCTGGTCTCTCTCTGGTCTCTCTCTGGTCTCTCTCTGGTCTCTCTCTGGTCTCTCTCTGGTCTCTCTCTGGTCTCTCTCTGGTCTCTCTCTCTGGTCTCTCTCTGGTCTCTCTCTCTGGTCTCTCTCTGGTCTCTCTCTGGTCTCTCTCTGGTCTCTCTCTGGTCTCTCTCTGGTCTCTCTCTGGTCTCTCTCTGGTCTCTCTCTGGTCTCTCTCTGGTCTCTCTCTGGTCTCTCTATGGTCTCTCTATGGTCTCTCTATGGTCTCTCTATGGTCTCTCTCTGGTCTCTCTCTGGTCTCTCTCTGGTCTCTCTCTGGTCTCTCTCTGGTCTCTCTCTGGTCTCTCTCTGGTCTCTCTCTGGTCTCTCTCTGGTCTCTCTCTGGTCTCTCTCTGGTCTCTCTCTGGTCTCTCTCTGGTCTCTCTCTGGTCTCTCTCTGGTCTCTCTTGGTCTCTCTCTGGTCTCTCTCTGGTCTCTCTCTGGTCTCTCTCTGGTCTCTCTCTGGTCTCTCTCTGGTCTCTCTCTGGTCTCTCTCTGGTCTCTCTCTGGTCTCTCTCTGGTCTCTCTCTGGTCTCTCTCTGGTCTCTCTCTGGTCTCTCTCTGGTCTCTCTCTGGTCTCTCTCTGGTCTCTCTCTGGTCTCTCTCTGGTCTCTCTCTGGTCTCTCTCTGGTCTCTCTCTGGTCTCTCTCTGGTCTCTCTCTGGTCTCTCTCTGGTCTCTCTCTGGTCTCTCTCTGGTCTCTCTCTGGTCTCTCTCTGGTCTCTCTCTGGTCTTCTCCTCTGGTCTCTCTCTGGTCTCTCTCTGGTCTCTCTCTGGTCTCTCTCTGGTCTCTTCAAACATTTCTCTAAAGGTCTGATATAAAACCATAGAATTCTCACCTTTCTCTTTTTGTGGCAGACTTTAACCAGAAGCACTTCCAACGACACAGAATTCTGTTCGTTCTCAGAATTGTCCAGACACGTCCGTCCTACACAAAATATAAACATTTACTTTGACTTTAAAAATGATTTAACTTTAGGAAGTATTGTTCCTAAAGTTAATATTGTTCTAAGGTGAAGGATTCATTTGTGTTCAAGTGTGCGTTACTACAACACTGACTTTGGAATACTTCATTTGAATAAAACTGGACAAAAACAAAATGTGGAGATTTTCAGAATTCCATTGATTTGAATAGGAGCCTCTGGGAGTTCTACTGATAAATCTCACCTGTTTTGTGGAAGAATCCGGTGAAGGTGAGCTGCAGGTTGGAGTTCAGACTGAAATAAACAGTAAAAACTTTAATAATTAATATTATTGAAAACCAAAGTGACTGTGGTCCTGGTTCACCTCAGAGTCTCCTGTTCTCCTCGAGTCTTCTCCACTTTGTTCAAGAAGTCGTTCACCTTCCAGTTTTTCCTAAAAACAAAACAGATGATTCTATCTATAACAGACGTCAAATTACATTCAATAAGATAATAACGACTGAAACAAACTACTGCAGATCAGAAAACCACAGACAGGAAGTGTGGAAAGATGAAGACACACGCTTCACAATTCATCAGGTGAAGAACTACTACTGTAGCCACAGCTGCCCTGGGGCACAATGACAGAAGCCCCTCCCACCACCACCAACCATTCACACACACACCAGACTCATTCTGATGTATTGTAAATATCTCACATTATTTTAACTGTGTAGCAAACATTTTATCTTTCAGGAGACACGGGACTATGGATGAAAAACAGCCGCTTTGCTAATTCTGGCATATTTACAGAAATGTTCATTAACATGCACTGTTCCTGTAATAAATAAATAAATAAATGTGGGGGAAGTGTCTTGCCTAAGGACACAATCACAGTTTGGTACTTTACAGCCACAGCCGCCCCACTGTGGCACCTGCTGTTCTCAGAGGTCTCCCATCACAGCACTAACCAGGCCCTGCCCTGCTTAGCTTCAGAGATATATAACGAGATCAGGCTTTCAAAAGCAGGTGGTGCCACATCTCTGAAATTCAATCTGGACATAAGAAAATCCGTCTTATGTTTTATGTAAGGGATAACGTATATTACGCAGGTCATTGTCGGAAAATAAGTACCGACAGGGCAAAGCGGACCCCGACGCGCAGCGGAGGGGTCCGCTTTGCCCTGAAGGTACTTATTTTCCGATAATGACCTGCGTAATATACGTTATCCTGCTTATTATACGGCTTTGTACCAACAGAACACACAACATAAACTTCAGTCCACTTTTAGGAATGCCGAAAGGTTTATTTAATGACAGAAAATAGAATAGTTCCCAAAGGCTTTCCTGTGGCTATGCTAGCAACAGTTAGGCTAGCAACTTCCAAACTAGAACTCTCTGGAACTGGATGAAAACTGAACAAAGAATTCTGAACATCAGCGGTGAGTGACCCAAACATAAACTTAACCTAAATCCATAATTCCATCCTCTGCAAATGTTCCGAAAATGTGCCGTATCTACTTCCGGGTTTTTCGGGATCGCATTTTCTCGCATAACATCATTGTTTTTGTCATGAAAACGTAAACGGAAAATTCTGAAAACTTCCGTGCACTTGTATTAAGACTGGATATGTATAAATTACTCTCCGATAAACATTTCATTGCGTTGATTGATTGGCCGGAACTACTTCCGGGTTTTTCACGATCGCTTTTTGACGCAGAGAAATAGTATTTTTGTGATGAAGACAAGACCAGAAAATTCTGAAAATGTCCGTGCACGTGTGTGAAGAATGTATATGTATAAGTATTCTCCGATTAACATTTAAGTGTGTTGATTGATCGTGGCTAGCTCAGGAGTGGCCGGAACTACTTGCGGAGTTATCCACGCATTTGAAAGACAAGCAGAGAGTGCGTTGCCAAAGGCCAGCGGTCATTATTGTTTTGAGAGGTCCGTTATAGAAAATAATGACCGGTAGAAAGTTTAGAAATGACATTCACATCAATGGTTCTCCTGCTGCTGTGAGGAGCCGTATAATAAAAATATATAAAGCTTACAGCAGCCACAGGTGACGCTGAAAATGACACAACTGTAAAAAGTTCACTTTAGTCACAACCAAAGACTAAACATCAAGGACGTAGTGACGCCCATCTCTGCTGTTGAAAATAATGTGACATCACTTTTGTCTCATGTGGCTTTTTCAAAATGGCCGCTGGGAAAATATGAAAAAACACATTTGTGACTTAGCCCCATTCATTTAACGAGTGCATTCTGGAGTCCACAGCGGCTCAACTACACTGGTCCAAAAAATATAAACTCCCCTCAGACAGCCCCTGGAAGCAAGAGGACCAAGAGCCACTTTTGGACCAAGAACCACTTTTGGACCAAGAGCCACTTTTGGACCAAGAACCACTTTTGGACCAAGAGCCACTTTTGGACCAAGAGCCACTTTTGGACCAAGAGCCACTTTTGGACCAAGAGCCACTTTTGGACCAAGAGCCACTTTTGGACCAAGAGCCACTTTTGGACCAAGAGCCACTTTTGGACCAAGAGCCACTTTTGGACCAAGAGCCACTTTTGGACCAAGAGCCACTTTTGGACCAAGAGCCACTTTTGGACCGAGAGCCACTTTTGGACCGAGAGCCACTTTTGGACCGAGAGCCACTTTTGGACCGAGAGCCACTTTTGGACCGAGAGCCACTTTTGGACCGAGAGCCACTTTTGGACCGAGAGCCACTTTTGGACCGAGAGCCACTTTTGGACCGAGAGCCACTTTTGGACCGAGAGCCACTTTTGGACCGAGAGCCACTTTTGGACCGAGAGCCACTTTTGGACCAAGAGCCACTTTTGGACCAAGAGCCACTTTTGGACCAAGAGCCACTTTTGGACCAAGCCCTTCTGGAGCCGGACCCGCCCACACTGATCTTGAGCGAACACAGCATGTGCTCTGGCTCTGACCAAAGATAAAAACCGTTCTTTCGTGCATTCCTGAAGTTTCACAAATATCTAACATGAGCCAAAAGTACAGTCTGACAGTTCCATTAGTGCTTTTAACTAGGGCTGCACAATATTGAAAATTAGAGCGATATTCCTTATGAGCGTTCAGTATCGCGATAACGATATTATTGCAATATTTTTGTCTTTCAGCTGAAATTGCAATTGCTTTGAAACTTGAGAGAAAAAACAAATTAATGACCTTCAAATGAATATATCTATAAACTGTTTTGTTTGTTGTTCTTGTTGAGTCTTTTGTGTTGTCTTTGATAAAGGCAAAAATAAATGATCGGACAAGCCACTGTTAATCCTTTGCGTTGTACCTTTTGGCGTTGTTCCTGGAGTTTCTGTGGGACATGTACGTCAAAGTCCTGTGCAAGAAAATAGGCTGTAGAGAAAGAAAGAAAACATTAAAAAAATAATGATTAATCCGACCAACAGAACTTTCTTAAATGAAAACATCTCTCTCGAAGGCAACACTCACCGCGATCAGGTTCCTGGTGCGGAGGAATCTGTAGATCTGTGTTGGTTCTGGAGCAGACACAGACATTTAGAATTAGGTCGAGTTTAAGGTCCAGACTTTTTAGTAAGAGGTTCGAGCTGACGACGATATCATGATACGGGACATTTGTTAGAGAGAAATTATCTTTGTGCCGTAGCAACGACAAAAGCTGGAGTCCCCCATACGATCGTAAAGACAGATACGAGCCGTTTGACCGAAGAAAATATCTAAACACAAACCACAGGATCACAGAGAGCCATAAACCACAGGATCACAGAGAGCCATAAACCACAGGATCACAGAGAGCCATAAACCACAGGATCACAGAGAGCCATAAACCACAGGATCACAGAGAGCCATAAACCACAGGATCACAGAGAGCCATAAACCACAGGATCACAGAGAGCCATAAACCACAGGATCACAGAGAGCCATAAACCACAGGATCACAGAGAGCCATAAACCACAGGATCACAGAGAGCCATAAACCACAGGATCACAGAGAGCCATTAACCACAGGATCACAGAGAGCCATTAACCACAGGATCACAGAGAGCCATAAACCACAGGATCACAGAGAGCCATTAACCACAGGATCACAGAGAGCCATTAACCACAGGATCACAGAGAGCCATTAACCACAGGATCACAGAGAGCCATAAACCACAGGATCACAGAGAGCCATTAACCACAGGATCACAGAGAGCCATTAACCACAGGATCACAGAGAGCCATAAACCACAGGATCACAGAGAGCCATAAACCACAGGATCACAGAGAGCCATAAACCACAGGATCAAAGAGAGCTATTAACCACAGGATCACAGAGAGCCATTAACCACAGGATCAAAGAGAGCCATAAACCACAGGATCAAAGAGAGCTATTAACCACAGGATCACAGAGAGCCATTAACCACAGGATCAAAGAGAGCCATTAACCACAGGATCACAGAGAGCCATAAACCACAGCTGTTTTATTTATTTAGAGGAATGAGATAAGATACTCCTGTATTCGTCTCACAGTGGAGAAATGTTAAGGAAGGTGCTACAACTGCTGGTTTTAGGCCCAAAATGGTGGCTGTGATGCAAACGGTTACTGAGCCAGAGGAGTCAAAGGAGCCAGAGCAAGTTGGAGCAAAACCTCGTCCATGAGCACTTCCCTTAGGGGGCTTCATTGAACAAGCAGGTTTACAGGGTCAGGGTAAGTTTCAGCAGAACTGGTTATAAAAAGGGTACGAAAAGAGGTTTTACAGGATCAACAGGAGCATGTCATCTGCAGTCTGTTCGCTAGTTTTGGTCGAGGATCAGCAGATAGAGAAGCCAAAGTATCTGGCATGGACTTGAACAAATCTGGTGCACACTGGGGTAGTCTTGCACAGTTTTTCCAATGTGGTTTTACTGCAAATGGCAAATAAATGAATCTGAAAATCTAGATTTACGTAATAATCCTATTATCTGTGTATTTTATAATGTAAATGTACATATTCACAGATATGTATATTCCTGAGCACCTATATCCAGCTTATTCTATTCTCACAAATATTATCTTATTATTTTCAGGTTCTTACTTTGCTATTTTCCTTTTTATGTGGAATACTATGCAAGCTACTGTGACAACACAATTTCTCTGCGGATCAATGAAGTCTGTCCAAGTCTAAAAACAATAGAATTCAACAAAATAAAATCAGTCCAAAGTTACACAGGCAAAGATAGAGCAACTATAGTGGACTCAAGTTACTAATGAATCTACAACATTAGTGGACTCAAGTTACTAATGAATCTACAACATTACCTCCAGCGGCAGAAATACACCCAGATGTATACATATTTAAGCATAACACATATATACTGTAGGTCATGAGTTATAATTATAGTCTTTTACTTGATTTGATCTCAACACATAACTAACTTCATGAACAGACACAGAAAAGTCACAGTAAATTCGTCAGGGGAGGTTTTCAGCCGGTTTCAGAATTAGTCGAGTGTGAATCGTTTGTTCTCTTTAATGTAGTGACTCCGAGGGAAAGTTGACACAAGAACAACTAAAGAATGACAAGAATTCTCCGTGAGAGGACCACGGTCAGCAGCAGCAAAAACACAGCACCAGTCGCAAAAGTACAAATGAAAATAAGGTAAATACAAGTCAGCAGTGAAGTTAATGGTTATACATCTGCTCTAACTTAATCAGAAACGACATACATGTGGATGAGGGAAAGCCTTGACTGTAAAAACCTCAATTATAATCTCTTTAAAGTGGATTCATCGATTTGTTTTAAGCATAGAGATACGAGAAACTTGCTTATTCTACTCGCTACATAAATCGGGTCAGATTGTATTCAGGCTCCATGTTTGGTCATGAAGTTGAAGACCTTTTAAAGACTTTATCTCAAACTGCTCCCAGAAAAAGTGAGTGGGCAGTGATGCATCGTGTGGCTGGGAAATGGGCAGGAATAGTCCCAAGAAGGAGATTCAAATACATAGAAGAGTACATAGATTATTTAACAATCCTGTGGCTCCTCTGTTCATTACTCAGAACGCAAACTGTTTGTTATTAGTTTTAAAAACAAAGCAACACTCTTATAATTAGGCCGGTAATGTTACTGTGTGGAACTGGTTTGATATTTCTAACAAAAACGGCTTGTCCGACGGGAAAGCTGTTTGCAATTAAAAACTGTAATACATCTGTCTTTAATATATTACGTGCTGCAACATTTCAGCACATGGGACTATTGTATGTTTTACACTGTGTCTAGAGTTTGTCAGAATACACGACTTAATAGCTAAAGCATTTGTGTTCTAATCAAGGCAGAGGAGAAAAGACACTAATACAAACTAGTACTATAGGGTAGGACTGACACTAAGAAACCACAACAGAAACACGCATGAAGAGAATTATATGAAACGTATTTAGGCTTTTTAGTAAAGTCACTCTTGATAGAAGCTTATAACAAATCATTTCTGATCAGACACTGGTCTCTCGGTGTTAGCGTGTGTGTGTGTGTGTGTGTGTAGAGACTGGTTTCTGTACAATATTACTCTTGATTTGCTGATTGTGAAGAAAAATAAAAAGGTCTGTCTAATAGCACAGTTGTTTGTAATTATAAGCAGCTTCAGTGACAGACCGATCCACCCTCGCTGTGTGAAGGAGAGGATTCGCAGGTCTTTCCTTCCTGCTGCTGTCAGACTGCACAATGAGAACTGCTGAGCCTGTACATGTAATTTACTCTGTACATAGTAAATACTGCAATCATGTGGAATCCAGTCTAGATTTGTATTGCTACTGGAGCGTATAACAGGCCTATAGTTTGTGGACTACTTTAGTGCTCTTATTACTGTCCTGTATGTGCGCTGCAACACAGAAATTTCCCCACAGTGGGACAGATAAAGTAGATCTTAGCTTATAAACAGGTCATTATTAGTTGCAGTTTCCACATTTGTTCAAACAGTAAAAAGTATCTCGTTAAATTGTTAAATGGAAACGAGTTGAAGTGGGTATGGTAAGTTGGTATGAAGACATATTGTTGCTGCTGCTGTTATTCTATACATTAATATGAGTCCCACTAAAAAGCTAAGCTGATTTAGGAGACACAAATACAAATCAAATGCATTTATTCTGAACGATTGAGAAATATTATACTAAGTTTTCTGAACAAGCAGAATTCTGAGGCTCGTAATGTTCCATCATGTTTAACAATGTTCGACTTCACACGAATACAACAGGGATCATGTGTGTTTTCTGCTAAGTTTGTAAGTAAGTAAGTAAGTTTTTATTTATATACCGCCTTTTCACTGCAGATCTGAGTCTCAAAGCGGTTTACAATTGTTAATTTTTGGGCATTTGTCTCTCACTCCACACAGAGATGGGAGCGGGGCCAGTACAGGAGGCGCATGCCAGAACTGTTGGACATATTTTTAGTGGTAGGGGAAACCGGAGTACCCGGAGGAAACCTACGCAGACACGGGGAGAACATGCAAACTCCACTCAGAAAGGCCCTGGTGCGACCGGGATTCGAACCCAGGACCTTCTTGCTGAGCAGCCACCGTGCCGCCCAATAAAAGATAATGATTTTCCCAAACTAGTGTGTATAAATGATGATAAAGTGCAGCGGGGGGTCTCACTCTCGAAGGCCTGCAGGAACAGCTCGTGGTCGGCTTGGATCTGCTGCATGCTCTGCTTCTTGCTGGTGGAGGATTGCGCGTAGAGACCATTGGTTTTCCCCCCAGAACCGTAGGCCATCGTGGACCCGGAGTGTCTGTGAGGAGCCATCGGTGGATCCTGAGAAATGAATCTAAATATGAAAACAGAAAATCACCACGAAACAAAAAAACTCTGCTTCCTTTGTCAAAACAAAAGAGCAGCGCGTCCACAGCCCCGTGTGTCCAACAGAAACGTCTTCATTTTACTAAAGAAAAGTGCTTCAAGTTCGGGAGTGTGTTGTTTGAAGTTTGAGGCTTGTGTTTTTCCAGTGAATCTTAATCCTGTGAAAGGACTCTCACTGCAGACGACAGCGGGAGAGAGTCTTTGAAATGCGGGAAACCATACTCCAGGGGCACCATCCTGCTGCTTGTTAGCGCCACATGCTAACTTCCGTAGCACGCCGCTAGCACAGCCGCGGCTACTGCTAACCGGTTAGCGAAGTTTTAGCCTTCCGATCCGCCCAATATCAATTAAACATATACATCCAAATCAGTGACTTGTATAATATATGTTTATCAATGCAATCACTTGATGTTACTGTGTACATACATCCTTAAGATGTGTTTAATCACGGGCCGCCTGTTAGCACATTGTGTTTGGCAAAGCTACATATTAAAATAAGGGCGTTTCCGGTTAAGGCATTTATTTTTATTATATATTTTACCCGCATTTAACCTCTTACTTTCAAACTAAAACAACATAGCCCCATATTACAAATAATAGTATTGTCAAATGATCAATAACATATGACTAAACAGTTATTAATACAATGTACTATCGAAAATATAGAAACTGCGCCCTTTTATTTTGAAAGGGCGCATCCACTTATATCACATTGATTTCTGTAACTTGACGTCATTGACTGAAAGTTTGGGATTTTCATTGAAAGATCCCGCCTCCGTCTACTACAACCAATCACAGCTCTTGTTTGTCACCGAGTTCTGATTTGTGGAAATTACTGGTGCAAGAAAAACGTTTATCTTTCTCTAATTTCTGATTATTTAAAAAGATCACTAATTGGATGTTCATCTGAGCCATCTAGCATCTTAGCATAGCATTTATAATAGCATTTATCTTGTTTTGACATGGAAGACATCAGAATCAGTGTAAGTAACAGGGATTTTCTTAGGCTCAAGGTGCAAACAAGTTATACGAGTAAAAAATCACAATATTTAACATTTAAATAATTACTACAAACATAAGTACAGAGAATCAACATAGCAGTAAAGTGACAGTAGCCATTTCAAACAAAGCCACACGTTCTTCTGCATTCAGTTAAAATCATTTATTCACCAGAGGTTTCCCTTTTGATAGTTTAATTTAAAACAGATGGCAGTGCATTGATGGCATCAGTATTATTATTATGGTCAAAATAAACGTTGGGGTTTCACAGAGCAGCGATACAGGATGTGCAATGTAAAAAATACAATATTCAATCAGAGTTTAAATGTAAATCAGACAAAAGTTAAAACATTAAGTCATCTTTATAGCAGTCAACAGTGTAGATTGAGGTTTTATAATGATAACAAATGTAACAGAAAATGGAGAATCAAGTAGCAAAGTATTGAATTTTTCCCATAGGGTCCAAATATTTGAGATTCCTCTGGCTGGTGCTGAGTCACACTGAGCTCGAAGTAGAGACGCTGCTTCTCCATGCCTTAAACAAAATCTCTTAATATCTGGATTTTTCTAAACTCCCATATGCGGCTCCTTTGCCTTCCATATTAAGAAGTCCTTTTAAAGCAGGTTGTCAAAAGTAAAGTTTGAAAAAAGGGAAGAACATAGATATTTTGACAGACTGCGAAATCAAAATAATAAATTAAAAGTAAACATAATTGATTATTACTAGTTGTATCTCGTGCATGTAACAATGTTAATTATGTGTAACAAATGGTTTTATCATTACTAATATTAGGCTTAGACATAACATACATTTACCCCAAAACAGGGTTGAAAAATGAATATATTAAGGTACACTTGATTTATCCCTGCATTTGACCTCTGCATTTGACCTCTGCATTTGACCTCTGCATTTGACCTCTGCATTTGACCTCTGCATTTGACCCATCCTGCAATTCCTCCAGGGTTAGTGTTAGGACCAATAATTACTATGACTCATTAACACCATAATTGTTTTTATTTATAGCAGATAAGATTAAGAAATAGTTCTATGATCGGTTTGAATAGTCTGCAGATGTACGGAGCCTGTGGTAGAAGTTCATTATTAGCATCTAAGTCTTTCTGTAGTTACACAAAAAGGAATATATTAAGTTCATAAGATCAAGCATATTTGAGCGCTACAGAAATGTAATAATACGTCATTTGTACCAATTCTTATGAGAAATTCCTTGTCGTTTTAGTCTCGGGCCAAGTGGTTGTTCTATACTTAATATTCTTGTGTTGTGTGCTCCTCATTCCTACTGTTCTGTAACTTATAAGACAATATATTAAATAATATTAACTTATTTTCGGGGAATTACGTGACAGATATTCAAAAGTTCTCAGGTTGGCAGATTAAGAGTTGAATGATCAAATCCAGTTGTTCCGTCGCTCTCATTTCCAGCTTGAAAGGCCCAAAAAAAGTGTTTTAGTGTTTTCTTAGTAAAATGTAGGTCATCATGAGGATAAGGCCCGCGGACAGACCAGCGATCACAAACTGGTGGATGGACAGGACGTTCTCCAGCGTGTGGATGCGCTCCTCCATGGCGCTGGTGTGGAAGTAGTCGTAGACCCCGGCGGCGATGCTCCACACGGCCCACACGGCGTCCACCACGATGTGCATGACGAGGGAACGGGTCAGAGGCTGCAGGAGACGGAGACAAACAGGGGATTAATGTACTGTTAATGTACTGTTAATGTACTGTTAATGTACTGTTAATATACTGTTCATATACTGTTAATGTACTGATAATGTACTGTTAATGTACTGTTAATGTACTGATAATGTACTGATAATGTACTGATAATGTACTGTTAATATACTGTTAATATACTGTTAATATACTGTTAATGTACTGATAATGTACTGTTAATGTACTGTTAATGTACTGTTAATGTACTGTTAATGTACTGTTAATGTACTGTTGATGTACTGTTGATGTACTGTTAATATACTGTTAATGTACTGTTAATATACTGTTAATGTACTGTTAATGTACTGTTAATGTACTGATAATGTACTGATAATGTACTGTTAATATACTGTTAATATACTGTTAATATACTGTTAATGTACTGTTAATGTACTGTTAATATACTGTTAATGTACTGATAATGTACTGTTAATGTACTGTTAATGTACTGTTGATGTACTGTTAATATACTGTTAATGTACTGTTAATATACTGTTAATGTACTGTTAATGTACTGTTGATGTACTGTTAATATACTGTTAATGTACTGTTAATGTACTGATAATATACTGATAATGTACTGATAATATACTGTTAATGTACTGTTAATGTACTGATAATGTACTGATAATATACTGATATTGTACTGATAATATACTGTTAATGTACTGATAATGTACTGATAATGTACTGATAATATACTGATAATGTACTGATAATGTACTGTTAATGTACTGTTAATGTACTGTTAATATACTGTTAATGTACTGATAATGTACTGTTAATGTACTGTTAATGTACTGTTAATGTACTGTTAATGTACTGATAATGTACTGATAATATACTGATATTGTACTGATAATATACTGTTAATGTACTGTTAATGTACTGATAATATACTGATAATGTACTGTTAATGTACTGATAATATACTGATAATGTACTGATAATGTACTGTTAATATACTGTTAATATACTGATAATGTACTGATAATGTACTGTTAATATACTGTTAATGTACTGTTGATGTACTGTTAATATACTGTTAATGTACTGTTAATATACTGTTAATGTACTGTTAATGTACTGTTGATGTACTGTTAATATACTGTTAATGTACTGTTAATGTACTGATAATATACTGATAATGTACTGATAATATACTGTTAATGTACTGTTAATGTACTGATAATGTACTGATAATATACTGATATTGTACTGATAATATACTGTTAATGTACTGATAATGTACTGATAATGTACTGATAATATACTGATAATGTACTGATAATGTACTGTTAATGTACTGTTAATGTACTGTTAATGTACTGTTAATGTACTGATAATGTACTGTTAATGTACTGTTAATGTACTGTTAATGTACTGTTAATGTACTGATAATGTACTGATAATATACTGATATTGTACTGATAATATACTGTTAATGTACTGTTAATGTACTGATAATATACTGATAATGTACTGATAATGTACTGTTAATATACTGTTAATATACTGATAATGTACTGATAATGTACTGTTAATATACTGTTAATATACTGTTAATATACTGTTAATATACTGATAATGTACTGATAATATACTGTTAATATACTGATAATGTACTGATAATATACTGATAATATACTGTTAATGTACTGTTAATATACTGTTAATGTACTGTTAATGTACTGTTAATGTACTGATAATATACTGATATTGTACTGATAATATACTGTTAATGTACTGTTAATGTACTGATAATGTACTGATAATGTACTGTTAATGTACTGTTAATATACTGTTAATATACTGATAATGTACTGATAATATACTGATAATGTACTGTTAATATACTGATAATGTACTGATAATGTACTGTTAATATACTTTTAATATACTGTTAATGTACTGATAATATACTGTTAATATACTGTTAATATACTGATAATGTACTGATAATGTACTGTTAATATACTGTTAATATACTGATAATGTACTGATAATATACTGTTAATATACTGATATTGTACTGATAATATACTGTTAATGTACTGTTAATGTACTGATAATGTACTGTTAATGTACTGTTAATGTACTGTTAATGTACTGTTAATGTACTGATAATGTACTGATAATGTACTGTTAATATACTGTTAATGTACTGATAATGTACTGATAATGTACTGTTAATATACTGTTAATATACTGATAATGTACTGATAATAATGTTAATATACTGATAATATACTGATAATGTACTGATAATGTACTGTTAATATACTTTTAATATACTGTTAATGTACTGATAATATACTGTTAATATACTGTTAATATACTGATAATGTACTGATAATATACTGTTAATGTACTGTTAATATACTGTTAATATACTGTTAATGTACTGATAATGTACTGATAATGTACTGTTAATGTACTGATAATGTACTGTTAATGTACTGTTAATGTACTGTTAATGTACTGTTAATGTACTGATAATGTACTGATAATATACTGTTAATATACTGTTAATATACTGTTAATACTGTAATGTACTGATGATAATATACTGTTTAATAATGTACTGTAATATACGTTAATATACTGATAATGTACTGATAATAATGTACTGTTAATGATAATAATGTACTGATATGTACTGTTAATACTGATAATGTTGATAATACTGTTATGTCTGATAATGTACTGTACTGTTAATGTACTGATATTACTGATAATACTACTGTTAATATACTGATAATGTACTGATAATGTACTGTTAATATACTTTTAATATACTGTTACTGATAATATACTGATAATGTACTGATAATGTACTGTTAATATACTTTTTAATATACTGTTAATGTACTGATAATATACTGTTAATGTCCTGTTAATGTCCTGTTAATGTACTGTTAATATACTGTTAATACACAGGATACAAAGGACTGGGGAAACCACGAAGGAGCGATGGCCATGACTGAGCACCAATCAGTGAGCGCCGCTGATTTGACCATTAGAAAGTCGCTCCTGTCAATCAGAACTGGCACATTTCTTTAAATGTAGGATGTGAAAAATAAGTTTCTACTTTCTGTAGTTTAGCAGAGTTAGAGCTGGATATTTATGACTCATTTGTAGGCGATCAGCTTGAATCTTTCCAATGGAGAAGTCTACAGCCACATTTCATTAGTTCTAATTTGGAAATCACAAAGACAGAGATCAAGTACTCTGCCAGTCAAAAAAAACGGTATTGTGAGCTTACCCCAGTTTGGGAAGCACTGGTTAAAAGCACTACTAGTTTATAATAATCATGTCCAATGACTTTCTACATGAATCCATATTGAACAGAAATATATGTCTTTATTCAGACTCTGGGACACTAAAAAGAAACACAGGCCGACAACAAAAGACAAGATATACATAAAATAAAATAAAAACAGACAAGCTTCTAAAACACAGCTTGATAAAGTAAATCCACCGAGAGGCACAGTTGCATTTCTTACAAGTGAAAAATCCAGCATTCAGGTGATTTTTCAGATCACCGCCAGAGGTGCTCTCAGACAAACGCAAAAGTGAAAACTATGGCTGAAAACAAAGAATAAGGATCAGATCTTAAATAGTTCCTACTTCCTGACACTCCCAGACCAGTTCTCTGATAATGGACATATCCAGAACTACAAAGTGTATGTTGTTATGGACATGAACACACATGAGCTGTTTTTGTCACGTGACACCATTATTATCAAATGTAGCGTTACTGAGCGAGCACGTTCTGGCTCATTTCCACAGACTGTAATGAAATGTTGGAGGAGGAACAATCGGTTACTCACGGCATTAGATCAGATCACTGCTGTTGTCCGAATCGACCAAAGGATCTCGATTATTGTTCATAGTGAAATATTAGTCGTTATTTTCATGTTGCTGTCATTCAAGAACACTCCAGCAGCTGCTCCGAGCACTTCCGCTATGTCCCGGGGGTGCCAGATACTCCGACGACAATACGTGACTTACCCTGCAGTATCTTATGTCTGTTTTTAGCATGATTTATACTTAAACAATGGTAGATTTTATGATGGGTTCTTCGGATACATTTCAAAACGATTTAAAGAATAATACATTTTGTCTTGTTTATGTATTTTTTGCTTTGATACAAGTGATTATCTAGTGTTGAAACTAGCTTCAGTAATGGTTATTTTCCGAAAGATTCTTTAGATCACCCAATTAATCCTATATTGAACTTTTATTCATGTACTTTGTTTAACTTTGTCACTTTTTAAAACGACTTTGAGAGCCCAGAAAGGTGCCAGATTTTGTTTGGTGCAGATGGGAGTGATGATGATGATGATCTGTAGGTTCTGCCGCTCGCTCTCTGGATAAAGTCTACCACTTATGTGTTTTTAGGCCTCCAAGGAGCATCCGAAAAAGATGCCCAAGGCTCTGAGGCAGTGGCTCTACTCTGAGCTCCTTCTGTGTAAGTGAACTCTCCACTCTATCTCTCAGAGCTCACAGGGACTCTGTGGCTACACCCAAGTCAATATCCAAAGCTCATGAATAAAGAACTTTGGAGAATGTCCATTAATAAACAACATGAATTCTCTTGTTCCACTCGACAGTGTTTGCGGCCCAAAGTCGTATAAATGAACGGACCTGGCAACCTCTTAGTGTTTGGCTTCTTCTTCCGAGTGTCTCCGAGCGCGTGCGAGCAGCGCTGTAAAAATAAAAACATCGATCTGTCAACAGTGAGTTTTTACCATAGATCCATGGTTTTCACACAACATTTACTCAGTCTGACCGCGGAAGTGAATTATAATGTTATTTATTACACGCAATAACGACGTAAAGCAGCCACAGAGAGGCTTCGAAGTGTCGCCTTTAACTGCACAATTATTAAAACATGAGCGTAAATGTCGTCGCACATATGTATTATAAATGTTGTCAACAGAATTCCTTATAAAAGCACATCGTTCTCTCACAGTTAAATAAATTTGCAATGTTTGTAAATTTTTAGAGTGCCGCGTGTGCAGTACCAGGCGCGGTGGCCAAGTGGTAAGGCGTCGGTCTCGTAAACCGAAGATCGCGGGTTCGAACCCCGTCCGTGCCTGCGGCGTGACGTTAAACTTACTTCTTTTTTAAATGAACAAAAACATCATTCACTAAAACATGAACATTCTCAAAGAAGCTTTCTACAATATGCTGTTGTGCTTCATATAATCTATAATCACACAACATGAGTCTTTCAGGTTAACTTTCATTTCTAAACTTTTTGTTTTTGAAAAAGAAAATATTGAAATAAATAATTGGGCATTGTAGGTTCATACCAGTGAAGAGAAATGTCAGTGTTGCACCGCACAGCTCAAGAGAAAGTACATGTAGGAGTAGTTGTGGTTTATACAAAGCAGTCCGGGGTCTACAGCCTCAGTCCTGAGTCTACAGCCTCAGTCCTGGGTCTCGGATCTACAGCCTCAGTCCTGGGTCTACAGCCTCAGTCCTGGGTCTCGGATCTACAGCCTCAGTCCTGGGTCTACAGCCTCAGTCCGGGGTCTACAGCCTCACTCCTGGATCTACAGCCTCAGTCCGGGGTCTACAGCCTCAGTCCTGGGTCTACAGCCTCAGTCCTGGGTCTCGGATCTACAGCCTCAGTCCAGGGTCTACAGCCTCAGTCCGGGGTCTACAGCCTCACTCCTGGATCTACAGCCTCAGTCCGGGGTCTACAGCCTCAGTCCGGGGTCTACAGCCTCAGTCCTGGGTCTACAGCCTCAGTCCGGGGTCTACAGCCTCAGTCCTGGGTCTACAGCCTCAGTCCGGGGTCTACAGCCTCAGTCCTGGGTCTACAGCCTCAGTCCGGGGTCTACAGCCTCACTCCTGGATCTACAGCCTCAGTCCGGGGTCTACAGCCTCAGTCCTGGGTCTACAGCCTCAGTCCTGGGTCTACAGCCTCAGTCCGGGGTCTACAGCCTCAGTCCGGGGTCTACAGCCTCAGTCCGGGGTCTACAGCCTCAGTCCTGGGTCTACAGCCTCAGTCCTGGCTACCTGCAGACCATGACACAGATTCTCTCTTGGGCTGTGGTGTTTGTCTTGCAGTTAATCATTCAAAAATAAACTTCAGTTGAAAGTTTAAATCAAATTTATCAACAACACATACTGCTTACGATTTTCTTTTATTGCAACAGTCGGAAGAATGATTAAATAGGAAGTCAAATATAACAGCATAACAATGGCAAAACTGGAAAAATATTTAGTATTTGTAGTTAAATGTCAGTTTTGGTCCAGGGTCATGACTTTAAATATGAGTAAAATGTTTCTTATTACGCCAAAGGATTGTATTCTTCTTTATTATGCCGAGGTCAGAGTTTAAGTACTCACTATGCTAAAGACAGAGATTTTATACAGATTTTTATGCTAGAGTTTATTAGATATTATTTAGTACAGTGTTATTGTTCATTTGTCTTGTGTGCTCCTCATTCCTACCGCTCTGTAACCGGTGATGCAACACTGGAATTTCTCCACAGTGGGACTAATTAAGAATCTCTTCATCTTCATCTCTTCTCACTAGACTCCAACACTCTCTGGACTATATCAACTCGTCCGGTGGTTTCTAAGTTGGCCTCGCTCCAGTCAATCACGTCGCCATTTTGAGACGTTTTTCCAGTATTCGCCATTTCTCTGATGACGTTATCCGGGAGAACTTTGCTCCACAAGTTGATGTCGGATATTTCTCCAACAAAACTCTGATCGTAATCGAAGCTGCCCAGGTAGTCGTCGGGGTCTTGGCCGATGATGACGATGCCTCCGCTGCGGACGTGGTGGTTTTTCTGGTAGATCTTGGTCAGGCTTCTCCTGCCGTCGAAGAACACGGTGGTGGCTCCGCTGGAGGACTCCCAGCTGATGCACAGGTGAGTCTGCAGCGCCCCCAGCGTCGGCATCTCAAAGATTACGCCGCCGGCGCTGCTCATGTACAGGCCGATTCTGAACGACAGGACATGAAGAGACAGACGCAGGAAAACTGGTTATTGAGACTTACTGTTCCACAGGAGGCGTTACAGCTCGTACGCGGTATACGCACAGCAGATGTGCGCAACATTGTTCCATGTAAACCAATGGTGATATTTACACTAGTGTCATACTAGATCGCATCTACACACACACACACACACACACACACACACACACACACACACACACACACACACACACACACACACACACACACACACACACACACACAAACACACAAACACACAAACACACAAACACACAAACACACACACACACACACACGAGGAGCAGCAGGTTTTATTTTCTTTCATTTATGAAAAGATATAAAGTCTGGCGTCTGGTCAGACCAGCAACAGAGACCATGAAGACAAACACATGTGATGGTGTTGCTCTACATAGTCCTCTGTACTGTCCTCTGCACTGCTCCACAGACTGCACAGAGACAGCATCAGAAGGACCTGCTCTGTACTGTCCTCTGCACTGCTCCACAGACTGCACAGAGACAGCATCAGAAGGACCTGCTCTGTACTGTCCTCTGTACTGTCCTCTGCACAGGGACAGCATCAGAAGGACCTGCTCTGTACTGTCCTCTGCACTGCTCCACAGACTGCACAGAGACAGCATCAGAAGGACCTGCTCTGTACTGTCCTCTGTACTGTCCTCTGCACAGGGACAGCATCAGAAGGACCTGCTCTGTACTGTCCTCTGCACTGCTCCACAGACTGCACAGGGACAGCATCAGAAGGACCTGCTCTGTACTGTCCTCTGCACTGCTCCACAGACTGCACAGAGACAGCATCAGAAGGACCTGCTCTGTACTGTCCTCTGCACTGCTCCACAGACTGCACAGGGACAGCATCAGAAGGACCTGCTCTGTACTGTCCTCTGCACTGCTCCACAGACTGCACAGGGACAGCATCAGAAGGACCTGCTCTGTACTGTCCTCTGCACTGCTCCACAGACTGCACAGGGACAGCATCAGAAGGACCTGCTCTGTACTGTCCTCTGCACTGCTCCACAGACTGCACAGGGACAGCATCAGAAGGACCTGCTCTGTACTGTCCTCTGTACTGTCCTCTGCACAGGGACAGCATCAGAAGGACCTGCACACAGCCTGTGGACATACTCCCATATATTGTTACCGCTGTTAACGCTGACTGTGGACATTCCCTGTATGATGAAGGACTCACTGCATTTCTGATGTTTGAACAGATTCTCGATCTGTGTTGGTTTTGTAAAGTCCTCTAAAACTATTATTGTTGGGATTTAGGGTTATGTGAAAGATACTGTCAGACCTCTGAACCTATGAAGGTCAGGGCCTGGTTGGAGTTGTGATGGGAGACCTCTGGGAACATCGGGTGCTAGATTACTTAGGTAAGACATATCCCCTATATTAATGTAATATAATGTTTATTTAGGAACATTTTACAGACCAAAGTCACCCAAAGCACTTTACAATGGTCAGAGTTTTTACATCCACTCTGTGATGATGGAAGCACCAGAACTCACTGGATCAAAGACTCAACACCATCCATTCACTCACTCTTTACATTCAGACATATTGGGCAAGTTCTTAGTGGTAGGGGAAAGCGGAGCACCCGGAGGAAACCTACGCACACATGAGGAAGGCCCTGTTCCGACTGGGATTCGAACCTAGGACCTTCTTGATGAGAAGCAAGTGGTGAGTGGTAAGCATTTCTGGCTGAGTGCTAACCACTCAGACACTCAGATTGTGTCTGGTGTGTGAATGGTTTAGGGGTGGGAGGGGCCAGTTGCCTCGCTTACCTCAGTGTGCCCCAGGGCAACTGTGGCTACATTAGTAGTTTATCTTCACGATAATGACATGCGAAGAGTTAGAGGGACTGTGGAGTGGAGAGGGAAGTCTGGACGTCTCTGCAGAAGAAAATGTTTGGATCTCCTCTAAGACCACACACACAGGTACCTCCTCTGAGACCACACACACCGGTACCTCCTCTGAGACCACACACACAGGTACCTCCTCTGAGACCACACACACAGGTACCTCCTCTAAGACCACACACACAGGTACCTCCTCTGAGACCACACACACAGGTACCTCCTCTAAGACCACACACACAGGTACCTCCTCTAAGACCACACACACAGGTACCTCCTCTGAGACCACACACACAGGTACCTCCTCTAAGACCACACACACAGGTACCTCCTCTGAGACCACACACACAGGTACCTCCTCTAAGACCACACACACAGGTACCTCCTCTGAGACCACACACACAGGTACCTCCTCTGAGACCACACACACAGGTACCTCCTCTAAGACCACACACACAGGTACCTCCTCTGAGACCACACACACAGGTACCTCCTCTGAGACCACACACACAGGTACCTCCTCTGAGACCACACACACAGGTACCTCCTCTAAGACCACACACACAGGTACCTCCTCTGAGACCACACACACAGGTACCTCCTCTGAGACCACACACACAGGTACCTCCTCTGAGACCACACACACAGGTACCTCTTCTGAGACCACACACACAGGTACCTCCTCTGAGACCACACACACAGGTACCTCCTCTGAGACCACACACACAGGTACCTTCCGTCATACTCCCTCCACAGGTTGAGCTCGTCGAAGTTCTGGGTCCTGTAGGCGAACAGAATGATCTCTCTCCTGGTGTGACGCAGCTCCGTGGCCAGTCTCAGACACAGAGTGAAGGCGCCCAGACTCAGGGGCTTCTGAGGAGTCACAGTCACGTAGTCAGTGCTCGACTCAGCGCTGAAGACCAGAGAGCGGACCACACCAGCCCCTGACGGAGACACGGAAACGTCAGGACCCGGACCATGGATCTGACCAGGACTAATGCCACATCACACATTCATATATTTATACGAATATATACGTGGGTCTCAGCTGGAGCAGTGTCAGGACCATTAGCCACTTAGAATCAGTTTGTAATCAATGGGAAATACTGTAAACGTGGGCTGGTGCTCTGTGACTGCCACTCCCGACCCAGAAATGGATAAAGGGGAAGAACATAGATGGATGGACTGCAAACATGGGGGAGGCAGAGTTTTATTTGTTTTGCAGAAGAGACCTTAATTTCCCAGGACTGACATTTGTTTTTGAGTCACAAAATTCCATAATTTTTAATAAACAGGATTTTTCTAACTTGAATGTTGAGGAAAGTATGTTTTGACATAATTATGACTAAAACAAACATACTATTCAAATACACTTATCCATGTCATTCCTCTACCTTCTATTCCTTTACCGGCCACAGCCAGCGACGCAGCACAGAGGCAGAGCACAGCAGAGATCCCCATTTTGTCTGAAACACAAAAACAAAACCATTTTCCAGCAGGAGGCCAGTCCCTGTGCTCCTCAGAGTCCCAGCAGGAGTCCAGTCCCTGTGCTCCTCAGAGTCCCAGCAGGAGGCCAGTCCCTGTGCTCCTCAGAGTCCCAGCAGGAGGCCAGTCCCTGTGCTCCTCAGAGTCCCAGCAGGAGGCCAGTCCCTGTGCTCCTCAGAGTCCCAGCAGGAGGTCAGTCCCTGTGCTCCTCAGAGTCCCAGCAGGAGGCCAGTCCCTGTGCTCCTCAGAGTCCCAGCAGGAGGCCAGTCCCTGTGCTCCTCAGAGTCCCAGCAGGAGGCCAGTCCCTGTGCTCCTCAGAGTCCCAGCAGGAGGCCAGTCCCTGTGCTCCTCAGAGTCCACAGCAGGAGTCCAGCCCCTGTGCTCCTCAGAGTCCCAGCAGGAGGCCAGTCCCTGTGCTCCCCAATGGCGTTAGCTCCTTACCTTGTCTTCCCAGTGAGTCTAGGCCGATCCCTGTGAGCTTGAGGCCTTATATGTACCTTATTTTCGAGGTTATCGTGTGGACTGTGGACCGTCAGTTCAGACTTTACAAATATTTCGATTGGCTCTGGTTCACAGACTCAACACTGACGGGAAATATGAACATATTTATTCTACACGCTGGAGGAGAGGTTTGATGGTAAATACAGCTGCGACATGTGGGCGACAGACCAACCAAGCTTTAAAAGCATAAACATGGACAAACACATTATGTCAATGGTTGGTGCTCGTACTTTGAGGCAAAAAAGTCCTGAGTTTGATTCCACCTCCAGACAGGGACTCTCTGTGTGGAGTTTGCATGTTCTCCCCGTGTCTGTGTAGACTCCCACTACCACTTGTAGCCAATAATTCCCTTTGGCTGGCGTGTCCACAATTTGGTACAGAAATCAGACGAAGATATCCAAGTTTAACATCTGCATTTAATTATCTTTACAATCAGATACAGAATATTCAACAAAAAGGTGCTCCTAAACTAATATGTCCCTCTCCTGGCCCTCGGCTGATTTTTTTTTCGTCTCTTCCCAAGCCAGAGCATTATGTTCAGGGAGCAGGGGGCGTGTCGTATCAGGGAGGTCCTGTGCCCAGGGTCCGATGACGTCACAGGTCTGAAACTGGTCTCTGGTCTGAGACTGGTCTGGTCTCTGCTTAAGCAAACAATGCCCCCACCCGTGCGGCGCCTGTGTAAACGCAGCTGCTGCGGGAGGGGGCTGCGGGGGATCCATAGGTCAAATTTGCCACACATGTGTTTATTCTGGGAGTCAATAATTATAATCTGGCTTTTGTAAGCTGGTCCTCCTTTATGATTCTCGTACTTCTTGTGTCCTTGGGGTTTTTCCTGAGTGCACAGAGGTCTTTTTTTGGCTATGATGTTCAAATGGTCAAATATTGTCACATCTGAATAGTGTAGATTTAAAATATACAACACACTAAAAACACATAGGTCTGATTGTATTGAGTGAAAGAGTGGCGACGGACGAAACCCCTGATGCACCAAAGTGTGTGTGTGTGTGTGTGTGTGTGTGTGTGTGTGTGTGTGTGTGTGTGTGTAATGGATCTATAGCTGCTCTTCAAAAACATTGTGAAACAACTCATGTGGCCTTGGCCTGAAAACGTATCAATGATTAAAAAAAACAAATAATTCCGGCCCCAAATTCAGTTTTAGAACGATAACATCCAAATTGAAGCTGTTTTGGTTCAGGACAAATATAAAGTGTAAAGAGATTTTCTTCCATTCATTACAGTGGAGACCGCAGTGAGACCAGCTATGACCAGGGCTCCTTCTCCTCCTCATCTGCTGCTCTCATCACCTCCTCATCTGCTGCTCTCCTCATCACCTCCTCTGCTGCTCTTATCACCTCCTCATCTGCTGCTCTCCTCATCACCTCCTCATCTGCTGCTCTTATCACCTCCTCATCTGCTGCTCTCATCACCTCCTCTGCTGCTCTCATCACCTCATCTGCTGCTCTCATCACCTCATCTGCTGCTCTCATCACCTCCTCATCTGCTGCTCTCATCACCTCCTCATCTGCTGCTCTCCTCATCACCTCCTCTGCTGCTCTTATCACCTCCTCATATGCTGCTCTCCTCATCACCTCCTCATCTGCTGCTCTTATCACCTCCTCATCTGCTGCTCTCATCACCTCATCTGCTGCTCTCATCACCTCCTCATCTGCTGCTCTCATCACCTCCTCATCTGCTGCTCTCCTCATCACCTCCTCTGCTGCTCTTATCACCTCCTCATCTGCTGCTCTCCTCATCACCTCCTCATCTGCTGCTCTCATCATCTCCTCATCTGCTGCTCTTATCACCTCCTCATCTGCTGCTCTCATCACCTCCTCATCTGCTGCTCTCATCACCTCATCTGCTGCTCTCATCACCTCCTCATCTGCTGCGCTCTTCACCTCCTCATCTGCTGCTCTCATCACCTCCTCATCTGCTGCTCTTATCACCTCCTCATCTGCTGCTCTCATCACCTCATCTGCTGCTCTCATCACCTCCTCATCTGCTGCGCTCTTCACCTCCTCATCTGCTGCTCTCATCACCTCCTCATCTGCTGCTCTCATCACCTCATCTGCTGCTCTCATCACCTCCTCATCTGCTGCTCTCTTCTCCTCCTCATCTGCTGCTCTCATCACCTCCTCATCTGCTGCTCTCATCACCTCATCTGCTGCTCTCATCACCTCCTCATCTGCTGCTCTCATCACCTCCTCATCTGCTGCTCTCATCACCTCCTCATCTGCTGCTCTCATCACCTCCTCCTCTGCTGCTCTTATCACCGCCTCATCTGCTGCTCTCCTCATCACCTCCTCATCTGCTGCTCTCATCACCTCCTCATCTGCTGCTCTTATCACCTCCTCATCTGCTGCTCTCATCACCTCATCTGCTGCTCTCATCACCTCCTCATCTGCTGCGCTCTTCACCTCCTCATCTGCTGCTCTCATCACCTCCTCATCTGCTGCTCTCATCACCTCATCTGCTGCTCTCACCACCTCCTCATCTGCTGCTCTCATCACCTCCTCATCTGCTGCTCTCATCACCTCATCTGCTGCTCTCATCACCTCCTCATCTGCTGCGCTCTTCACCTCCTCATCTGCTGCTCTCATCACCTCCTCATCTGCTGCTCTCATCACCTCCTCATCTGCTGCTCTCTTCTCCTCCTCATCTGCTGCTCTCATCACCTCCTCATCTGCTGCTCTCCTCATCACCTCCTCATCTGCTGCTCTCATCACCTCCTCATCTCTGCTGCTCTCTCATCTCTCCTCACCTCATCTGCTGCTCTCATCACCTCCTCATCTGCTGCTCTCATCACCTCCTCTGCTGCTCTCTCACCTCCTCATCTGCTGCTCTCTCACCTCATCTGCTGCTCCATCACTCCTCACTCTGCCTCACTCCTCATCTGCTGCTCTCTCACCTCCTCATCCTGCTCTCTCACCTCATCTGCTGCTCTCTCACTCTCATCTGCTGCTCTCTTCTCTCCTCATCTGCTGCTCTCATCACCTCCTCTGCTCTTATCACCTCCTCTGCTGCTCTCATCACTCATCTGCTGCTCTTATCCTCATCTGCTGCTCTCATCACCTCACTGCTGCTCATCCTCCTCATCTGCTGCTCTCATCACCTCCTCATCTGCTGCTGCTCCTCATCACCTCCTCTGCTGCTCTTATCACCTCTCCTCTGCTGCTCTCCTCATCCCTCCTCATCTGCTGCTCTTATCACCTCCATCTGCTGCTCTCATCACCTCCTCTCTGCTCTCTCACCTCATCTGCTGCTCTCATCACCTCCTCATCTGCTGCGCTCTTCACCTCCTCATCTGCTGCTCTCATCACCTCCTCATCTGCTGCTCTTATCACCTCCTCATCTGCTGCTCTCATCACCTCCTGCTGCTCTCATCACCTCATCTGCTGCTCTCATCACCTCCTCATCTGCTGCGCTCTTCACCTCCTCATCTGCTGCTCTCATCACCTCCTCATCTGCTGCTCTCATCACCTCATCTGCTGCTCTCATCACCTCCTCATCTGCTGCTTTCTTCTCCTCCTCATCTGCTGCTCTCATCACCTCCTCATCTGCTGCTCTCCTCATCACCTCCTCATCTGCTGCTCTCATCACCTCCTCCTCTGCTGCTCTTATCACCGCCTCATCTGCTGCTCTCCTCATCACCTCCTCATCTGCTGCTCTCATCACCTCCTCATCTGCTGCTCTTATCACCTCCTCATCTGCTGCTCTCATCACCTCATCTGCTGCTCTCATCACCTCCTCATCTGCTGCGCTCTTCACCTCCTCATCTGCTGCTCTCATCACCTCCTCATCTGCTGCTCCCATCACCTCATCTGCTGCTCTCACCACCTCCTCATCTGCTGCTCTCATCACCTCCTCATCTGCTGCTCTCATCACCTCCTCATCTGCTGCTCTCATCACCTCCTCATCTGCTGCGCTCTTCACCTCCTCATCTGCTGCTCTCATCACCTCCTCATCTGCTGCTCTCATCACCTCATCTGCTGCTCTCATCACCTCCTCATCTGCTGCTCTCTTCTCCTCCTCATCTGCTGCTCTCATCACCTCCTCATCTGCTGCTCTCCTCATCACCTCCTCATCTGCTGCTCTCATCACCTCCTCATCTGCTGCTCTCATCACCTCCTCATCTGCTGCTCTCCTCATCTGCTGCTCTCATCACCTCCTCATCTGCTGCTCTTATCACCTCCTCATCTGCTGCTCTCATCACCTCCTCTGCTGCTCTCATCACCTCCTCTCATCTGCTGCTCTCATCACCTCATCTGCTGCTCTCATCACCTCCTCATCTGCTGCGCTCTTCACCTCCTCATCTGCTGCTCTCATCACCTCCTCATCTGCTGCTCTCATCACCTCATCTGCTGCTCTCATCACCTCCTCATCTGCTGCTCTCTTCTCCTCCTCATCTGCTGCTCTCATCACCTCCTCATCTGCTGCTCTCCTCATCACCTCCTCATCTGCTGCTCTCATCACCTCCTCATCTGCTGCTCTCATCACCTCCTCATCTGCTGCTCTCGTCACCTCATCTGCTGCTCTTATCACCTCCTCATCTGCTGCTCTCATCACCTCCTCTGCTGCTCTCATCACCTCATCTGCTGCTCTCATCACCTCCTCATCTGCTGCTCTCATCACCTCCTCATCTGCTGCTCTCATCACCTCCTCATCTGCTGCTCTCATCACCTCCTCTGCTGCTCTCCTCATCACCTCCTCATCTGCTGCTCTCATCACCTCCTCATCTGCTGCGCTCTTCACCTCCTCATCTGCTGCTCTCATCACCTCCTCATCTGCTGCTCTCATCACCTCCTCATCTGCTGCGCTCTTCACCTCCTCATCTGCTGCTCTCATCACCTCCTCATCTGCTGCTCTCATCACCTCCTCATCTGCTGCTCTCATCACCTCCTCATCTGCTGCGCTCTTCACCTCCTCATCTGCTGCTCTCATCACCTCCTCATCTGCTGCTCTCATCACCTCCTCATCTGCTGCTCTCATCACCTCCTCATCTGCTGCTCTTATCACCTCCTCATCTGCTGCTCTCATCACCTCCTCATCTGCGGCTCTCATCACCTCCTCATCTGCGGCTCTCATCACCTCCTCATCTGCTGCTCTTATCACCTCCTCTGCTGCTCTCATCACCTCATCTGCTGCTCTCATCACCTCCTCATCTGTTGCTCTCATCACCTCCTCTGCTGCTCTCATCACCTCATCTGCTGCTCTCATCACCTCCTCATCTGCTGCTCTCATCACCTCCTCATCTGCTGCTCTTATCACCTCTTCATCTGCTGCTCTCATCACTTCCTCTGCTGCTCTCATCACCTCCTCATCTGCAGCGCTCTTCACCTCCTCATCTGCTGCTCTCATCACCTCCTCATCTGCTGCTCTCATCACCTCCTCATCTGCTGCTCTCATCACCTCATCTGCTGCTCTCATCACCTCCTCATCTGCTGCTCTCATCACCTCCTCATCTGCTGCTCTCCTCATCACCTCCTCTGCTCCTCTCATCACCTCCTCTGCTGCTCTCATCACCTCCTCTGCTGCTCTCATCACCTCCTCATCTGCTGCTCTCATCACCTCCTCATCTGCTGCTCTCATCACCTCCTCTGCTGCTCTGCTCATCACCTCCTCATCTGCTGCTCTCATCACCTCCTCATCTGCTGCGCTCTTCACCTCCTCATCTCTGCTGCTCTCATCACCTCCTCATCTGCTGCTCTCATCACCTCCTCATCTGCTGCGCTCTTCACCTCCTCATCTGCTGCTCTCATCACCTCCTCATCTGCTGCTCTCATCACCTCCTCATCTGCTGCTCTCATCACCTCCTCATCTGCTGCGCTCTTCACCTCCTCATCTGCTGCTCTCATCACCTCCTCATCTGCTGCTCTCATCACCTCCTCATCTGCTGCTCTCATCACCTCCTCATCTGCTGCTCTTATCACCTCCTCATCTGCTGCTCTCATCACCTCCTCATCTGCGGCTCTCATCACCTCCTCATCTGCGGCTCTCATCACCTCCTCATCTGCTGCTCTTATCACCTCCTCTGCTGCTCTCATCACCTCATCTGCTGCTCTCATCACCTCCTCATCTGTTGCTCTCATCACCTCCTCTGCTGCTCTCATCACCTCATCTGCTGCTCTCATCACCTCCTCATCTGCTGCTCTCATCACCTCCTCATCTGCTGCTCTTATCACCTCTTCATCTGCTGCTCTCATCACTTCCTCTGCTGCTCTCATCACCTCCTCATCTGCAGCGCTCTTCACCTCCTCATCTGCTGCTCTCATCACCTCCTCATCTGCTGCTCTCATCACCTCCTCATCTGCTGCTCTCATCACCTCATCTGCTGCTCTCATCACCTCCTCATCTGCTGCTCTCATCACCTCCTCATCTGCTGCTCTCCTCATCACCTCCTCTGCTCCTCTCATCACCTCCTCTGCTGCTCTCATCACCTCCTCTGCTGCTCTCATCACCTCCTCTGCTGCTCTCATCACCTCCTCTGCTGCTCTCCTCATCACCTCCTCTGCTGCTCTCCTCATCACCTCCTCTGCTGCTCTCTTCACCTCCTCATCTGCTGCTCTCTTCATCACCTCCTCTGCTGCTCTCTTCACCTCCTCATCTGCTGCTCTCTTCACCTCCTCATCTGCTGCTCTCTTCACCTCATCTGCTGCTCTCATCACCTCATCTGCTGCTCTCATCACCTCCTCATCTGCTGCTCTCATCACCTCCTCATCTGCTGCTCTCATCACCTCATCTGCTGCGCTCTTCACCTCCTCATCTGCTGCTCTCTTCACCTCCTCATCTGCTGCTCTCATCACCTCCTCATCTGCTGCTCTCATCACCTCATCTGCTGCTCTCATCACCTCCTCACCTGCTGCTCTCATCACCTCCTCATCTGCTGCTCTCATCACCTCCTCATCTGCTGCTCTTATCACCTCCTCATCTGCTGCTCTCATCACCTCATCTGCTGCTCTCCTCATCACCTCATCTGCTGCTCTCCTCATCACCTCATCTGCTGCGCTCTTCACCTCCTCATCTGCTGCTCTCCTCATCACCTCATCTGCTGCTCTCATCACCTCATCTGCTGCTCTCATCACCTCCTCTGCTGCTCTCCTCATCACCTCCTCTGCTCCTCTCATCACCTCCTCTGCTGCTCTCATTACCTCCTCTGCTGCTCTCATCACCTCCTCTGCTGCTCTCATCACCTCCTCTGCTGCTCTCCTCATCACCTCCTCTGCTGCTCTCCTCATCACCTCTGCTGCTCTCTTCACCTCCTCATCTGCTGCTCTCTTCATCACCTCCTCTGCTGCTCTCTTCACCTCCTCATCTGCTGCTCTCTTCACCTCATCTGCTGCTCTCTTCACCTCCTCATCTGCTGCTCTCCTCATCACCTCCTCTGCTGCTCTCTTCATCACCTCCTCTGCTGCTCTCATCACCTCCTCTGCTGCTCTCATCACCTCCTCTGCTGCTCTCATCACCTCCTCATCTGCTGCTCTCATCACCTCCTCTGCTGCTCTCCTCATCACCTCCTCTGCTGCTCTCATCATCACCTCCTCTGCTGCTCTCTTCACCTCCTCATCTGCTGCTCTCTTCACCTCATCTGCTGCTCTCTTCACCTCATCTGCTGCTCTCTTCACCTCCTCATCTGCTGCTCTCTTCACCTCCTCATCTGCTGCTCTCCTCATCACCTCCTCTGCTGCTCTCTTCACCTCCTCATCTGCTGCTCTCCTCCTCTGGACGTGAAGGAGACCAGTGACTTTTCAATAAAAACACATATGGTAAAAGTGCTGTAGACAAAATGGAGGTGGTTGCATTTTTTATTCAAAAACTTTTCACTTGTGCCAGAATGTTAAAACCAAAACAAACTAAAACCTGGTTATTATCATTCTCAAGCGCCTCCCAACAGTCCCATAATCTCACACTTTGATCATCAGATTTCCAACATTTCTGAAGCAGTTTTATTGTTTTTGGAATCAGCAGAATGAGTGTTTTCTTCCCTGAGTTCTGGAGGAGTAGAAATCCATCCCTGGCGTGTTAGAAATAGTTAGTGGTGATTAATGTGGATAAATGTGGTGTGGTCATCAGGGAAAGACGTCCTGTGGGATGTGGAAGTCCTTAAACGAGTAGAAGGAAATGTCTCCGTGATCGACGGCGGCAAAAACCAGCACCACCTCCGGACTCTGAGCCGAGAGCTGCTTCAGGACATTGAGGTCTGGGACTGGACCGCTGAAGCTACGGCACAGACACAAGAGAATCAGAGTAACAAACACAGAGAGGATTCATGGTTTTACACTGGTCCAGACCAGAGCAGAGAGGATTCATGGTTTTACACTGGTCCAGACCAGAGCAGAGAGGATTCATGGTTTTACACTGGTCCAGACCAGAGCAGAGAGGATTCATGGTTTTACACTGGTCCAGACCAGAGCAGAGAGGATTCATGGTTTTACACTGGTCCAGACCGGACCAGAGCAGAGAGGATTAAACATGTGGTGAAAGTATGAAGGGGAGAACATGCCTGTAACTTCCTGTGCTGCCACCAGAGGGAGGAGTTGAGTTTGATTTATTATATTCCAAATCTGAAAATTACTTTGGTTATGAATAAACAGCATTTGTCAAATTGTGATACGTTTTGAAAGAACAAATCTTTGTCATAGTATAAAACATTTACACAACATTTCTTTGTTGAGTGGCATTATGTCTTTTCTGTAAAAACGTATCTAAAGACGTGAGAGGCCAAAAGTACAGGCGTGTGGATACTGCAGCTTTAATTCACATAATATCAGGTAGACGTCAATCAAAGGGACAAAGGGCGTGGGGCATTAAACTAAAGCTCTGAATACAAATCTGAAGAAAGCAGTGCATTGTGGGATTTATCTTTTCAAAAGCGTTTCCTGTTGGACCTCAGTATTACCCTCTTCAGTCGGAGTAAGTGGATCCTAAACAAACTGCTCTCTCCTCATCCTCTGCTGTCTTGTGGTGGTTTTGTATTGTCTTTTGTATGGACTTTTAGGCCGGGAAAATAATTATTATTTATTCACTTTTTTTGGTAGTTTGTCTGAGGTGTTTGACTCTGTTGTAAAGCATTCTCGGGGCCCATCTGTCTCTCTCTCCCTCACTCTGCGCCTCCTCCAGGTCCTCACTTTTCTCCCTCTGGGTTTTCAGACTCGTTCCTTTAGGAGGAGGGTCTCAGGACAGAGAGGATCCAGGACTCTGGTCTCCGCCCCTTCTGGACCAACGCCTCTATGTGTCCTCTGAGAAAACTACTGTTGTGATTTATGGCGACACACAAACACATTGACCTGAATATAAAACCATATGATTGTTGTAATTGACCTGCACACCACCATCCGGGCGTAGGGCTGACCCGGACTGCTCTTCTTAAACCCAGACGTGGACTCGGGCTGAAACACACTGAAGCTGATCTTCCAGTTCTCCACAGGCCTCAGACTGAAGCGGGAAAAACAAAACACACAAACCATGAAGGAAAGAAGAAACCAGACAATAAAACCGATCAATATTATTATTATCTATCTATCTATCTATCTACATGTATCTATCTATCTATCTACATGTATCTATCTATCTATCTACATGTATCTATCTATCTATCTATCTACATGTACAGTGTCTGTCTGTCTGTCTATCTACATGTATCTATCTATCTATCTACATGTATCTATCTATCTATCTACATGTATCTATCTATCTATCTACATCTATATCTATCTACATGTATCTATCTATCTATCTATCTACATCTATATCTATCTACATGTATCTATCTATCTATCTATCTACATCTATATCTATCTACATGTATCTATCTATCTATCTATCTATCTATCTATCTACATGTATCTATCTATCTATCTATCTATCTATCTACATGTATCTATCTATCTATCTATCTATCTATCTACATGTATCTATCTATCTATCTATCTATCTATCTACATGTATCTATCTATCTATCTACATGTACAGTGTCTGTCTGTCTGTCTATCTACATATATCTATGTTTCTATCTATATATCTACATGTATCTATGTTTCTATCTATCTACATATATCTATGTTTCTATCTATCCATCTGTCTGTATCTATCTATCTATGCATCAATCATCCTCTTCTATGCATTTCCATTATTTATTACATCCATCTCTTTTTGTCTCCTTTTGTCACTGACGCTGCACATTATTTACATTTTAAGTTTTCCAGCAGATCATCCAATCAGAGATCAGAATTAAGATTAGGAGACCCTCTGTCCGTCCCCCAGTCAGAAATGTCAGTGTTGCATCCTCAGTTCCAGAGCAGTAGGAACAAGGAGCACAATGAACAGTAACTCTGCACTAAAATAATAAACAATAAAATCTTTAACATAACAATGAAAGAACGACACTAGCATGAGGAAGAAGACACAAGCACAAAATGAGGCTCTCTTCTGGGTTGCCAGTTTGTTGGGTGAAATTCAGCGTGTTTTGACAACACCTTTTGTTTTTAATGAATTGTGTAGAGAATAAGAAGTGTGTAACTAAGATGTCACCTGGAAAGTCCTTCCAGTAATCTGGTGGGTTTGATGATGCTGATCTTCTCCAACAGCTCCTCTGGAAATACATCACAATCATTATAGTCTCAGACACTGTTAAAGTCACAGACGCTCATTTGGAATATGCAGATTACAGTTTTTACAATGTGGTTTTACTGCAAATGGCAAATCAATACTTGAATCTTGAATATATTTAACTGATCATTAAAGGGCCCTAATCTGTCATCATTAAATGGCCCTAATCTGTCATCATTAAAGGGCCCTAATCTGTCCTGATTAAAGGGCCCTAATCTGTCGTCATTAAAGGGCCCTAATCTGTCATCATTAAAGGGCCCTAATCTGTCATCATTAAAGGGCCCTAATCTCTTTTCATGAAAGGGCCCTAATCTGTTTTCATGAAAGGGCCCTAATCTGTCATCATTAAAGGGAACTAATCTGTCATCATTAAAGGGCCCTAATCTGTCATCATTAAATGGCCCTAATCTGTCATCATTAAAGGGCCCTAATCTGTCCTGATTAAAGGGCCATAATCTGTCGTCATTAAAGGGCCCTAATCTGTCATCATTAAAGGGCCCTAATATGTCATCATTAAAGGGCCCTAATCTGTCATCATTAAAGGGCCCTAACCTGTTTTCATTAAAGGGCCCTAATCTGTCATCATTAACTCATTCACTGCCCATGACGACAAAACTCGTCATGTTGAATAGTAACGCTCACTGCCCATGACGAGTTTGACGAGTTTTTCGTGTTATTACACGGGAGGCTGCAGTAATGTCTGGCGCACCTTGTTAATGACCCACAACACTGATATATAGTACAAATGTACCTGTAATGATAAATCACCACCAGTAGGATGCAGTATTGCACCACAGGAGAGGTCATAAGTCAGTGGAGAGGAGGAGGAGGAGTGTGGGGTCTTTGGACAGCGTGTCGCTGTAGCAGAGCGTGCTGCTGTAGCATTGAGACGATCTAGTTTAGCGATAGTATAGCAAGAGTGATGGCGAAAAAGAATAGTTATAAGCAGCTGACACTGCTTCAGAGATTGACTCGCGGATCAGTGAGTGAGGTCGAGAGGGGAGAGAGTGGAGACCCCGGTGGAGGTCCGTCTCTGCAGCTACATTTGCGCGGAGCAAGAGCCCGGAGCAGAGACACACCCTCCGCCTCTCGCAGCGTATCAGCTGCTGTTGTTACTGATGCTTCGGATTCGTTCAGCAAACCTGATCATGATTTATCGGACACACTCACAAACACTCACACGCACTCACTCACTCACACACGCACACAGACACTCACTCGCACACTGACATTCACACACACTGACACTCACTCACACAGACACTCACTCACACAGACACTCACTCGACACACTGACAGTCACACACACACACACACACACTCAAATTCACATGCTTCATTCTATTTTATACATCTATAGTTTTATTGATATTTGTGTTGTTGTTGTTTGACGTTTTGGTTGATGGTATAGAAGAAAGTTAAATTTTCTATCTGTGAATAAATTGCCAACAATTTGCCATCAAAAGTATTATTTCAGAGTCATGTTTTTATAATTTTTGTAATGGAACAAGTGTGAAGATGTTTTGAGTTGTCACTAAAGCAGCAAAAATGCATCTAAAAGTCTCTTTTCTGCTTGATATGTTCCTGTTTACATACAGCTCGTTTTCTCTGTTTTCTTGCTCAGACCAGGTGTTATGGGTGAAAGTATGCTTTGTTCTATGGCGAATAACGCAAGAACGGTAAGAGGTAGAAACAAACTGTTTTTTTCAGAGTAAAGCAGAGAGGTGAATCTTTAATTTGGTGCCCTTGGTGTTTACATAGTCTAAAAAATGAATATTCTGTGGCACTTCAAAGTTGGGTCAAATCACCTGAAATTGCTGGCAGAATGCACTTCTCAAATCTGAAAATGCCTGGCAGTCAGTGAGTTAAAGGGAACTAATCTGTCATCATTAAAGGGCCCTAATCTGTCATCATTAAAGGGCCATAATCTGTCGTCATTAAACAGCCCTAATCTGTCATCATTAAAGGGCCCTAATCTGTCATCATTAAAGGGCCCTAATTTGTCATCATTAAAGGGCCCAATTTCTCATCATTAAAGGGCTCTATCTGTCATCATTAAAGGGCCCTAATCTGTCATCATTAAAGGGCCCTAATCTGTCATCATTAAAGGGCCCTAATCTGTCATCATTAAAGGGACCTAATTTGTCATCATCAAAGGGCCCTATTCTGTCATCATTAAAGGGCCCTAATCTGTCATCATTAAAGGGCCATAATCTGTCGTCATTAAACAGCCCTAATCTGTCATCATTAAAGGGCCCTAATCTGTCATCATTAAAGGGCCCTAATTTGTCATCATTAAAGGGCCCAATTTCTCATCATTAAAGGGCTCTATCTGTCATCATTAAAGGGCCCTAATCTGTCATCATTAAAGGGCCCTAATCTGTCATCATTAAAGGGACCTAATCTGTCATCATCAAAGGGCCCTATTCTGTCATCATTAAAGGGCCCTAATCTGTCATCATTAAAGGGCCCTAATCTGTCATAATAATAAACTGCTCGTTTCCAATACTTCTTTAACTGATAACAGTCGTTCAGAGATATTTGAATTTCTAAATTATTTTTCCAGCCTCTAAATCTTGTTATTGTTTTCATTTCGATGTCCCGCCCTCCATCGTTTCACCAATCAGAAAGTCTGTGATCCGGGCGCCAGAACTCACCGCGTGGAGCTAATCTCACTGGTAAAGTACCATGTGGAGCTAATCTCACTGGTAAAGTACCATGTGGCGCAGAACTAAAAAAAGTCTCGTTATGATTCTCAAATCATTAACGACAAAACAAGGAATAAAACCAGGATTTCTATCTTTGTGAAAAAGGTGTTGGTTATAGATTAGTTGTTGACAAAACTCTTGTCTATTCAGCTGTTATGGTCCCAGCTGGATTCGTCTGCATATCTGGCAACCTGAGTCAGGGAGAGTGGGAGAGGCTGCAGTACCACTTTTGGCCACATTTTTACACACTGCTGCTATACGCAATAAACGGTTTGGTTGTAGGTACCCCAGCTTTAAAACACGACCTCACCGTGGCGCAGGGGCTGTCTGGGGTCATGTAAAGGCGTGACTTCCTGGTTCCAGAGATGACTGGGACAACCTGAGCTGCGCCTGAGCTTCAGAGCCCGATACTCCGACCAGCTCCTGCAGCGCCGCACCTGCACACAATCCTCATTTTAGAGTCAGAAAGTCGATTCATTCATGGCTAAATGAATGAAAATGTGATTACAAAGTTGTTTTAATCAAAGAACTCAATGTGTCACAAGCCCAATCGCATCACTCAAGCTTTGTTTTGGTCAAATATACAACAAATTGACTTAAATAAAAGGTCAATAATGGTTCATTAAAGTAAGTAAGTAAGTAAGTAATGTTTATCTATATAGCTCCTTTCACAGACCAGAGTCATAAAGCGGTTTCTATGTGGGCATTTGTCTCTCACTCCACACAGACAGTGAGGTTGCCAGTATAGGAGGCACAAACACGGGGAGAACATGCAAACTTCACTCAGAAATGCCCTGTTCCGACCAGGATTCGAACCCAGAGAGAGAGAGACCCTACTACAGCCCTTCTGTAAAGCCCTCACCTCTGGGTCCCTGTTGACGTCCACATCCCTCCATCTCCTGTTGGCCTCCTCTTCTCTCTGTAGATCTTTGGGCGACATATGAACCTTCTTCAGATTTATCCTCCGCCTCCAGAGGGCGACGTCACACGGGCCGACCGTCAGAGCCCCGGGAAGGAGATCCGGGTCAGGAGCGCCCAGATAAACTGCCTCCTGCCGAGATCGCAGCGCTGAGAATCAAAGACGATGATTTATTTATGGATTTATGGGTAAAGTGTATATAACATCACTGAGGGTGTGTGTACGTGTGTATATGTGTGTGTGTGTGTGTGTGTGTGTGTGTGTGTGTGTCATTACAATCACACTTCTGTTCTCCTATGAGGCTATGTACTGAATACTGATGCAATCCACCTGCTGGGGTTTAGCTAGAAACAGTACAATATCTGTATTACGTCAAGGCTACTTGTATCCGCGTTTATACAAATAAACATGTGGTGCTATAGTTGTGCAAAAGTTGTTTTAGACACAAAAGAACTGACTAAAGACATAAGACTATTTCTCCCTTTAGCCCTTAGTCTCTCTCTCTGGTCTCTATCTGTGGTCTCTTCTTCTCTGGTCTCTCTCTCTGGTCTCTCTCTGTGGTCTCCCTCTCTGTGGTCTCTCTATCTGTGGTCTCTCTATCTGTGGTCTCTCTCTCTGGTCTCTTCTTCTCTGGTCTCTCTCTCTGGTCTCTCTCTCTGGTCTCTATCTGTGGTCTCTATCTGTGGTCTCTCTATCTGTGGTCTCTTCTTCTCTGGTCTCTCTCTCTGGTCTCTCTGTGGTCTCTATCTGTGGTCTCTCTATCTGTGGTCTCTCTCTCTGGTCTCTCTCTCTGGTCTCTCTCTCTGGTCTCTCTCTCTGGTCTCTATCTGTGGTCTCTTCTTCTCTGGTCTCTCTCTCTGGTCTCTCTCTCTGTGGTCTCTCTATCTGTGGTCTCTCTATCTGTGGTCTCTCTCTCTGGTCTCTCTCTCTGGTCTCTCTCTCTGGTCTCTCTCTCTGGTCTCTCTCTCTGGTCTCTCTCTCTGGTCTCTCTCTCTGGTCTCTCTCTCTGGTCTCTATCTGTGGTCTCTTCTTCTCTGGTCTCTCTCTCTGGTCTCTCTCTCTGTGGTCTCTCTATCTGTGGTCTCTCTATCTGTGGTCTCTCTATCTGTGGTCTCTTCTTCTCTGGTCTCTCTCTCTGTGGTCTCTCTATCTGTGGTCTCTCTCTCTGGTCTCTCTCTCTGGTTTCTCTCTCTGGTCTCTCTCTCTGGTCTCTCTCTCTGGTCTCTCTCTCTGGTCTCTCTCTCTGGTCTCTATCTGTGGTCTCTTCTTCTCTGGTCTCTCTCTCTGGTCTCTCTCTCTGTGGTCTCTCTATCTGTGGTCTCTCTATCTGTGGTCTCTCTATCTGTGGTCTCTCTATCTGTGGTCTCTCTCTCTGGTCTCTCTCTCTGGTCTCTCTCTCTGGTCTCTCTCTCTGGTCTCTCTCTCTGGTCTCTCTCTCTGGTCTCTATCTGTGGTCTCTTCTTCTCTGGTCTCTCTCTCTGGTCTCTATCTGTGGTCTCTATCTGTGGTCTCTTCTTCTCTGGTCTCTCTCTGGTCTCTCTCTCTCTGGTCTCTCTCTCTGGTCTCTCTCTCTGGTCTCTCTCTCTGGTCTCTCTCTCTGGTCTCTATCTGTGGTCTCTTCTTCTCTGGTCTCTCTCTCTGGTCTCTCTCTCTGGTCTCTCTATCTGTGGTCTCTCTATCTGTGGTCTCTTCTTCTCTGGTCTCTCTCTCTGGTCTCTCTCTCTGGTCTCTCTCTCTGTGGTCTCTCTATCTGGTCTCTATCTGTGGTCTCTATCTGTGGTCTCTTCTTCTCTGGTCTCTCTCTGGTCTCTCTCTCTCTGGTCTCTCTCTCTGGTCTCTCTCTCTGGTCTCTCTCTCTGGTCTCTCCCTCTCTGGTCTCCCTCTCTGGTCTCTCTCTCTGGTCTCTCTCTCTGGTCTCTCTCTCTGGTCTCTCTCTCTCTGGTCTCTCTCTCTCTGGTCTCTCTCTCTCTCTGGTCTCTCTCTCTGGTCTCTCTCTCTCTGGTCTCTCTCTCTCTGGTCTCTCTCTCTGGTCTCTATCTGTGGTCTCTCTATCTGTGGTCTCTTCTCTGGTCTCTCCTCTGGTCTCTCTCTCTGGTCTCTCTCTCTGGTCTCTCCCTCTCTGGTCTCCCTCTCTGGTCTCTCTCTCTGGTCTCTCTCTCTGGTCTCTCTCTCTGGTCTCTCTCTCTCTGGTCTCTCTCTCTCTGGTCTCTCTCTCTCTCTGGTCTCTCTCTCTGGTCTCGCTCTCTCTGGTCTCTCTCTCTCTGGTCTCTCCCTCTCTGGTCTCTCCCTCTCTGGTCTCTCCCTCTGGTCTCTCTCTCTGGTCTCTCTCTCTGGTCTCTCTCTCTGGTCTCTCTCTCTGGTCTCTCTCTCTGGTCTCTCTCTCTCTGGTCTCTCTCTCTCTGGTCTCTCTCTCTGGTCTCTCTCTCTCTGGTCTCTCTCTCTCTGGTCTCTCTCTGGTCTCTCTCTGTCTCTCTGGTCTCCCTCTCTGGTCTCCCTCTCTGGTCTCCCTCTCTGGTCCTCTCTCTCTGGTCTCTCTCTCTGGTCTCTCTCTCTGGTCTCTCTCTCTGGTCTCTCTCTCTGGTCTCTCTCTCTCTGGTCTCTCTCTCTCTGGTCTCTCTCTCTCTCTGGTCTCGCTCTCTCTGGTCTCTCTCTCTCTCTCTGGTCTCTCTCTCTCTCTCTGGTCTCTCTCTCTGGTCTCTCTCTCTGGTCTCCCTCTCTGGTCTCTCTCTCTGGTCTCTCTCTCTGGTCTCTCTCTCTGGTCTCTCTCTCTGGTCTCTCTCTCTGGTCTCTCTCTCTGGTCTCCTCTCTCTGGTCTCGCTCTCTGGTCTCGCTCTCTCTGGTCTCTCTCTCTCTGGTCTCTCTCTCTGGTCTCGCTCTCTCTGGTCTCTCTCTCTCTGGTCTCTCTCTCTGGTCTCTCTCTCTCTGGTCTCTCTCTCTCTGGTCTCTCTCTCTCTGGTCTCCCTCTCTGGTCTCTCTCTCTGGTCTCTCTCTCTGGTCTCTCTCTCTGGTCTCTCTCTCTGGTCTCTCTCTCTCTGGTCTCTCTCTCTCTCTGGTCTCTCTCTCTGGTCTCGCTCTCTCTGGTCTCTCTCTCTCTGGTCTCTCTCTCTGGTCTCTCTCTCTCTGGTCTCGCTCTCTCTGGTCTCTCTCTCTCTGGTCTCTCTCTCTGGTCTCTCTCTCTCTGGTCTCTCTCTCTCTGGTCTCCCTCTCTGGTCTCTCTCTCTGGTCTCTCTCTCTGGTCTCTCTCTCTGGTCTCTCTCTCTGGTCTCTCTCTCTCTGGTCTCTCTCTCTCTGGTCTCTCTCTCTGGTCTCTCTCTCTGGTCTCTCTCTCTGGTCTCTCTCTCTCTGGTCTCCCTCTCTGGTCTCTCTCTCTGGTCTCTCTCTCTGGTCTCTCTCTCTGGTCTCTCTCTCTGGTCTCTCTCTCTGGTCTCTCTCTCTGGTCTCTCTCTCTCTCGACACACATCTTTTAGTCCTGGCCATGAATGAGAAGTTGATCATTCATAAATACACAGATGATTCATGTATTTGAATGTGATTTTACTGCAAATCAAATGAATCTGAAGAGTTCCAACAGTGATGTGAAGTTTGACATTAAACTTCGTACCTGAGCCAACGTCCGGGAAGTGAATGGATCTGAAGTCCCAGAGCGGAGATCCAGGAGTGGAGCCGGATCCAGAGGCCTCTCCTGGACTCCACCATGATCCCTGTTTCAGCTCCGACTTCCGGATCACTTCCTGTTTACAGCCGTCCTGCTCCATCGCCTCCGCTTCAGTCTGACAGCTGACAACACAAACGAGCTGCCATTACAGTCATGTCAATGTTTTTTTGTACAGCAGCAGCAACAGAACAATAGTAATCTCGGAGGACTTTGAAAAGTTGTCAATTCACCAATACATTGTTTAGTTATGTATATTATGTCAAAGAATGGGTTTAAAGGATATAGATCAATGAATTAATCTACAATAAATAATAGAATAGATAAAAGATTAATGGTATTCTTAATCTGGCCAGTAGGGGGCGCATGAGCAGAGATGGGACAACTCAGTTTTGCTGTCATTGAAAACCATGTAAAGTCTGTTTTGAAATTTTTTCAAAATGCACAATGTAAATAAACATTACACCTAAAACAACGTGTTTGGATAAAACTGACCGTGGCGTCTCAGACCGTGGCGTCTCAAACCGTGGCGTCTCAGACCGTGGCGTCTCAGACCGTGGCGTCTCAGACCGTGGCGTCTCAAACCGTGGCGTCTCAGACCGTGGCGTCTCAGACCGTGGCGTCTCAAACCGTGGCGTCTCAGACTGTGGCGCTGCAGCTGTTGGCACATCTGGAGCGACACTCGGGCTGCACCAGAAGTTTTATTTGATTTCATTATTCTGTTTTCTTTGAGCAGTGAGAAATGAGTGAGCGCGGGTAAACACTGATCATCATGCAACAAACTAAAATGAGGAGAGGAGTTACCGTGGGGGGGTGGGGCTGCGTTTCCTCTTGTTCCCTTTGGCTGCTTTGTCTCTGGACACCGGGAGGTTCAGCTGACGAGCGTACGCCGACTGCTCTGAACTGGACAAGACATCATTACATGTAATACAGCATGATAAGAAGAAATATTATGTATTACTGTGTGTGTGTGTGTGTGTGTGTGTGTGTGCAAAACATAGAGATCCAATGAGAACTGAGGAATGATATCAATATTGAGATAAAAAAGTAGTATCACATGCTGCTAACATGTGCAGTGTGAACATTTGAATCCTCACAGCTGATGACTTACTAGCCTAATATTCTTGCACTAGAGTGATCTTGTGATGCAACACTGACATTTCCCCAGTGTGGGTCTTAATCTTAGAAACATTACATTGTTTTCATTACCTGGGGTTGAACCGAAGCACCACGTACCCCAGCCTCTTCAAGTGTCCGTAAACCTGAAGAAAGAGATTTAGAGCAGGGTAAAACAGATGAAAACCATCTCCCTCCAGATTCCACGGCTGCGTTTGAGAATCACCAGATATTGTTGAAAAGTGATGCTTTTTGAAGAAAGGAAGTTCTCGTATCCGTCCTGGATGGAGAACGGCAGACCTCTGTAAAACACCTGCACGTTGCCCTGTCAGAAACAACACGGTTTCGGATTCAAAACATTAATTTCTGACAAGATATAGTTAAATAGTGACTGCGATGACTGTGAAATCAACTAGAGCATATTCAATATTCTATATTGTATTTTAATTGGAACCTTCATCACTTACTCGATGGAGAATGGAAGCCTGCAATGCTAAACGCAAACAACATTTACAAAAAACAAAATCTGCTAATGGAAATTAAAATTAGTCTTAATTAACTTAATATTTTGTATTTAATCAAACATCATCAACAGACAGGGTAAAGTGAAAACAAATATATAAATAATTTTAGTGGAGAAAGATTAGAATAAGGGTGAGGGGGGTCACTCACACACTCCATCAGGAACAAAGCCTCTTCAGGGAGCAGGTACTGTTTCCCGTTGGCTGAAAATCCCATCGTTTGCCAAAACTTTCCCTAAAAACACAACAATAACGATACATATTGATTTGAAGTTTAATTATTGCATCATAACATATCATTAAAGTGTCTTACAGCTGGAGTTTGGAGCTCAACAATCTGCTCTTCAGGAATCCACAATCCTCTGACTAAGCTTCCCCTGTAGGAACACAATCATATGAAAACATGTTATAATTATGTGTAAAATCGATTAAATAAAACTAGGGCTGTCAAAATTATTGCGTTAACGCACGTTAATTAATTTTTTTCATTAATCGCGTTAAAAAAATTAACGCATTTGACGCATGCCCATGCGTCCCATAATAACACTCAGAATGCCGCGGACACATGCGTGTGTAAGACGGGGACAGAGCAGGTCTCTGGGAGTGACCGCGGGGCACTTGTTGTTTCCTGTATGAACTCTGCATGATGAGCTGCGGGCGCCACATTGCTCTGGACCGTTCCCACTTCCAGCGGCTGTGATGACGGTGAACGGCGCTGCGTAATGGGATCATATCCAAGACCACGCACAGAACTATTACAGAACTATTCTCTAGTGTGCGTACGTGTCTTTGTGTAACCGATACACACAATATGTACAGCGCTGAAGCTGGAGGAGCCTCAGTCTCCTCCGTGTCTTCTCCCGAAGCGCACTCGCTAAATTAAAGCTGAGGTACCTAATTTTCCTTTCGACCATCAGTTCATGTTAGTTGTGCCAAAAAAGTAATGTTGTGAGCAAATCAAACAGATTTAATGACATTCTGCTTCAGACTGTTTTGAAATGTCCTTTATCTGTAAACAATGGTTTGGTCTGAGTCTAAACAGAAAGACAGAATGTTAATAATGTTAATGCCATTTTATATGGATTTATTGTTATAACAAACAAATACAGTTCATATGTTCACTAAGCTGTCATTTATCTTTCCATTCAAACAACAATTTACAGAAAAATATGGCATAATTTTGCCAATAGTTTGAAATGCGATTAATTACGATTAATTAATTTTTAAGCTGTAATTAACTCGATTAAAAAAATTAATCGTTTGACAGCCCTAAATAAAACATATTTTGGAGGATATCATTAAAATTGTCATGCATGTTGGCTGGAATCTTAAATAATCAGCATCAACAATGAAAAATCCCATATTGGTCGACTTCTAGTGGTTCAAAGAGATGCTCCCCTTTGCTCCAGTCAGCTACAGCTACACAAGAAGTAAATCTACTCACAATCGTTCCACTCTCTCCTCTGAGATTAAACTCCAGTGCTCGTTCAGGGCTTGTTCCAGTTTTTGCCTCTGCTCCTCTGAACCGTCCGGGATGAAGTCCTTCTGTCCTCTCACCGGGATCTTGTGACTTCGTGATCGAACGGCGAACAGCTCTGAGGGACTGAAATGACATGGCCGACATAATGATAAAGAGAAGGGGTCCATGAACTGCACTGATGAAAGATAACACCTTATTTCAGGAGAATAAAAATGATAAATGAGAGTATTTACTTCGTCAGGTTATGTATAGAATGTGAAATAATGCTGCCACTAGAGGAAAAGGTAAAAACCTGTTTTAAATTTGAAAATAACCAGCAGCAACCAGTGACAGCTTTTTCACCTTGTAACAACATTATTCCCTCATTATAATATATATATAGATTATAGATAGATATAGATATCCAGCAGCTTGGTTGGACAGTTAGCTATGTTAGTGCCCTACCTTAGTTAGAATGACACATATTTGTGGATACTATTATACGTCTTTGAGTGTCCAAAAAGAAGCGCTAGTTCTTAAGTTTGATGTATTATTATTATTTTTATCATCATCATCAGTATTATGTGTCGTAGCCTAATTTACCACTTTATTGTCTACAGAGTTGAGAGATAATGTGTTGTTGCCTTCAGTCTTTATGCGTTTCTGGCTAAATCCAATAATTCAAGCTATTTTTTCCTGAGAGTAGCTGTCAGATTCACTTCCTGCTTGAACAGTAGTAATAACAATGTAACATATATAGCGCTGTCAACAGTTATTGCTATTTTATTATAGACTAAATAAATGCAAAAAGTGAAATAAGACGAGAAACAAGTCAAAATGCCTGTGTGAATATAATAAAACGTGGATGAAGGGTTAACGTTAGCACCACGATGCTAAAAACACGGCTACTGTTCAAGCTAACTCGCTAGCTCAACATTGGCTACTCATCAAATGTCGCCAATTTAACAAAACTCAAGTGTATGCATTTATGGTGAAAACATTTACACACACAATGACACAGGTTCGGCGTCATTTAAGTTCTGAAAAATGCAGATACTTACGTGAGAACCTCGCTGAATGAGTTTAGTTTGGAGTTGTCCATGTTTGGTTCCACCATCTTGGAGCAGGCTGAGGGACTCCTGGGTCCTAGCGCCAGTCCCTACTCTGACAGCCCACATGTGGGAGGTTCATAGTAGGTCTATGCACAACAAAATTATGTCCCTAACTCTAATATGCGGATTTATTCCATGGAAATAAACAATTATTTAAACCTATTTTGCTGAAAATAAAATGTTATTGTTTTTCACGTATTTACATACAAGTATATATTTCTTGCACTAGAGTAGACAGTATTTTATAATGCCTCAGTAAAGCTGTGCCTGTGACAAACGTGGTTGTCAACCACCACAGTGCCATTGTTAAATAGTTATACCGACTGAAAAGTCAGTGTAATGTCAGTGTCAGTATAAGGCACCGAGTAGCAATATCATTGTGGCACATACTGCTATACTAAGTTCGGCCAGCAGGGGACGCTTCGTCTTCTATCTGTCAGACACGTGACGTTATGCCCGGGCGTCCTCGCGCTCTCCTGTCCTGTGTAGTGTTTGTATGTTTTGCAGGTACTGATTCATAAACAGCACAGTGAGTGGTTGTAAACTATTGTGTGCAGTTTCGAGGGACTTTGGTTGAGCCTTTAAACGTTATTGGTCAACTTTGGAAAGTTTTTCATCAGTTAACCGCTGGTTCACGCTGGATTACAAATAACAGTTCCCAGTAGCTGAATAGTGTTTTTTAAAGCATCTTTAATTAGTGAAGGTATTTAGACAAAATTATTACTTTAATTTAAATTCGGATTGTATTTTCTGGTAGATTTTTTCTGAATAGAATAAGTTCAGTTACTGTATGTTTGGACTGAACCAAAACTGGTTCAGTCCAAACATCCAAAACTCAACAATTATATGTAAAAGGATTTGCCATTGATTTATAATTTTAAAATAACAATTGATAATTACGAGTTTGATTAAAATTTTAGAATAAAATAATGAATAGGATTTTCTCGGGAAAGTTGGCTTTATAATAAGTCCATTGTAGCTCATATTAAATACTACTAGTGGCGAGTAATGAAGACAGAGGCAGTGGGTCGGAACAAACACATTAATTTCTTCAGATAATGATGTTTAGCAGTAATACAGACAGAGGTCCAAAGTACAAAACAAGCAGGTCAGATTGTACACAAGTAATAACACAATTTGGCTCTGGGTCTGGCTCCTGTGGCATAAGTGATTATGACAGATTACGTTTGCCGTGACATGTGAATGTAAATCTAATTTCCCTTTGACAACATTGTATGAATCAGATATTACAGCTATCTAAAGAAGAACTGCCAGTGTAAACTTCAATTATTACATTTTATGATTCACTAGGAGTCAATATTTACCTCTGAACTTAAAGTAGTACTAGAATGTAATATGCTGCTATCCAGAATATATAACTACAATATGTGTTTATAATATTTCGTGTTCATTTTGACATGTTCAGATGAATTATGTTAAAAAAACTGCTTTGAAGTGGCACCTTTTCACTTCCGCATAGAAACACTAGGGGGCGCCAAAATGTCGGCGATGACGTAGGAGAAGGACCTCTCACAGCAGCAGCAGCAGTCTGGGCTGAATCTGTAGGAGGTTTCACTGTCATCTGAACAAGGTATAAACATATTTTCATCAGTTTTGTACATAATAGTGTGCAACTCTTTTAACCTTTTAGCCTTATTTGTGAGATTCAAGCTAATTAGTGTTGGGCATGTTAGCTAACTCTACTTGATATCATAAAACATGCTAACAAGGCTAATATTCGTTTTTACATTATGCCAGTCTCACTTTGGTTTCCTTAGATTTATTTACCACAATGTACATTGTAATATCCATAAATGCTAATCAAAATAACTTGAATTAAATAAATATTTTACTTTTATGAACAAAAAGCTGCAGAAGTTGAAAACATAGACTACATGTGATGCAATCATTGATAAAAATGCTAATTAAACCGTTAATAGGTGTTAGCATTTATGGATATTACAATGTACATTGTGGTAAATAAATCTAAGGTAACCAAAGTGAGACTGGCATAATGTAAAAGAGCTTGTTCACACTAAAGGGTACAAAAGTGTGACAAAATGCCAAAAATTAGATTTTAATAATCAGATGGTATAATATGTTTTTTCTTTAGCCCAATACCTCTTCTGTCCATTAATAGTTGCTAGAAGATAACTGTTTTATACATGAGTCACATTTTCTATAGTGAAGGGAGGGAAATCGTTACGTCACGGATGTCAGTATTTTTACCTCATTATCTTATGAAGACTTAAGTACTTGCTCTTTTATATAATCAGTGAAATCATGAAGCATGCCTTTTTATTCAACCAGGTTAAAGGACTTAATTCCTACCGCACAATGAGCTACAAGTAAGTAAGTAATTTATATAGTGCATTTTACAGCCCAAGATGTCTGTAAAGTGCTTTACAAGGCATCAACTCCAAGAAAGAAACTCTGTACGAGGTTTTTCAAAAACATTTTTGACTCAAGAAATTGTGCAGCATTTATGAAATTATTATCTAGCAGGTTGAACAAATTGGGTCAATACATAATTCCACAGAATATAGAAAATGAAATTTTCTCATAAAGATCAAGATGAATTCTGTAACGGACGTGATGAGTCATTTGGTGAACCTGTAACAGATGTGATACTGAACACATTTAAAACTGAATTGCCATTTTGAATACCAGCAAGGAAAAATAAATAGTCAGCTTCAGCAACACATTTATTATTTAAAAAAAACATGGAATATGAATTAATAGACTATTTAAACCAATGTTATATAAAAAAGCATTCATTCTAACAAAAGATTTCACACTAACTTTTTGTTTAAAATTTCCAGAACAGACTCTCAAAATAACATTGAATAATTTATATTTTACTACTAATTCGAATACTTCTGTTTGTGAAAATATCTCAAAATGATCTGACAAGAGTTAAACATTCAAGCAGTCTGGATGGATGGCCATGTACAGAAATTACAGAAGGGCACATGCCTTAGCATAATCACTTTCATGAAGTGCCAACTGCATTCTTGTATTGACAATCTCAGGATACTGAACTGTACATAATATGTTTTCTAAACTGTGTTCTTCTAAATCTGCCATCTCAGGCCAAACAAACAGATCTCCACTTGATTTTAGAAAAGATATAAGTGCAGTTGATGAGGTTGGGAAGCTTTCCACCTGAAACAAGTATACGATTCAGTTTTGTCAGACCCCGGGACATTATCTCAAATGTTCAAACAAAGTAACACAGGACTTACCAAGCCAAAATAAAGGTGGTGCTTTTGTTTCTGGCTTACAACCCGCACTGCTACATAGTCTCCAATATTAGGGAAGACAAGATCCGAGGACTGCAAGAGATAAAATTGATTAAAATTGTATTGTCTTGTAAGTATTCTATACCAACTCTTAAAATTAGCAGGGTAATAAGTTACCATGGCTGGTGTCTCAATCGCCGATGACACGTCATTTTGCAACACAGTTACAAAATGATTTGGAGACCACTGTTTTTCTGGAACACATTTTCCCTTGGTATGACTCCACATGATGTGGACTGGTGTGAGCTGTTTGTCAGTTGAATATTCTTTTGGTAATATAAGTCTGTTCAAGTGTTTACGTACCACTGCCCCAGCATATGTTGGGTAGATAGACACCAGGGGAGACTTCAGGATATTTGACAATGCAAACAGCTGCCAGATACCCATAAATGCACCAAGATTCACTACATCCATTACTTCTTCTTCATATATACTTTGAATGACAGAATCTGTAATTCCTTTGGTGATTGCAGGATTATAAATTCCTGAATACTGAGCGAAGATAGTTGGCAGTTTGGTTGCTTCTTTGTCTGATATGTCATTCAATCCTCTTTTCAGATAATTGCCATCTAGGTAGGACTTGCTGTTTTGAATGAGGTCCAATATTATACGGACCCTCATTTCAACATGGAAATCTTCGAGACCAAATGCCAAGGTACTTCCGCAACGAGGGAGACAGTTACCGTCCCCATAGACACAGGTTGGAAACTTTCCAGTTGGAGCATCAGCTGGATACAGCTCAAGAGCCATCTTGTCAATTGGACTCTTAACTTTGACCATATCAACTTCTTCAGGCTTTAGACTGAAGGTGAATCTGTCAACTTCTCCTGCGATTCTGTTACAGTACATGGCTAGGGAGGAAAACGTTTTGAACTTGGACATTTTTTTTTGGACGGTTTCAAAAAACTCTGACCTGGGTGGTTGTTTGATCATCGTTTGAGGCTTGGCTAGGAGGTTCTGTTTTGCTTTTTTTTTATCAGTTTGCTGCTGGCTAACCACTTCTTTTTCTTGCCATTATGCACTGGTAAGATGACTTCTTCCCAAACATCTACATACTCTTTATTTCTGCAGGCATCCACCCCACTTATACAGGCTTCACAGAAGCAGGTAAGGTTTCGGGTTTTTAAGATGTTTTCTGCACTTCCATCAGACGTAACACAATGTAACTTCCTAGTTCCTTTCACTGTCTTCATTGTTCTACCTCTATTTCTAGGAATGTCGTCAATGTAGAAGAATGAACGCCGATGATGGGAGCAACCCCCTACACTGTCATGATCACCTTTTGACAATTCCTTCTGACAAAACTCATGAAACTCTTCAACATTTGAAATGACAGCTTTGCGTGAAGTAACTGCTTTTCTCACATAAGTCTTCACTACACCAGATACACCATCGCTTTCACTTTTGCCGTGGCGACTGCCAAAGTAGCACCGCTGGATTGGATGACCAAGATCTGTAACAGATTGGACAATATCAGCAAATGGAGTCTTGCTCTTGTATTGGGAGGCACACCCATCTGTAAACTGGTATATGCTTCTGTATCGCTATTCCCTTCTTCAAGAGATATTCAATTGCTGTCTTCACGAACTTGTGCACAGCATTTGCATCATGGGTTTTATCTGGCGATATCATTACCATCTCTTCTCTGACCAAATCCCCATCCAGTGGACAATGGTAATATCCAACAATTGGATGAAGAGTAACTTGGTTGTGGTACCAATGAGCTGATTGAGGTTCATCTTGGTAAAAGCAATTGAAGTTCTCAGCAAAGTCCATGACTGTCAAGAGCCAGTCATCAGGGAGGTTCTTAACCAGATAAGAATATTGCTCATGCTGCCACCTGGCCACAAACAAATGTTTTGCTAACGTTTCAACTTCATCACACAGTTTGTCAAGTGCACTCATCACCGAGGTTGTGACGGTGTTTAACTGTAAGCGAGAGCTTTGCTTTTCTGGCAATTTGACCATTTCCCATAGTGTCCAAGTTAGGTTTGCTTGCCCGTTATCAAGGAAAGGCTGGAAATACTTCCTCAAAAGATGGGTTCCACATTGGTCACATGTACGCTCAATACACTCACGGCGATGAAAATGGTTATTGTTCCTGTCACAAAGTGTCAAATTGACAGCGGAATATATATCAAGATGCTCTCCTTCACGAACTGATTTTGATAGTGCCTTCAATTTCAGTTCAACATTGGCACAGTAAGTGCACAAACAATTCCGCAGTTTATGTTTTGATTGGTGTAACACATTCTTTGGTCTAAGCTTAGCAAACTTGGTCTGACCTATCTTTAGTTCAGCATGTTCAGTTAGAAATTCTTTGTATGTTTCTCTCACTGTTTTGAGAAGTATATACTTTCCGTCAGTAGGTCGAATGGTAGAAACATGTGGTTGAAGATAGAAATTCCCAACTTTCAACACAGTCTCTGCAGGGAGGCAGTCAGATCTTGTTGGTGGAGTATCAGGTCATGGTTTGAACATTTAACTAAATAGCTCCATCGCAAACCCAGCACTCTGGACTTGTACCCCTTTTGCATCAGATTACCCCCAGCAGTACCCTTAACAAGTATTGATCTGGCTTTCTGTGATTTACGACTTCTGCTGGATTTCAGTTGGTTTATATTTTGCTTAGCTGTGTCGAATAATGACTTCATAACTTTTCCTTTCCTTGGTGTTTGAATCCCAAGATCTTCCAAGTTATTTTTCTGTCTTGGAGTAGCATTCTTTATTATATGGGAAACCACCTCAGCAAATTTCTTAGGGCTTTTTGGAAGAGATGTAGCTGCCCGTGATGCTGCCCTGCCGGATGCATCTGGTGTTAGCACGTGTCCTTCATGGTCATTTACAGTTTCTTTGCGAGACTCCTGTGATTCCGGTGTTTGTTTTCTTTTTCGATCGTATTCTTTTATTCGTCTCTTCTTTTGGACAGAGATCTTTGTTCTCCATTCATTTTTCTTTTCTCGCCAGTACTTTTGTTTTTCCTCTTTAGACTTTCTTCTGTTGACCGTTTCTCCTTTTTGTAATTCTTTTCCTTGGGCTTTACGCTTTTCACGATATCTTTTGGACCTACAGAGGAGATGCAAATTCAATATACGTTTATAATCTCGTGTCAATAAATTGTATCAATTTCTTCTATCAAGTTATTGTGTAAATTGACCAATAAATATAATTACTATTTAATCCTGATGATTTATAAAAATCAAATAAATACACTCATGTGATTCAATTATCACACAATGTAGATTTTATTATCTTACATGTAGATAGATCAGTAATAAAAATTGATTTTTATTAGTTTTTTAATATCTGACGGACAAATATTGCTGAATTAATCCCAGGACTCAACACAGTACAAACTACTCCCACCTACCTTATTCGAGATGTTTCACGGTCAGCTGCCTTCCGTTCTTCCGTACGATTCTTGCGGTATACTTTTTTTCTTTGTCAAATTCTAAATGCCTTGACAGATTTTGTCAAATTGATCAATTGATTTGATAAAAATTATCATTCAAGGAAACAGACTTACAATTTGTAACGCTCTTCATCATGTTTTATTGCAGATCGATACTCTCTCATGTGCTCTGCTGCACTTGGTGGAGATTTTATTAACTTGACTCTAGGAAGGCTTGATGATCTGCTTGAAACAAACTTCATTATGCATATGCATTATGCAGAGGAGAGAGGAGCAGCCATGGCTCTGCTCAGGATCGTGACTCTGCTGTCCTTATCGGGTAAGCCTTTGAATCAATGTGTTTTAGTTTAGTAGCTTCGTCAAAGTGAAGTTAGCTGCTTTTTGATCATGCTAAAAGGATGTATAAGAATGTATAATGCCTTTCAGAATTATTTGTTATACTGTATTTCTGTAATGACGGCGCTTTACAGGTTAGAAGCTGTTACAAGTACTTTTTAAAGACACCATTTATACTTTCAGCGAATCAGCATTCAGCAAGTGACATAAGATTTCTAACCCATAAAAAAGCTGAAATTCTTATTTCTATCAATTAATTTATTTGAGCCAAATAGTCAGCCCCTTGCCCTTTGTGCAAGTTCCATTTATAAAGTGGCACTTATTGTGTGGAAAATTATAATTAAAAAATCCATTCTCAACAAATCCAACATAGAAAACAAGATTGCCTGTTGTGGTGCTGTTTTATTTATTCACAAAATGTTACTTTTCTGCTAAACCAACATTGTTAGTGCCAGAGAAAATGTATGTACCCGAGCTTTAATCTATGCGGGAGACACGGCTGACAGAGGCAGAGACACAGCGGAGAGACGGATGACACACAGATGTGGGGGGGACACGGGGGTGACACGGCGGCGATACGCGGAGACACGGGAGTACGCAGCGGAGACACGGGGGAGAAGCTGGGGATGGTCCTGCACGGGCGAGCGCGGACCAGACTCCGGGAGAGCGGACCACGATTGGCTGTGCGTTCGCTGAGGTGTTGTATTGACAGCGGCTCACAGGAGCGGCTGTCAATACAAAGCTGCCACAGTACTCCCGAGGATGTGTAATGACGTTCGAGTACTTGAAAATGTATAACGAATATAACGGAGGGGAACGCGAACGCTGTGAAAAGTGGAAAAAAAAATCTTATTTTTAGGGTCGTGGACAGACTAAACTAACGAACAGAAAAAGGACAAATAGACAGTAAAAGGCGTGAGAGGGTTTTGTAATGTATGCATCATATGGCTAGTGCGCAACTGCATTTATGTCCCTGGGGCTACCCGTAGGGAGAACTGGTGAAATAAACACACTTGAAGTAACGCTCCTCCGGCTCTTGTACATGACTCAGTAATACGAATTCCTTTAAGTATTTTACATGGTGTCAGAAGTGTGTCGAGAGCAGTAAGTACCTGCGTGACCATGACAATGCAGTTTGAATTCCCCAAAATAGACTGGGAGGCGGCGGATTTATATCAGGAGTTCCAGCGGTTCCGCAGCCATGTTGGCTTCGTGTTCGCCGGTCCTCTGTCCGCGCGGGAGAACAAGGAAAAGGCGGGGTGGATTGGTACATGGATCGGGGAGCAAGGAAGAGAAATATACAAGACACTCCAGTGGGCTGATGGTGAAAAAGACGACCCTGATAAAGTGCTTGACAAGTTTGCAGGCTATATTAGACCGAGGAAAAACAAGAGGATCGCCAGGCACCGTTTCAAACAAAGAAAACAGGGTTCAACAGAAACATTTGACAACTTTGTGAAAGATTTGAGACTTTTATTACTGGACTGTGAGTATGCTGACGCAGATGACATGCTAGTTGATGCCATCATAGCGGGCGTGAGAGAGAAACGTGTCCAGGAGAGACTGCTTGAAAAAGGTGAAGAGCTAACGCTAGCCAAAGCCATTGAAATTCCCCAGCAGTTCGAAATGTCTCAAACGCAGATGAGAATTGTGAGAGAGGAGGATTCACAAGTGTCTGCTTTGTCAAGCAAAGTCAAGTTTAACGCACAAAGCAAAAAGGCATACAACCACGTTCAGCAAGAGTACACACCAACAGGACAAAAATATAAAAGATGTGGAAAAGACCCCAAACACAAGTGGAACCAAGGTAAATGTCCAGCAAAAGGCTCGATTTGCTCATGCTGTAACAAGCCAAACCACTGGGCGGCGGTGTGTCGCAGTCGATCAGTAAGTGCAGTGAATGTAGAATCATCAAGTGAAAGTGAAGAGGAAATACTCAACATTAACCTGACAACAGATGCCATTCCAGTCGCAATACTGGCAGATGATAAGTGGTTGGTGGACACATACATATTGTGTCAGAAGGTGCAGTTTAGGATAGATACAGGTGCAAAGTGTAACACACTGACTCTGAACTGTTACCAGTCCATAAAGCACACAGGTGAGCTCAAAGCATCAAAAAGGTTGCTCAAAACCTATTCAAACCACAAAATAAAGCCTGTTGCTGCAGTCGACCTTCTGCTAAAACACAAAGGGCACAAAACCAAAGCAGAATTTGAAATCGTGGACATTGCACAAGAAAATGTGTTGAGTGGCACTACAGCTGAGGCACTAGGTCTTATCGTGAGGCTGGATTCTTTACAAGATAGTGGGGTAAATAACAAAGTGAGCACCGACACAGTCCCAAAAGCACCCGATGGTCTGGAGAACTTTCCAGAGCTGACTCGCACAACAGGAACACTACCAGGGAAGTACACAATAAAGATTGATAAAGAGGCTAAACCTGTCGTACACCCTGTGCGTAGACAGCCAGTCGCACTCAGAGCCAAGATAATTGAAAAGCTAAATGAGATGGTGCATGACGGCCACATTACTAAAGTAAACGAGCCAACTGAATGGGTCAGTTCTATGGTGGTGGTCACAAATAAAGATAAAATCAGAATCTGCATCGATCCGAGTGATTTAAATAATGCTAAGAGACGAAAGCACTATCCAATGCGCACAATAGAAGAAGTTGTGTCAACCATTCCCAATACAAAGGTGTTTTCTGTACTAGATGCAAAGTCAGGCTTTTTGCAGATCGAGCTGGATGAGGCTTCATCACTCCTGACTACATTCAACACTCCAATAGGAAGATTCAGATGGCTGAGACTACCATTTGGAATAAAATGTGCACCTGAGATATTTCAACGCATCATGGACCAAATGCTGGAGGGCATCAAAGGAGCAACTGGCATTATGGACGATATTCTCATTGCAGCACCAAGCCTGAAAGAACATGACCAGATATTGAAAAAGGTTGTGGAGAGAGCAACAAGCTACAATCTGAGACTAAACTTTAACAAATGCCACGTTCGGCAGTCAGCAGTGCCGTATGTAGGACATTTAATAACAGCTGAAGGACTGAAACCTGACCCAGCAAAAACTGAGGCTGTAAGGTGCATGCCGCCACCTACAGACAAGGAAGGCGTCCGACGCTTCCTGGGATTTGTAACATACCTGTCAAAGTTCATCCCAAACCTCAGTGAAATAGATGCGCCGTTAAGACAACTCACAAAAAGCGATGTGGAGTTTGCATGGCAACCAGCACAACAGCAGGCATTTGATAAGCTCAAGCATGTTTGTACACATCACCCTGTGCTGAAATTCTATGATGTGTAAAAACCAGTGGAAATATTCTGTGACGCAAGCAGCACTGGACTTGGAGCTGTGTTGGTGCAGGATGACCAGCCGGTGGCCTTCTCCTCAAGATCGATGACCGACGCAGAGACTCGTTACGCGCAAATTGAGAAGGAAATGTTATCCATTGTCCATGCATGCACCAAGTTTCACCACTACATATTTGGGAAACATGTCACAGTATACAACGATCACAAGCCACTTGAGGACATTTACAAAAAGTCGCTGTTGTCCACACCAATGCGTATCCAAAGAATGCGTTTGAGGCTCCAGTGGTATGACATTACAGTTAAATACAGGAGAGGCAAAGACATGGAGTTACCAGATACGCTGTCCCGAGCACAACTCTCTGACAAAACGCCAGAGGCAGGAACTCTTGAGTGTGTCTCTATGATCAACTTTCTGTCTGTAAGCAATGAGAAATATATGGAGTTACAGACTTGCACTAACAATGAGTTGAGTCTCCTCCGACAGGTCATCCAGGAAGGCTGGCCGGAAAACAGGCGTGATGTGCCCATTCCTGTGCAGCCATACTGGGACTCAAGAAGTCAGCTGGCTGTAACTGATGGTGTTGTGTACAAAGGTATGCGTATTGTTATACCCCCCAGCATGCAAAAGCACATGCTCGGTCTCATACATCACTCCCACCAGGGAATGGTGAAAAGCAAGCAGCGCGCACGGGAAGTGTTGTATTGGCCAGGCATGGGGGCCGAGATCGAAAGCATGATAAAAAACTGTTCAAAATGCGCTGAAACTCAAAACAGACTCCCAAAACAACCACTAATGCCAACAGAAACACCTGAGCTACCATTTGAAGTTGTAGCGTCAGATTTGTTTGAGTTTGAGGACAAGCAATATGTCGTACTAGTGGACTATTATTCCAAGTACATTGAAGCAGATATGCTGAAGGATCAGCGCAGCCGCACTACTATTGAAGCGCTAAAAGCTCAGTTCAGCCGGCATGGCATTCCAGCGATCTTGAGAACCGATAATGGCCCCCAGTACGCATCAGAAGAGTTTAGGGAGTTTTGTAACAGCTATGGTATTCAGCATAAAACGTCTTCACCACACACACCACACTCCAATGGTGAAGCAGAGCGAGCAGTGCAAACAGTAAAGAGGCTCTGGAGCAAAGCACCTGACAAACACCTTGCTCTATTAGACTACAGAACGACTCCGCTTGAATCAGTTGGACTGTCACCTGCTCAGCTGCTCATGGGTAGGAGGCCTCGCAACAAACTGCGAACTGCACGTGCTCTACTCAAGCCCATGAGCTACGACTCTCTTAAAGTAAAAATTCTTCTGGACAAGACAAAGCACACCCAGAAACTCTATCATGACAGGAGAGCAACACGTCCTCGTCCGGATCTAAAGCCGGGGGATGAAGTCAGGATGGCACCTCATCCTGGCAAACACAATTGGTCCCCTGCAGTAGTTGTGCAGCCCCACAGTGCTCCACGCTCCTATGTGGTGGACAGCGGAGGTAAGCTGTATCGGCGTACAAGCCAACATCTCCGCAACAGCACTGCAACTGCCAACCAGCCACGTCACGTCACACCTGATGAAGAGCCCTGGCGTGAACCACCAGTGACATCAGCAGCTGAGCAGCAGTCTCCTACTGTCGCCCCGGAATCACCAGGTTCACCCTCTGTGGTCCCCCAATGTCCACAAATACAAGCAGGAGGGCAGTATCATACCAGACGGGGCAGAGCGGTGAAACCACCTGATAAGCTGAACTTGTAAAATGATCACACTTCTAATTCATTGGTTGTGTTTACTTGGTTGAAAAAAAAAAGTTAAAGTTTGTTGTGGTTTTATTCACACAAGAAAAGTTTACTGTTAATAATAATTAATGCACTTTTGTTCAGCAGATATTCTTTAATGTGTATTGTTATTACTGAGGAAGGGGGATGTAATGTATGCATCATATGGCTAGTGCGCAACTGCATTTATGTCCCTGGGGCTACCCGTAGGGAGAACTGGTGAAATAAACACACTTGAAGTAACGCTCCTCCGGCTCTTGTACATGAGTAAGTAAGTAAGTAAGTAAGTTTTTTATTTATATACCGCCTTTTCACTGCAGATCTGAGTCTCAAAGCGGTTTACAATTGTTAATTTTGGGCATTTGTCTCTCACTCCACACAGATGGGAGCGGGGCCAGTACAGGAGGCGCATGCCAGAACTATTGGACATATTTTTAGTGGTAGGGGAAACCGGAGTACCCGGAGGAAACCTACGCAGACACGGGGAGAACATGCAAACTCCACTCAGAAAGGCCCTGGTCCGACCGGGATTCGAACCCAGGACCTTCTTGCTGAGAGGCGAGAGTGCTATCCACTCAGCCACCGTGCCGCCCATGACTCAGTAATACGAATTCCTTTAAGTATTTTACAGGTTTGGCATATGTTAATTTGGTCAAATGAGTAACGGAATGACTCTTGACCACGTCTGTTATCAATTTACTGCTGTCAAAAATCCCATTCTAAAAGTACTCATTGTATTACGTGACGGACGTGATATCGATTGACGGAATACCTACCTCAGCTTCCTTGGCGCCATTCTTTGTTGCAGCCCAGCATTTAACGTTGTCACAATTTATTGTACTCAAACTTCTTGACTGATGACGGCGGGAAAGACCGGTACCTTGACGGAGGTGGCTATTTTTATCTCTGGCACGGACGTGATGCGTTTGACGGAATGATCGATGCTGAAGTTTGTTACATATTTTCAGATGTCCACATTTGATCAATAGATTCTTTCTTTTTACACAGAGTAGAAACAAAGTGATACTTTCATGTAGTAAACCAACTCAATGTGAAAAACGACCATATATTTTTTGGTAAAAAGTTTTATTTTTAGAAAAAGTTTGACGGAAACCATCACGTCCGTTATACATTATTCTTTTTTTTTTTTTTTTTTTTTTTTAATTATTTTTTATTTATACATACATGCAAACATACAAACAAAGCTTTACAAAACACACATACTGGGGAGCAACACAAAAGGGAAGGGGGCTAGACCGATACAAATTGACCCCGAGGGCCTATGGTGGCTGTGCATAGTGGATGTGTGTAGTGTCTGGATGCGTGTAGTGTCTGGATGTGTGTAGTGCGCGTGTAGTGTGTTCAGGTGTATGTTACATGAGTCAATTTCTTAGATGAGCTTTGATGAGTGAAATAAACAAAGATAGAGATAGTGACATATTTGCCATTATAGTAATAATAATGAGAGTAGTGATGACAGTAATAATATGAGTTAAGTAATTATAATTATAATATCAGAGCATAGTAATAGTAAGAATATAATAGAAAGGACATAGTATTGCAATAATGGGGAAGAGATGGCGATGTGAAGTAGTGACAGGCAGGGCACATATTGACATAAAAAAAAAAAAAAATGAAACAGTAATAATAATAATAAAGAAATACACATATATACATATATAAATAAACATACCTACGCATATACATACATACATACACACGTACCCACACATATAGATGATAATAATTAATAGATAAGACAGTTCAATACACGGGAAAGTCACGTAGCCGCAGCAGCATTATCAGCTTTACTGAATCAGATTGTTATTCTTAGTGTGTATTTTTGTAATTTATATACACATCAATGTAGTATTTAAATATATGTATACATATATATATACATGCATATATACACATACTTACATACACTCACTATTGTTAAATATTTATAAATAAATTACTCATTATAAGATTATTTATAAATAGTAAGGTATACTTTTTCAAATGTCAGAACCCCAATCTGCACCTGTGCTCTTGTGTGGTGCATTAAAAACATTGTGTTGTATGTGGTGCATTAAAAACCCAAGGGGTGGAGCAAGGTGCAGATGAGGGAGCCCAGTTTTTTTTTTTTTTTTTTTTTCTTTTCCCTTCCCCTTGTTCTTTTGTTTTGTTCTTTTTTCCCTGTCCCTTTTCCCTTCCTTTCTTCTTCCCTTCCCTTTAAATGTCATATAGATATTGTAATCGTTACTGCCATTACTCTTCCCTTACTTTTTTTTCGTACTACTGCTGCTAAAAAAAATAATATCAATAATAATAACAATTGCTTTACTAGTTTTAACTAAGAGTAATGGCTATAACAACTTTGGTATATAACTATCATAATCCTATAGAATGTAATAACTATACTATATATTTAAATTATATAACGATGATAAGAATAATAATAATACTTGTATTATACTATTTGGCTATTAATACTACTGCGAAACCACGATGTTATGAATACTGTATGATAGATATGCATATGTACACACCTTTATATAAAAAACACATAGATATATACATAGTCAACTAGTTATATAAACATATGAACACAGTTATATATATATGTATACCCATTAGAAGGATTTTTAACAAATAAGTACATATTTAGAATTACCTGGCAGTGGGGTGGAGTGATTTAAGAAGTGGTGACCAGGGACAGAGGGATTCTGCTGTGGGATGGTTTTCGGATGATATGTGATCATTTAGCATGTTTTTCCATATTGAAATGTTTATTTTTTTCCTTGATTTCCAGTTCATAAGGATGGTTTTCTTGGCGATGGCTAGCGCCACTAGGAGGATGTTTGTGTTTGGTTGTGTAATGTTTAGCTGAGTGAGATCGCCTAATAAGCAAAGTGATGGGGACATTGGGATGTGGCAGCCTAAAAGTGAGGAGATAGAAGATGTGACTGCTTTCCAGAATTCTAAAATGGGTGGGCATTGCCAGAGGGCATGAATATAGGTGTCAGAAGTGTTTTGAGTGCAATAGGTGCAAGTGTCCTGTGAGAAACCCATTCTAAACATTCTATGGCCTGTGTAGTGTGTTCTGTGTAGGATTTTGAACTGTATCAGCTGTAAGTTTGTGTTTTTTGACATGGAGTACATATTTTGACAGATTTGTGTCCAGGAACTGGCATCGAGAGCTAATCCTAGATCTTCTTCCCATTTTGTTATAGGTAGATATATTTTATTGTCAGATTTTAATATAATTTTGTAGATCTTTGAAAGGAGTTTTTTTGTTGAGGTGATATTGACCACATCTGTTGTGAATGAGGGGAGTTCTAAGTTGATGGTAGTGTTTGAAAATGCAGAGGTTATGGATGATGTAAGCTGAAGGTATTTGAGGAATTGTTTGCTCTCGATGCCATGTTCCTGGACAAGATAAGAAAAGGGGACCAGTTTATTGTGGTGGATAATGTGTTTTAGGTGGGTGATTCCTTTTTCGGCCCACACGGAGAAGTTCATGGTTTTTTTATTGCTGAGGAAGTCAGGGTTGTGCCAGATTGGAGTATGATCGGATGGAGTTATGTTACTATTAGTTAATTTGTGAGATTTCCACCAGGCTGTCAGAGTCAATGATATTGTCAGAGATTTAAAAGGGGAGTATTTTTTTGATTGAGGGGCTAAGGAATGGAAGGTCTGAGATTATATATGGATTGCATAAAGCTTGCTCGACGTCCAGCCATGTGATATCTGAGTTTTGGGGGTGGATCCATTTGAAGATGTATTGTGTCTGATTTGCAATTGAGTATATATTGAAGTTGGGTGCTGTAAGTCCACCTTTAGTTTTTGGTTTTTGTAATGTGCTTAATTTAATTCGGGGTGGTCTGTTATTCCAGTAAAATTTTGAAATTGTAGAGTCCAGGGCTGAGAACCATGATGAAGTGGGATGGGTTGGGATCATGTTAAAGAGGTAATTAATTTTAGGGAGGATCATCATTTTAACTGTATTTATTCTGCCAATTAGTGAAAGCGGTAGGTTTGTCCAGCGGGATAAGTTGTCATTTATTGTTTTGAGTAGAGGGGTAAAGTTTAGATTTATCAACTCAGACAGCCTGGAGGGAATCCTCACGCCGAGGTAGGTGATACAATCTGTTGTGCAGATAGGGATTGGGGGTAAATAGGTTGCCACATCCCAATGGTCTTTTTGGAGGGGAAGCATTGAAGACTTGTGCCAGTTGATGGAATAGTCCGAAACTTTTGAGAATCTTTCTATTAGATGTATTGTTTGGTTTAGTGAAGATTGTGGATTTTGTAGGAACAGGAGTATGTCGTCTGCATATAGGCTGATTTTATGGTGATGCTTCTGTGTTTGTAAACCAGTGATGTTAGGATCCATGCGAACGGCTGCAGCTAGTGGTTCGATGAAGATAGTGAAGAGAAGGGGGGAGAGTGGACAGCCCTGCCTGGTACCTCTGTGGAGGTTAAAGCTCTTTGACATTTGGCCATTGGTGGTTATTATAGCAGTGGGTGAGGTATATAGGATCTTGACCCAGTTGACAAATGACTCCCCAAAACCAAACTTACCCAGTGTGGAGAAAAGGAATGACCAATTGACTTTATCAAATGCTTTTTCTGCATCTAATGTGACTATGGTGGCTGGTATTTTATGCTGTTGAGTATAATCTATAATGTTTAGCAGTCTACGAGTGTTGTTAGAAGAGAGCCTGCCTTTAATGAAACCGGTTTGATCTGAGTGGATAATGGTTGGGAGGATTTTTTCCAGACGGTGGGCTAGAGTTTTTGTGATGATTTTAAGATTGACATTCAAAAGTGAAATAGGGCGGTAACTGGAAGGAAGTGTGGGGTCTTTGTTAGGTTTTAGAAGTAATGTTATTATGGCTTGATTCATTCTGGCAGGGAGAATGGAAGTTTGTTGTATTTCTTCAATCAATCTTAGAAACACAGGGTTTAATATGGACCAGAAGTGTTTGAAGAACTCAGCAGGGAAGCCATCCGGACCTGGAGATTTATGACTGGGCATTTTTTTAAGTGAGTTATAAAGTTCATTTTCCCGGATCGGTCTATTAAGGATTTGAATTTGATCCGAGTTAAGTTGAGGGAGATTAATGTTGTCAAGAAAAGCATCTATGCTTTCCTGAGATGGTTTATTTTCTGATGCATATAAAGTACTGTAATAATTTTTAAAAATATTGTTAATTTCCTGTGGAGACTGTGTTGACTTCCCTGCTGAGTTCTTCAATGATGAAATTGTAGATTTTTCTTTATTTTGTTTATACATTATTCAAGGGTCAATATATATATATTAGGGCTGTCAAATGATTACATTTTTTTAGTTGATTAATCGCATAGTAATGGTGAGTTAACTCACGATTAATCGCATGTTTAACATTCTATTTCAAATCCACTCCAATTGAAGTTAAATGAGATATTGTCTCTACCAAGTTAGAATATAATTACCAGTATTGGGTAAATTACTTTGAAAAAGTAATTAGTTATAGTTACTTGGTACTTCTTCCAAAAAGTAATTGACTTACTGACTGAGTTACTCCACTATAAAAGTAACTAGTTACCAGTAAAAGTAACTATTGCGTGGTACCGAGCTTCAGCTGGCTGTAATTTAGGATAACTTCTAAGTAGATTAATTGCTGCAACAACCCCACCCTATTTTAGTATGATATGTTAGTTTAGGGAACTGTCCTGCAGGCAAACAGGTATAAGACAGGCCAAGGTGCCATTTATTAAATTGCATTTATTTTTATCCATTGATCAAACAAACAGATTACAAAATTGGCAATTGAAAGAGACTATTTTAAAATAATTAGTTCCCAAAAACACACACGAGCAACACTCGCGCCTGACAGTCAAGAACCAGGGAAAATACAGTACGCAGAGCGCGCCTGACAGACAAGAACCAGGGAAAATACAGTACGCAGAGCGCGCCTGACAGACAAGAACCAGGGAAAATACAGTGCGCAGAGCGCTGAGTATGTGAACGGAGCAATCGCTTGCTGCTGTTATTATAATAGCTAGATCCATGCTTGCAGCCCGTGCAAAGCTTGCACTCACTCACAGCCGCTAACAACAACCAGAGCGGCCACGGAGGAGGCCATCTCACACGCAGCATTCTGAGTGATATTCTTATGGATAAATGGGCGGGTCATTCGGACATGCGTTAATGCGTTTAAAAATAAATAACGCGTTAATAAAAACTGTAATTAACGTGAGTTAACGCGATAATTTTGACAGCCCTAATATATATATTTTTTAAAATATTTTTTTTAATGATTCCTTTTCAAATGAAATGTATTACTTATGATGTGTTAGCCATATTATATCTTTTGGGATTTCACCTGCAGCTTTTTCACACTGATGACATTTTATTATCTATGTCACTGGTGTCACAGTAGAATTATCAAATCAGAGGCTGATCTGGTCTTTTAAAAGGTTGCCAAAAATGTATTTCTCAATATTTTCTTTTGATTTTATCCACACTATCTCTTTGATCTGTCTGTGTTTAAAATCTTTTTTTTCCTTTCTATGATAGTGATTATAGTTTTTGAGTTATAACCTTTCAAAGTCCAGATACTTTAATTAACACTTTACTGTGAACACACCCAAAAACGAATATTAGCCTTGTTAGCATGTTTTATGATATCAAGTAGAGTTAGCTAACTTGCCCAACACTAATTAGCTTGAATCTCACAAATAAGGCTAAAAGGTTAAAAGAGTTGCACACTATTATGTACAAAACTGATGTAAATATGTTTATACCTTGTTCAGATGACAGTGAAACCTCCTACAGAGTCAGCCCAGACTGCTGCTGCTGCTGTGAGAGGTCCTTCTCCTACGTCATCGCCGACATTTTGGCGCCCCCTAGCGTTTCTATGCGGAAGTGAAAAGGTGCCACTTCAAAGCAGTTTAAAGCATAATTCATCTGAACATGTCAAAATGAACACCCGAAATATTATAAACACATATTGTAGTTATATATTCTGGATAGCAGCATATTAAATTCTAGTACTACTTTAAGTCATGCGTTTAAAAGATATAGCAGAGAGAGAAGTAGATCAATATTGTCCCATTGTTTCTGAACAGCTTTGTTTATCTTCTCTCGAGAGTAGCTTAATTACACGGTTATTGTGATCTCACCTGAAACCTGACAATATAAAATGTGTTTGACTTTTGCACAGGTGATGACACACAATGGCTTCCCCTCTGGTCTGCACATGCTCTCTGTTTACTCACTGACTCAGCCCAAAGACAACACAATAGATCCAACAGGTAATTGATATTTTAGAGAGACTAGGAGCTTTGTGCCGCTCATTTGAAGTGTCCATCTTGTTTTTGTCCACATTGTAGTTGAAGAGATGAAGAGAGCGGGTTTAAAAGAGTCTGGAATGAGAGGAGAGAGGAGCAGCCATGGCTCTGCTCAGGATCGTGACTCTGCTGTCCTTATCGGGTAAGCCTTTGAATCAATGTGTTTTAGTTTAGTAGCTTCGTCAAAGTGAAGTTAGCTGCTTTTTGATCATGCTAAAAGGAATGGACCAAACATGTGGAGAAAGAGTAACTGATGAATGTATAATGCCTTTCAGAATTATTTGTTATACTGTATTTCTGTAATGACGGCGCTTTACAGGTTAGAAGCTGTTACAAGTACTTTTTAAAGACACCATTTATACTTTCAGCGAATCAGCATTCAGCAAGTGACATAAGATTTCTGAAGACAATATCAAACTAAAACTAATTTCTTTATTTATTTAAAAACGGACAGTGTACAATAAGAACATAAACGTTTCCATTTCATGCATTGTACCGGAGTCAGCCTTAGGCCAATTTATATCTTGTCTTTAGCATCTTTCTCTGTCCCTGTTCAAATAAAAACATCCACAGTCCCCCGGAGGAGATGAGTGATGTCGCATAAAGGGGCAGAGCTTAGATCCAAACAGCCGGACTGAAAAGTGCACATCCTTTTAGATCATGACTTTATAACCAACATTATGTCTTAAATGTGAAATCACACGTTTATTCAGTATCAGAACCTTCAATCAAATTCATTTTTGTAAAACCTTAAATCAATTATTGAAGAATACCCAAAGTATCGTATATGAGGTAAAAAGTTTTATGCTGCATACTAATATTTTAGTTTTATCTTGTGTTCTCCAGGCCTCTGCCATTCGCAGCCGCTCTGCTCGTACGGAAGGCTCTGGAACTTCCTGAACCTCACCACCTCCAACAGTTATCTTCTAAACTTCCGTCCGGTTAAGAACTGGACAGATCAGACTGAAGTAAAGGTTGAGATGATCATCTACGGCATTTTGAAAGTGGTCAGTGAAGAAAAAGAATTGTCCTTTCATTTACGCTGGAGTAGCTGACCTGACGAGGATCTTTGTCCCAACAGAAATAGACAACAGCATGCGTTATTTATCAGAAACATTTTAATCTTTTGCATATTTGTGAGAATAAGTCCTGTGAATCGAATCAAACCTTAAAGCTGCATTAACTGACTTTATTTTTGTGTTCATTACGAAAGTGCTATCCATGTCCATGCAGTGCATTGGGATGAACGTCCTTTTGAAGAATAAGTATCTCAGGTTTGTGCTGGCGTGACATTATATTTTAGATCGAGTTTTGATGAAACAAGGAAGAGATGTGTTTCGTGTCGCAGATTGTGACCAATCACAGCGGACCACTGGCCCCCACTTTCGTGACAGGTCCGTTAGCACAGACGGCTGAGTTAGCATAACAAGCGGCGGAGCTAACCTGAAGCTTCCTCGTCTTCGTCACCGGTTACTGCTTACACAGCGAGACAGCCATCCAAAAGAAAGTCCCGTTCCTCCGCGCTTCCCGGTTCTATCGTTCTATGGTCACGCCATCCACGTGCAAATACATATCCATTTATTATCCATATTGAGAGACGCTAGCTCCGTCCCAACAGTGGGTGTGTGTGTTATAGCTTCGTGGGTGCGGGAGGGGAGCAGAAAGAGAGAGGCCAGAGAGTCCACGGCTTCAAAATCCCAAAGTCAGTTAGTGCAGCTTTAATCAAAGTAATGAATCCGAGAGCACACACATACATGTAGTAGTTTTCCTGTTTAATGCTGCAGCAAAGGATTCAGCAGTTCACCACATCCTTAAAGCTGGGGAACCTAACTTTCAAACCATTATAAAAGGAACTACACACACACACACAGGGCCAAACACTCTCTGACCCTACACCTCTATACCAGTGTTTCCATAAAGGAGACCTGTACGGTGCTCTTTTCTAGATTTCTTTGACTGATATTTTTATAAAGCACAGTGGTCAGTAAAGCAAACACCCACGATATTTATCAATCTCATGCAATTTTGCAAAACCCAGGGATTTCCACGGATTTGCAACTTTTATTAGCTGTCAATGTCATTTTTGGGAAATGTGTAAATCCGAAGTCATCAAGTCAAAGTTAGAAGTCTCCCTTTCTTAGTGCATTGTATAAAAATGTTCCATGCTGAAAGGGCGTTGCTCTCCCCTGAAGCCCTGAATGCTACAGACACGTTTCTATCCCTAATGCAATGTCTTTTGTTCCAGGACGAGATGTCTCAAACTGTTGTAGCGCACACGTGGACGACTACTGTGAGTTAAGCTTAACTGCAGATCACTTTGATTTAAAGAAAAACACAAGGAAATGTAGTTTTTGTAAAAGGAAAAAGGTGTGTGTTCATGTGACATCACAAGTTTCCAAAGTAAGTAAGTAAGCTTTATTTATAAAGCTTACTCAGGTCTCTGCACTGGCTTCCTGTGGCTCAGAGAATAGATTTTAAAGTAGCTTTACTTGTGTACAAGTCTCTCCATGGCCTCGCACCAGGGTACATCCGCGACATGTTGGTGCCATATGAACCAACTCGGGCTCTGAGGAGCACAGGGACTGGACTTAGTGCCAAGAGTCGGAACTAGACATGGGGAGGCTGCGTTTCAGATTCATGCAGCTAGAGTCTGGAACCGTCTTCCCGAGAGTGTGAGACAGGCGTCTACTCTAGCAGTTTTTAAAACTGAACTGAAAACAGTTCTTTTTAGCTGTGCATACAAGTGAATGATTTTACATTTGTTTTTATCTTTAATCTTTTTAATGCGCTATGATTATTTATGATTATTTATGATTGTAATCCCTTGTGTGATTTTAATTTTTTACGGTTTTTAACTACTTGTGTGATTTTATATATCTTGTGCTCTTAATCTGTCTTTTTATGTTTACTTAAATTCTAATGTTTGATGATTTATGCATGATGTTATATGGGTTGTGAGGCGCTTTGCGTTGCCTTGTGTAGGAAAGGCGCTCTATAAATAAACGTTGATTGATTATTTTTCTTTCACAGACCAGAGTCACAAAGCGGTTTACAATTGTTATTTTTTGGGCATTTATTTCTCACTCCGCACAGATGGGAGGGGCCAGTACAGGAGGCACAGACCTATTGTACATGTTTTTAGTGGTAGGTGAAACCGGAGTACCTGGAGGAAACCTACGCAGACACGGGGAGAACATGCAAACTCCACTCAGAAAGGCCATGTTCCGACCGGGATTCGAACCCAGGACCTTCTTGCTGAGAAGCGAGCGTGCTAACCACTCAGCCACCGTGCCCGTGCCGCACGACAGTCCCCCAAAGGGACTATAGTTTAACGTTGTGGTGGAGGGCAGCTGAAACTATTGTAAGGGTCAATAGTCAGATACTAATGAATGAAGATGAAGAAGGGGACATGTCAGTGTTGCATCACAAGTTACAGAATAGTAGGAAAGAGTAGCACACAGCACAAGGATAAATGAACAATAACTATTTACTAAGATGGTAAAAATAATATCTCTACCTTTAGCATAAATCATTGGGCCAATCCACAAAACAAAACGGTTTCCTAACAAAGTGTCAGGCTGGAGAGAGGACCTGTTGTGAGTCCTCTTGTCTCTGTGCAGTCCTGGAAGAATGACTTTATAGAATGGAACCCTAAAGATTTCTGCAACATCGGCGTCTTCAGTGTTCCCAGCTCCAAAGTCTGGATCCCCGACCTTGACATTCAAGAAGAGTAAGTCTCAAGTGTGTGTGTGTGTGTGTCTCTGTGTGTGTGTGTTTCTCTCTGTGTTCTCTCTGTGTGTGTGTTTCTCTGTGTGTGTGTGTGTTTCTCTCTGTGTTCTCTCTGTGTGTGTGTTTCTGTGTGTGTGTGTGTTTCTCTCTGTGTTCTCTCTGTGTGTGTGTGTTTCTCTCTGTGTTCTCTCTGTGTGTGTGTTTCTCTGTGTGTGTGTGTTTCTCTCTGTGTTCTCTCTCTGTGTGTGTGTGTGTTTCTCTGTGTGTGTGTGTTTCTCTCTGTGTTCTCTCTGTGTGTGTGTGTTTCTCTCTGTGTTCTCTCTGTGTGTGTGTTTCTCTGTGTGTGTGTGTGTGTGTTTCTCTCTGTGTTCTCTGTGTGTGTGTGTTTCTCTCTGTGTGTGTGTTTCTCTGTGTGTGTGTGTGTGTTTCTCTCTGTGTTCTCTCTGTGTGTGTGTTTCTCTGTGTGTGTGTGTGTTTCTCTCTGTGTTCTCTCTGTGTGTGTGTGTGTTTCTCTCTGTGTTCTCTCTCTGTGTGTGTGTGTGTTTCTCTCTGTGTTCTCTCTGTGTGTGTGTTTCTGTGTGTGTGTGTGTTTCTCTCTGTGTTCTCTCTGTGTGTGTGTGTTTCTCTCTGTGTTCTCTCTGTGTGTGTGTTTCTCTGTGTGTGTGTGTTTCTCTCTGTGTTCTCTCTCTGTGTGTGTGTGTGTTTCTCTGTGTGTGTGTGTTTCTCTCTGTGTTCTCTCTGTGTGTGTGTGTTTCTCTCTGTGTTCTCTCTGTGTGTGTGTTTCTCTCTGTGTGTGTGTGTGTGTTTCTCTCTGTGTTCTCTCTGTGTGTGTGTTTCTCTGTGTGTGTGTGTTTCTCTCTGTGTTCTCTCTCTGTGTGTGTGTGTGTTTCTCTGTGTGTGTGTGTTTCTCTCTGTGTTCTCTCTGTGTGTGTGTGTTTCTCTCTGTGTTCTCTCTGTGTGTGTGTTTCTCTGTGTGTGTGTGTGTGTGTTTCTCTCTGTGTTCTCTGTGTGTGTGTGTTTCTCTCTGTGTGTGTGTTTCTCTGTGTGTGTGTGTGTGTTTCTCTCTGTGTTCTCTCTGTGTGTGTGTTTCTCTGTGTGTGTGTGTGTTTCTCTCTGTGTTCTCTCTGTGTGTGTGTGTGTGTTTCTCTCTGTGTTCTCTCTCTGTGTGTGTGTGTGTTTCTCTCTGTGTTCTCTCTGTGTGTGTGTTTCTGTGTGTGTGTGTGTTTCTCTCTGTGTTCTCTCTGTGTGTGTGTGTTTCTCTCTGTGTTCTCTCTGTGTGTGTGTTTCTCTGTGTGTGTGTGTTTCTCTCTGTGTTCTCTCTGTGTGTGTGTGTTTCTCTCTGTGTTCTCTCTCTGTGTGTGTGTGTGTGTGTTTCTCTGTGTGTGTGTGTTTCTCTCTGTGTTCTCTCTGTGTGTGTGTTTCTCTGTGTGTGTGTGTGTGTTTCTCTCTGTGTTCTCTGTGTGTGTGTGTTTCTCTCTGTGTTCTCTGTGTGTGTGTGTGTTTCTCTCTGTGTGTGTGTTTCTCTGTGTGTGTGTGTGTTTCTCTCTGTGTTCTCTCTGTGTGTGTGTGTGTTTCTCTCTGTGTTCTCTCTCTGTGTGTGTGTGTGTTTCTCTCTGTGTTCTCTCTGTGTGTGTGTGTTTCTCTCTGTGTTCTCTGTGTGTGTGTGTGTGTTTCTCTCTGTGTTCTCTCTGTGTGTGTGTTTCTCTCTGTGTTCTCTCTGTGTGTGTTTCTCTGTGTGTGTGTGTTTCTCTCTGTGTTCTCTGTGTGTGTGTGTTTCTCTCTGTGTTCTCTCTGTGTGTGTGTTTCTCTGTGTGTGTGTGTTTCTCTCTGTGTTCTCTGTGTGTGTGTTTCTCTGTGTGTGTGTTCTCTCTGTGTGTGTGTGTTTCTCTCTGTGTTCTCTGTGTGTTTCTCTCTGTGTGTGTGTTTCTCTGTGTGTGTGTGTTTCTCTCTGTGTGTATGTTTCTCTGTGTGTGTGTGTTTCTCTCTGTGTGTGTATAACCATGTCTCCATCTTATATTTTACTTACTTACAACATCCTGCTCAGGGACTACAGGTATAAATTAGTGCTGCTAATATACAGTGTGAAGAGAGGGCCTCAGTCTGGCTCCATTAGAGCAAACTTAGACTGTCTGTGGTCACCTTAGTCAGACAAATGTGTGAGGTAAATAAAGCTGACTTACTAACTTTAACATCTGCCTCCTCTGCAGTGCGTCAGACTCCAGCAGCATTCAACAAAGCCCCTTTGTGAACTTGTACCAAGACGGATGGGCTTCCACCACCGCCCGACAGCTCCTGACCTTCACCTGCCAACTGGACCTCAACATGTACCCCTTCGACAGGCAGCAATGTAACGTCACCTTTTCACCTATGACATCAAGCGGTAATACTGCCGGAAACACTGAAATATGTAGTATATGTGTGTATGCCAGATCAACGCTTTTCTATTTTTCTTTTGTCAGTTGCCGCCATACTTCTTACATCAGACGGCAATGGCACGCAGATAACCAACACCTCCAAATCAGTCATCATCACTGAGGGAGAATGGGAACTTAAAAACATCAGGATCCACACTGATTTCAGGAGAAACTTTGACAACGAAACGTACAGTGAGCTCATCTATACGGTAAGAGGAGCAGCTAAGAACCAATGAACACCAGGAATGTTTCTCTCTGTGTTCTCTCTGTGTGTGTGTTTCTCTGTGTGTGTGTGTGTGTTTCTCTGTGTGTGTGTGTGTGTTTCTCTCTGTGTTCTCTCTGTGTGTGTGTTTCTCTGTGTGTGTGTGTGTGTTTCTCTGTGTGTGTGTTTCTCTGTGTGTGTGTGTGTGTTTCTCTCTGTGTTCTCTCTGTGTCTGTGTTTCTCTGTGTGTGTGTGTGTTTCTCTCTGTGTTCTCTCTGTGTGTGTGTTTCTCTGTGTGTGTGTGTGTGTTTCTCTCTGTGTTCTCTGTGTTCTCTCTGTGTGTGTGTTTCTCTGTGTGTGTGTGTGTGTTTCTCTGTGTGTGTGTGTGTTTCTCTCTGTGTTCTCTGTGTGTGTGTGTTTCTCTGTGTGTGTGTGTTTCTCTCTGTGTTCTCTCTGTGTGTGTGTTTCTCTCTGTGTTCTCTCTGTGTGTGTGTTTCTCTCTGTGTTCTCTCTGTGTGTGTGTTTCTCTCTGTGTTCTCTCTGTGTGTGTGTGTTTCTCTCTCTGTGTGTGTGTGTTTCTCTGTGTGTGTGTGTTTCTCTCTCTGTGTGTGTGTGTTTCTCTCTGTGTGTGTGTGTTTCTCTGTGTGTGTGTGTTTCTCTCTGTGTTCTCTCTGTGTGTGTGTTTCGTGTGTGTGTGTGTGTGTGTTTCTCTCTGTGTTCTCTCTGTGTGTGTGTTTCTCTGTGTGTGTGTGTGTGTTTCTCTGTGTGTGTGTTTCTCTGTGTGTGTGTGTGTGTTTCTCTCTGTGTTCTCTCTGTGTCTGTGTTTCTCTGTGTGTGTGTGTTTCTCTCTGTGTTCTCTCTGTGTTCTCTCTGTGTGTGTGTTTCTCTGTGTGTGTGTGTGTGTTTCTCTCTGTGTTCTCTGTGTTCTCTCTGTGTGTGTGTTTTCTCTGTGTGTGTGTGTGTGTTTCTCTGTGTGTGTGTGTGTTTCTCTCTGTGTTCTCTGTGTGTGTGTGTTTCTCTGTGTGTGTGTGTTTCTCTCTGTGTTCTCTCTGTGTGTGTGTTTCTCTCTGTGTTCTCTCTGTGTGTGTGTTTCTCTCTGTGTTCTCTCTGTGTGTGTGTTTCTCTCTGTGTTCTCTCTGTGTGTGTGTGTTTCTCTCTCTGTGTGTGTGTGTTTCTCTGTGTGTGTGTGTTTCTCTCTCTGTGTGTGTGTGTTTCTCTCTGTGTGTGTGTGTTTCTCTGTGTGTGTGTGTTTCTCTCTGTGTTCTCTCTGTGTGTGTGTTTCTCTGTGTGTGTGTGTGTGTTTCTCTCTGTGTTCTCTCTGTGTGTGTGTTTCTCTGTGTGTGTGTGTGTGTTTCTCTCTGTGTTCTCTGTGTGTGTGTGTTTCTCTGTGTGTGTGTTTCTCTCTGTGTTCTCTCTGTGTGTGTGTTTCTCTGTGTGTGTGTGTTTCTCTCTGTGTTCTCTCTGTGTGTGTGGTTCTCTGTGTGTGTGTGTGTGTTTCTCTGTGTGTGTGTTTCTCTGTGTTTGTGTGTTTCTCTCTGTGTTCTCTCTGTGTGTGTGTTTCTCTGTGTGTGTGTGTTTCTCTCTGTGTTCTCTCTGTGTGTGTGTTTCTCTGTGTGTGTGTGTTTCTCTCTGTGTTCTCTCTGTGTGTGTGTGTGTTTCTCTGTGTGTGTGTGTGTGTTTCTCTCTGTGTTCTCTCTGTGTGTGTGTTTCTCTGTGTGTGTGTGTTTCTCTCTGTGTTCTCTCTGTGTGTGTGTTTCTCTGTGTGTGTGTGTGTGTTTCTCTCTGTGTGTGTGTTTCTCTGTGTGTGTGTTTCTCTGTGTGTGTGTGTGTGTTTCTCTGTGTGTGTGTGTGTGTGTGTTTCTCTCTGTGTTCTCTCTGTGTTTGTGTTTCTCTGTGTGTGTGTGTGTGTTTCTCTGTGTGTGTGTTTCTCTCTGTGTTCTCTCTGTGTGTGTGTTTCTCTGTGTGTGTGTGTGTTTCTCTCTGTGTTCTCTCTGTGTGTGTGTTTCTCTGTGTGTGTGTGTGTTTCTCTCTGTGTTCTCTCTGTGTGTGTGTTTCTCTGTGTGTGTGTGTGTGTTTCTCTCTGTGTTCTCTCTGTGTGTGTGTTTCTCTGTGTGTGTGTGTTTCTCTCTGTGTTCTCTCTGTGTGTGTGTTTCTCTGTGTGTGTGTGTTTCTCTCTGTGTTCTCTCTGTGTGTGTGTTTCTCTGTGTTCTCTCTGTGTGTGTGTTTCTCTGTGTGTGTGTTTCTCTCTGTGTTCTCTCTGTGTGTGTGTTTCTGTGTGTGTGTGTGTTTCTGTGGTCCCTCTGTGTGTGTGTTTCTCTCTGTGTGGGTGTGTTTCTCTGTGTGTGTGTGTTTCTCTCTGTGTGTGTGTGTGTTTCTCTGTGTGTGTGTGTGTGTTTCTCTGTGTGTGTGTGTTTCTCTCTGTGTGTGTGTGTGTTTCTCTCTGTGTGGGTGTGTTTCTCTGTGTGTGTGTGTTTCTCTCTGTGTGTGTGTGTGTTTCTCTGTATGTGTGTGTTTCTCTCTGTGTGTGTGTGTGTTTCTCTGTGTGTGTGTGTTTCTCTCTCTGTGTGTGTGTGTGTCTCTGTGTGTGTGTTTCTCTGTGTGTGTGTGTGTGTTTCTCTGTGTGTGTGTTTCTCTGTGTGTGTGTTTCTCTGATCTGTGTGTGTTTCTCTGTGTGTGTGTTTCTCTGTGTGTGTGTGTGTGTTTCTCTGTGTGTGTGTGTGTGTTTCTCTGTGTGTGTGTGTTTCTCTCTGTGTGTGTGTGTGTTTCTCTCTGTGTGGGTGTGTTTCTCTGTGTGTGTGTGTTTCTCTCTGTGTGTGTGTGTGTTTCTCTGTATGTGTGTGTTTCTCTCTGTGTGTGTGTGTGTTTCTCTGTGTGTGTGTGTTTCTCTGTGTGTGTGTTTCTCTGTGTGTGTGTTTCTCTGTGTGTGTGTTTCTCTGTGTGTGTGTTTCTCTGTGTGTGTGTTTCTCTGTGTGTGTGTTTCTCTGTGTGTGTGTTTCTCTCAGCAGTATGTCTGTGCTGCAGGTGAATCTGACCCGCAGACCCATGCTGTACTCTGTGTGTGTGTTTCTCTGTGTGTGTGTTTCTCTGTGTGTGTGTTTCTCTCAGCAGTTGTCATGTCTGTGCTGCAGGTGAATCTGACCCGCAGACCCATGCTGTACTCTGTGTGTGTGTTTCTGTGTGTGTGTGTTTCTGTGTGTGTGTTTCTCTGTGTGTGTGTTTCTCTGTGTGTGTGTGTGTTTCTCTGTGTGTGTGTTTCTCTGTGTGTGTGTTTCTCTCAGCAGTTGTCATGTCTGTGCTGCAGGTGAATCTGACCCGCAGACCCATGCTGTACGTCATCAACTTCATCGTCCCCCTCCTCTACTTCCTGATCCTGGATTTGGCCTCATTCTTCATTAACGAGGCCCGTGGGGAAAAGCTGAGTTTCAAAGTGACCATCCTCCTGTCCATCTCCGTGCTGCTGCTCATTCTCAAGGACATGCTGCCCTCTACTGAGAGGCACATGCCGTGGATCGGTGAGGCTCCTCCCACTTTTAAACATCTGAAACTGTCCTTCTCTCTTGGAACTCTCATAAACCTATATTTTTAACCTACTCATAACCTACATGTTGTTCTAAGTAGTTCTGTGTTTGTTTAATTGGAGCTTGTTCTACCTTTTAACCAATTACGTAAATACCTGAAGGAATTAAACCATTTCAAATGATGTACTTAAAGAAATGTCTTAATTCATTCATTCATTTATTTCACTCTACACTTTACAAACCTGCACAGATAACATGAGACACACACACGTTAAATATGGCTTTGACAGAGCTGCACCTGCGCTCGGAGCCTTCAACATGTGTGAGATCGTCACAATCGCACAATCTGCAGTCGCACAATCTGCAATCGCACAATCTGCAATCGCACAATCTGCAATCTGTGTGATATCGCCAGAATCGCACAATCTGCAATCGCACAATCTGCAGTCGCACAATCTGCAATCGCACAATCAGCAATCGCACAATCTGCAATCGCACAATCTGCAGTCGCACAATCTGCAGTCGCACAATCTGCAATCGCACAATCTGCAATCGCACAATCTGCAATCGCACAATCTGCAATCGCACAATCTGCAGTCGCACAATCAGCAATCGCACAATCAGCAATCGCACAATCTGCAATCGCACAATCTGCAGTCGCACAATCTGCAATCGCACAATCTGCAATCGCACAATCTGCAATCTGTGTGATATCGCCAGAATCGCACAATCTGCAATCGCACAATCTGCAGTCGCACAATCTGCAATCGCACAATCAGCAATCGCACAATCTGCAATCGCACAATCTGCAGTCGCACAATCTGCAATCGCACAATCTGCAATCGCACAATCTGCAATCGCACAATCAGCAATCGCACAATCTGCAATCGCACAATCTGCAGTCGCACAATCAGCAATCGCACAATCTGCAATCGCACAATCTGCAGTCGCACAATCTGCAATCGCACAATCTGCAATCGCACAATCTGCAATCTGTGTGATATCGCCAGAATCGCACAATCTGCAATCGCACAATCTGCAGTCGCACAATCTGCAATCGCACAATCAGCAATCGCACAATCTGCAATCGCACAATCTGCAGTCGCACAATCTGCAATCGCACAATCTGCAATCGCACAATCTGCAATCGCACAATCAGCAATCGCACAATCTGCAATCGCACAATCTGCAGTCGCACAATCAGCAATCGCACAATCTGCAATCGCACAATCTGCAATCGCACAATCAGCAATCGCACAATCTGCAATCGCACAATCAGCAATCGCACAATCAGCAATCGCACAATCTGCAATCGCACAATCTGCAATCGCACAATCAGCAATCGCACAATCTGCAATCGCACAATCTGCAATCGCACAATCTGCAATCGCACAATCTGCAATCGCACAATCTGCAATCGCACAATCTGCAATCGCACAATCTGCAGTCGCACAATCAGCAATCGCACAATCTGCAATCGCACAATCTGCAGTCGCACAATCAGCAATCGCACAATCTGCAGTCGCACAATCTGCAGTCGCACAATCTGCAGTCGCACAATCTGCAGTCGCACAATCTGCAGTCGCACAATCTGCAGTCGCACAATCTGCAATCGCACAATCAGCAATCGCACAATCTGCAATCGCACAATCTGCAATCGCACAATCTGCAATCGCACAATCTGCAATCGCACAATCTGCAATCGCACAATCAGCAGTTGCACAATCTGCAATCGCACAATCTGCAATCGCACAATCAGCAGTTGCACAATCAGCAATCGCACAATCTGCAATCGCACAATCAGCAATCGCACAATCAGCAATCGCACAATCAGCAATCGCACAATCTGCAATCGCACAATCTGCAGTTGCACAATCTGCAATCGCACAATCAGCAATCGCACAATCTGCAATCGCACAATCTGCAATCGCACAATCTGCAATCGCACAATCTGCAATCGCACAATCTGCAATCGCACAATCAGCAGTTGCACAATCTGCAATCGCACAATCTGCAATCGCACAATCAGCAGTTGCACAATCAGCAATCGCACAATCTGCAATCGCACAATCAGCAATCGCACAATCAGCAATCGCACAATCAGCAATCGCACAATCTGCAATCGCACAATGCAGTTGCACAATCTGCAATCGCACAATCAGCAATCGCACAATCAGCAATCGCACAATCTGCAATCGCACAATCTGCAGTCGCACAATCAGCAATCGCACAATCAGCAATCGCACAATCAGCAGTCGCACAATCTGCAGTCGCACAATCTGCAGTCGCACAATCTGCAATCGCACAATCTGCAGTCGCACAATCTGCAATCGCACAATCTGCAATCGCACAATCAGCAATCGCACAATCTGCAATCGCACAATCTGCAATCGCACAATCTGCAATCGCACAATCTGCAATCGCACAATCTGCAATCGCACAATCTGCAATCGCACAATCTGCAATCGCACAATCAGCAGTCGCACAATCTGCAATCGCACAATCTGCAATCGCACAATCTGCAATCGCACAAGGACCGTGAGCAGGACCGTGTGCAGGACCATGAGCAGGACCATGAGCAGGACCATGAGCAGGACCATGAGCAGGACCACGAGCAGGACCATGAGCAGGACCACGAGCAGGACCATGAGCAGGACCATGAGCAGGACCACGAGCAGGACCACGAGCAGGACCATGAGCAGGACCATGAGCAGGACCATGAGCAGGACCATGAGCAGGACCATGAGCAGGACCATGTTTAGTCAAACCGTGGGAGGCAGTTTGACTTAAGCTTGAAGTATTCTGCAGCCTGCCCCTTCTTTACTGAAAGGATTCTTCTGCAGAAATCCCAGATTGATATTGTGGAGAACTCATTTGAGCCCTACACAATCATAAATCTGTTTTTTCCAGGTTGGCTCTCAAAGCCTTGCGTGCTCATTTTTATGTTATGCTAACGTTAACAGTTTTCTATGAGCAGTCTCTTGTCTCCCTCTCAGTGTATTATTAATTAGAAACTATAGTGACAGGCAGTAGGAAGCACAACATTTATAACTAAAGTCCTCTCTTTATTCTTCAAATAATCTCAAAAAAATAGAAGGACATAAGCAAATATGTTTGTGTAAGATCTCAGTTGTTATGAACCAATTTATATTAAAACTATGAGGAAGGAAACGATAAGAAATCCCTGTAACAGCATTTTTAAAATGCACAGGATAAGATTAGAGATCCTTATAGTTATAGAACAGTAGGAAAGAGGAGCACAAGTTAAGTGAACAATAGCTATATTAATAAAAACTTTAGCATCAATAAAAGTATAACATCTCTATCTTGAAGACAATAATGTGTATTTTACATTTAAAATAAGAGGCAAGTATAAAGTATGTCCTTTAATGACTATATGAAGCTAAAAGCAAAAACATAATGTGGTTGATTTCAGCCAAATACTGCGTTGGGATCTTCGCTCTGGTGGGGGTCAGCGTGTTGGAAGCCATGGCCATCAGTTTCCTGCTCAGTTTTCCAGAAAAAGTCAAGAAGGATTCTGCTCATCGTAGGATCTGTGAGGACGAGACACAGCTGGAGAGAACCGACTCCAAAGGTACCATTTAAAGATGCTGATGAGTTCATAAAAATGCTTATTACTACAAACAAGTTGTATTATAATCCGTACTTTAATATAAAACCTGAGCTCATTGATTCAGCTGTGGATGAACTCAGTAAAAAGTGCTGAGTAGAGACTTTAGCGTGACGCCCGCTCTCCTCCAATCACAGAACGAGGCTGCGTCCTCTAGCCTCTACAGCGCTGCTAAACACAGTAGCATGTTAGCATAAGTGGCTATAGCTCCTCTGGCTGTAACTGCAGACACAGCAAAACAGCCCAAACCACACAACAGTGAGGAAGAGAAGAGGAACTAAAGCCAAAACATGATCAAAGAAGAAACCAAGCCCTGAACAGAGCTAGCTTACATCGTATCCTCTGGAGAGACTGGTCTGAGGGAGAGACCTGCGGGACCGCCTCGGACTATCTACGCTCACGCTCGGACTATCTACGCTCGGACTATCTACGCTCGGACTATCTACGCTCGGACTATCTACGCTCGGACTATCTACGCTCGGACTATCTACGCTCGGACTATCTACGCTCGGACTATCTACGCTCGGACTATCTCGCTCGGACTATCTACGCTCGGACTATCTGCGCTCGGACTATCTGCGCTCGGACTATCTACGCTCGGACTATCTACGCTCGGACTATCTCGCTCGGACTATCTGCGCTCGGACTATCTACGCTCGGACTATCTCTGCGCTCGGACTATCTCGCTCTCGCTCAGACTATCTGCGCTCAGACTATCTACGCTCAGACTATCTGCGCTCGGACTATCTGCGCTCAGACTATCTACGCTCAGACTATCTGCGCTCGGACTATCTGCGCTCGGACTATCTACGCTCGGACTATCTACGCTCAGACTATCTGCGCTCGGACTATCTGCGCTCAGACTATCTGCGCTCAGACTATCTGCGCTCGGACTATCTACGCTCAGACTATCTACGCTCGGACTATCTACGCTCGGACTATCTACGCTCGGACTATCTACGCTCGGACTATCTCTGCGACTACTGACTATCTACGCTCAGACTATCTGCGCTCGGACTATCTAAGCTCAGACTATCTGCGCTCGGACTATCTGCGCTCAGACTATGGCGCTATAGAAGAATGTTAGTGAAATTGTAATGAATATGATAAGTAGAGCTGGTTTGGCTCCCCATGTAAACTTTGCTTCAGTCTGTAGGGGGCGCTAATGGGCCAATTTAAAATATTTCACTTTCACCTGACCTAAACCCTGGAATTGAACAATGGATTAAAGTTTTGTGCAAATCAGACTTTGTTTGTGCAAACAGGAGCAAAATTAATGTTGTCAAAAAGAGCCAAAAAAACCCTCACATTTTGCTGCTCCGCTGCTCAAACAACGTTTCACGGATCAAAATTCCCTGAAGTAATTTTGAAGGTACATGTGTTGAGATGATGTGGAGCGATTTTGAGGCGAATCGGTGAAACGGCCGAGGCTGGTTTGATGTTTGTGTGAGGTGTACATTTGCAATGAAAGGGGAGCGTTTGTCGTCGCCATGGCAACAGGGTAAAAGATTAGCCTTGGACCCTATTGACTTTTTGAATCAAGAGGGCAAAACAGATTTATGTGCAAAATGTCAAACATTTTGAAAAAACTAAATTTGAAAATGCCCATCTAAAATTTTGAAATGGTCTGTAGGGGGCGCTAATGTGTCAATTTGAATCAATTCACTTTCAAATGACTTAGACCCTAGAGTTGAACAATGTATTAAAGTTTTGTGCAAATCAGACTTTGTTTGTGCAAACGGGAGCAAATTTAATGTTGTCAAAAACGGCCAAAAAAAGGTCACATTTTGCCGCTCCGCTGCTCACACAATGTTTCACTGATCAAAAATCCCTGAGGTCATTTTGAAGGTACATGTGTTGAGATGATGTGGAGCGATTTTGAGGTGAATCGGTGAAACGGCCGAGGAGGAGTCGCTTTCCAACCGACATGTATGAAAACTTTTGCTGTTCATTTTTCCATTTTGCAGTGAAATTTATGGGCTTCCTGTTTGTCAGGGGGCGGGGCCATAATAATATTTTTTTCTTGTCTTGACTTGAGTAACATGTGTACCGAATTTCATGGCTCTACGACAAACTTGATCTCTAAAAGTCCCATAGGGGTATTATTTTGGCTGTTGTAGGTGGCGCTGTTCCGGCATTTTTTGAGTCCCATTAAAATAAACACCAAAATATCAAATTTTTCGCCAGGTCTGATTTTTGGGCAAAATTTAACAACTTTTCATGCATGTTCAGGGGGTCAAATTAAGGCTCAAAGTGCAGAAGAAAAAAGAAAGAAAGAAAGAAAGAAAGAAAGAAAAATTAAAGCCGCAAGCGGCGTCGAACGGCCCTCGCCGCACCGCGCGACTCCCTGCACCGCGCGCACTCCCCGCACCGCGCGCACTCCCCGCACCACGCCGCCGCGCACCAAGCCGCCCTGCACCATGCCGTCCTGCACCACGCCGCCCCGTACCAAGCCACAACGCGCCGCTCCACAACGCCCCGCACTACGCCGCACCACACCGTACCACGCAGCATTGCTCAAAGTAGGTGGCACCGCCGTGTGATGATTTGTTCCCGTAGCCATAGAAGCATGTTAGTCAAATCGTAATGAATATGATAAGTAGAGCTGGTTTGGCTCCCAATGTAAACTTTGACAGAGTCTGTAGGGGGCGCTAATGGGCCAATTTCCAATATTTCACTTTAACCTGACCTAAACCCTGGAGTTGAACAATGGATTAAAGTTTTGTGCAAATTAGACTTTGTTTGTGCAAACAGGAGCAAAATTAATGTTGTCAAAAAGAGACAAAAAAAACCTCACATTTTCCCACTCGGCTGCTCAAACAACGTTTCACTGATCAAAATTCCCTGAAGTTATTTTGAAGGTAAATGGGTTGAGATGATTTTGAACAATTTTGAGGCCAATCGGTGAAACGGCCGAGGAAGAGTCGCTTTCCAACCGACGTGTATGAAAATGATTGGTTTTCATTTTTCCATTTTGCAATGAAATTTATGGGCTTCCTGTTTGTCAGAGGGCTTATCCATAATAACATTTTTTCCATGTCTTGACTTGAGGAACATGTTTTCCAAATTACATGTTTCTACGACAATTTTGACCTCGAACCCCTCCCATAGGCATTTTTAAATTGGCTGTTGTAGGTGGCGCTATAGAGCCAATTTCAAAATATTTACTTTCAAATGACCTAGACCCAAGAGTTGAACCATGGATTCAAGTTTTGTGCAAATCAGACTTTGTTTGTGCAAACGGGAGCAAATTTAATGTTGTCAAAAACGGCCAAAAAAGGTCACACTTTTTGCCGCTCCGCTGCTCAAACAACGTTTCACATTTCAAAATTCCCTGAAGTCATTTTGAAGGTACATGTGTTGAGATGATGTGGAGCGATTTTGAGGCGAATCGGTGAAACGGCCGAGGAGGAGTCGCTTTCCAACCGACATGTATGAATACTTTTGCTGTTCATTTTTCCATTTTGCAGTGAAATTTATGGGCTTCCTGTTTGTCAGAGGGCGGAGCCATAATAATATTTTTTTCTTGTCTTGACTTGCGGAACATGTGTACCGAATTTCATGACTCTACAACAAACTTGATCCTCAAACTCCCATAGGGGTATTATTTTGGCTGTTGTAGGTGGCGCTGTTCTGGCATTTTTTGAGTCCCATAAAAATAAACACCAAAATATCAAATTTTTCGCCAGGTCTGATTTTTGGGCAAAATTTAACAACTTTTCATGCATGTTCAGGGGGTCAAATTAAGGCTCAAAGTGCAGAAGAAAAAAAAGAAAGAAAGAAAGAAAGAAAAAATTAAAGCCGCAAGCGGCGTCGAACGGCCCTCGCCGCACCGCGCAACTCCCTGCACCGCGCGCACTCCCCGCACCACGCCGCCCCGCACCAAGCCGCAACGCGCCGCTCCACAACGCCCCGCACTACGCCGCACCACACCGTACCACGCAGCACCGCTAAAAGGAGGTAGCACCGCCGTGTGATGATTTGTTTCCGTAGCCATAGAAGAATGTTAGTCAAATTGTAATGAATATGATAAGTAGAGCTGGTTTGGCTCCCCATGTAAACTTTGACACAGTCTGTAGGGGGCGCTAAGGGGCCGATTTCCAATATTTCACTTTAACCTGACCTAAACCCTGGAATTGAACAATGGATGAAAGTTTTGTGCAAATCAGACTTTGTTTGTGCAAACAGGAGCAAAATTAATGTTGTCAAAAAGAGCCAAAAAAACCCTTACATTTTGCCGCTCCGCTGCTCAAACAGCGTTTCACGGATCAAAATTCCCTGAAGTCATTTTGAAGGTACATGTGTTGAGATGATGTGGAGCGATTTTGAGGCGAATCGGTGAAACAGCCGAGGCTGGTTTGATGTTTGTGTGAGGTGTACATTTGCAATGAATGGGGAGCGTTTCTCGTCGCCACGGCAACAGGGTAAAAAATAAACCTTGGACCCAATTGACTTTTTGAATCAAGAGGGCAAAACAGATTTATGTGCAAAATTTCAAACATTTTGAAAAAACTAAATTTGAAAATGCCCATCTAAAACTTTGAAATAGTCTGTAGGGGGCGCTAATGTGTCAATTTGAATTAATTCACTTTAAAACGACCTAGACCCTAGAGTTGAACAATGTATTAATGTTTTTTGCAAATCAGACTTTGTTTGTGCAAACGGGAGCAAATTTAATGTTGTCAAAAACGGCCAAAAAAGGTCACATTTTGCCGCTCCGCTGCTCAAACAATGTTTCACTGATCAAAAATCCCTGAGGTCATTTTGAAGGTACATGTGTTGAGATGATGTGGAGCGATTTTGAGGCGAATCGTGAAAACGGCGAGGAGGAGTCGCTTTCCAACCGACATGTATGAATACTTTTGCTGTTCATTTTTCCATTTTGCAGTGAAATTTATGGGCTTCCTGTTTGTCAGAGGGCGGAGCCATAATAATATTTTTTTCTTGTCTTGACTTGCGGAACATGTGTACCGAA